TGATCCAAATTTTTAGAATATTTGTCTTATATTCAGCTGCCATAACATTTATGTACTTTTAAATCAATCATTTTTTTCAAATTCGTTTTAGAATGTTTTATACTTAAACCCAACGAATACCCAACGAAGGCCCAACGATTCTTTCCTCTGTAGGGCCAACGAATACCAGTTTCCGTTGGGCCAACGTTGGCAAATCGTTAAAATTTCTGCCAACCATTTCCCAACCGTGCCGACCATTTCCCAACGTTGGCCCAACGATGTGCTACTTGGGTAGGCATAGTATATATTAGATTCAGATTTTTGCTGACACACAAGATCATAGACAAGATTGGGAATGATGAGTCCAACCAAACCATTGTATAATCCAAAGATTTTAATGAGATGACAGCTTTGTCAATGTCATGGTACTGAGCAAGATCAGCTGGTTCTCAAGCCATGGTTATTAAAAAAAAAAAAACCAAAAAGATCAACAGTTGGGTCCAGTGTTTTGTTTTAAACCAAAGATTTTGTCTTTTCTCAGGACATGATTGAACCGGGTAACTTCTGATTAATGGCCAATCACTCGTATCCACTCAGCTATATTGAGTTAACCATTTAAATGCTACCATACCAATGAGATTATAATCCAGGTAATTTCTCTGAAACGCCTTGTTATTTGATTAATTGATATTTTGGTTAGGCCTATTTAAATCGACAAATCGAACGTATTAAAGAATAGTTTTTAGTAAATGCAGTTGGTCTATTACCGGTAATACCTTTGGTAGATCGGCAGATGAAACCCAATCAGCCTGTTCGCCTAGCTGGCCACCGTTGATGTGCTCGTTGAAACTTTAGATCGCTGCAGAATATCACACCCAAATATTTTTTGGACATGGCTCTAGGACTGTCCTCCCCTAGCATGTACATAAAGATGTCAGGAATCCGGGATGGAAGATTAATATTAAACACTTCCCAGAGGATTGATTTCCATTTTGTTAACTTTGCACCAGCCAAAGACACTGTCAAGGCACATTTTAGAAGGCACTCCTCCTCAAACACTTTGAGATCTGCAAACGCAAGAGATACAACCTTCTGTTGAACCCTTTAGATCATTGATGATGAACGAGTTAAATAGGTACGGTACCAAATGCGATCCTTATGGTACTCTCGAGGTCTGGTGGAACGTGGAACGGTTGTGATTACGAAGGCCCAAGCTTGACAGTTACTTGCAAGCTGCTCTAATGGCGCACACGGGACGGAAATTTCTCTTGTAGCAATATAAAATTCGAAATGCTAAATGTTTTAGACAAACCCATGTTGATCTAATGCTTTCAATGAAGATCTTCAGTCTGTCCATAACCATAAAGCTCTCAAACACTATGCCAAGTGTAGAAATAGTGATGGGGCGGTACCGGTAGTTAACCTGGTTGTTTGCCGATGATGTTTGCCACCTTGTAAGAGGTAGTCATACTCGACCCTTAAGAATCAACGCCCAAGAAGGGTTTAACGAAATGAGTAGTTGGTGTAACGACAATAAACTGTTACTGATGAATATAAGTAAAACAAAGGCTCTTCAGATACACAATAGAAAAAAAACCTGATTGTTGCCCATTACTGCGCTCAGGAGGATCAACCATTAACATTGATAATTCTGTAAAATATCTTGGCCTAACCATCAGTGATGACCTGAGATGGCACCAAACATATATCGACAACATATCTGTGAGATTCACGGCAGTTTGCTATATGGTTCAAAGGCTCCAACCACTCCTGGAAAAAGAAGTACTAATGAAGCTATACCATGGCTGTTTTCACAGCATCATGAAATATGGGATCCTACTATGGGGAAACAGCCCAGCTGCCCAACGAGTACTTCTCCTACAAAAAAGAATCATAAGATCTATTTTCTTGGAACCATTTCTCACAAACTGTAAGCCACTGTTTGAAGAAGCCAAGGTCCTTACCATGACAGCACTTTTTATCCTGGAGTCAGCACTGAGTGTAAAGAAGAACCCACAACTTTTCCTAAAAAATGCAGCATTCCACAACTACAATTCAAGGCAATGTAAAAATGTCCACCTAACCCAGGTAAACTCCAATTTAGTAGCAAATGGCCCTAAATTTATGTGCTCCAAAATGTATAGCAAGATCCCAACTGAAATAAAAAATATTAAAGAAATAGAAAAATTCAAGACGTTATACTCAAGAATTATTTATTGAAGGGGCCATACTACTCACTGACAGAGTACTTTGAAGATGAATGAAAAGGTCAATATTTTTTTGACGACCACGGCGCAGGGACGCTTCCAGTGGGAAATCTTCAAGTACTGTATCAAGTTCCTTATGTTGCTGCAAGATCGCCAGATTTAGGAAGAGGAACCACGTAACGTACCCACGCTTGCTTGAAGGCTACAGGAAATGAAATATGCCTACCACACATGCTTCACTATCATCAAGAACTCACTGATTCCCTCATATACATAAAAAGAACATTTTAAACCAAAAACAATAACGAAACACTCACATATAAATTCATTCCAATCCTTTGGTTCTTCATTCATGGGCCTTTTCGGGATATGTAGAAATGCTTAACAGCCCTCAAGTGAGAAGACTCCAACTCAACCCTTCTCACAACATTCCCATTAAGGCCTTAGAATCCTACTAAATCCAATATATTAACATAGACTAACCAACAAGACACTACAAAAAAAAAATACCCCCGCCGCAGCAAACCTGCCGACTAAGCGAATTTCCATTCGTCTAAATTGATTTTCAGTTAAATATATTTTAATAACATTAGGTTTAACGAGTACCTAGGTTTGCTGCTACAAGGAAACTAATAAAGTGTGTTTTAGAGTAAAATATTGATAGCTTAGTACAAAATAAATAAATTTGCCAAGTTTGATCAAAATATATCCATAAACAAGCAAACTACAACATTTGACAATATTCTCCATAAGAATAACATGGGAATTTTAAATTTACAATTTTTTTAATTTTCTCCGTTACTAATAATTGAACAAAAATACTTTTATATACTAAACTATTTGTTTTTTTAAGCTCTTTAAAAAGGTCTAAAGATAAATCGGGAATTTTTTTGTTTTGAGGGTCAAAAGTGAGAAAAACCAATTTTTACCCCATAAAACCCCCCGTAAAGCCCCGTTCCCATGGTCCGATCATGCTGGTTCGCAAACTCATTCAAGTTTATCCCGCTTTACACCTTTAAACCAAATTTCATCAAAATCGGACAAAAATTACTCAAGTTATCGCGTTCACGGACGTATATATATATATATATATATATATATATATATATATATGTCTATATATATATACATATATAAAAATTTGAACGAATGGTGTTTTTGGCCTCTGGGGACATCAAAATGAAAAAGTAAATCGGTCCTGGGTCTAGGTCTTACCGTGCCACCTACGGTAATAGCTACTTCCCTATAGGGAAATTCGCTAAAAATGAAAAACGCCACCAAAATAAAATAAAAGTAATAAAACCCTCAACAAAATTAACAAAAAACTTACCTAATCCTACCGATGCAAACCACAGAATCGTCAAATTAATATCGAGTAATAATGGTTTAATTTACCTCTGTCAATATGGTCCTTGCGTGTAGTTTGTCACTACTGCAGTTTCGTGCTCGTGGAGCACATCTTCAGGTGAAGGTCAAAAAGTTAAAACATTTTTCTCACGTGAAGGTCGTCAATTTTTGAAAACACACCGAAAAACACATAATACACGAACGGTACGAAAAAACATTTATAAACTTGGCCAATACATTAAAAACGTTACACACGGGGTCCGGCGCCGGTAGAAGATATGACTTTCGATACCTCTCTGGACTGCACCAACAGCACCCTTTTGCACCAAACCAACTGAGAAGGAGGAAGGAGGAAAATAAGATTGTGTTTACTAGGCCCAGCGCACACGGCGTGACTGTTTTACAACAACTGTTGTAAACCAGTTCCGTCTGGAACCAGTTTGCAACTGAAACAAAACTTCTGTCCGCACACGGTGTGGCTGTTTTACAACTACAGTTGCGTCTATTGGGCAATCAGTGGAGTGTAAATTTAGTGCAGTTACGTTGTTTTAAGGCCCTGCGTGCGCTTACTATGTCGGACTCAGACGAAGAAGACATTATTAGTTATTATCAATACCGAAGACAGCAAGGGTACTGAGAGAGCATTGGGTTCACCCTTATTTGAGCAAGAATTTTAGTACTATAGGCTGTTTGTAGCAGCTAGAGCTATTCGGATAGGAAATTATAAACACTAAAAACACTATACGGCCGTCAAAATTCCACCAAAATACCACCAAACACTACAAAAACACCCCGTGGTCTCGTGCAACTGAAGTCTGCAACGCAACTGCAACGTCGGGCCCACGGTTGTATGTGACTGGTTTCAAACTTTTTTTGAAATCACATACAACCAGTTGCGTCGTGTGGGCCTCCCCACATACATTGCCGAGGTCTCAATACAGTTGCACGCGCAACTGGTTTGCAACGAAAGTTGTAAAACAGTCACACCGTGTGTGCTGGGCCTAAAATGGACAACCACAGAGAACATTGAGGTCTCATGGGTAAAAATACCCAGACCACCTTTTCGGCAAGGGGAAAAAACTGAGGTTTTTTACGATGAACAGCTGGATGGTCTGCTCCTGTTGTCTTGTTTACTAAAACGTAAATAAATATTGATGCTGACTTGCCTTGTGTCTTGTGGTCTTGTCTTGTGTCTGTGTCTTCTCTTCATGCTGCGTGCTTGTGCTTACTTCGTCTTGCCCTTTTATCTCGTCCCCCTGTAAGTACTAGAAAGCTAAAGGCGTATCTATCTTTGTAACTGAATTCATTGATTTATTTTATTATGAGAATACTAGTCTGTTGGTTTTCAACATTGGACTTTTCACATTTTATTTTAACTTTACAAATTAACTTATTATAATTTCAAGAGGACTAGGCGATTCTATTAACATGATAGTTAAGTTAGTAACTTAACCTTTAAAAGAGTTACTGTACTTTAAACCAAATAAATGCCTTAACTTTTTGTGCCTGAGGAAGCTAAGCTTAAAAGAATGTTTATATCTTGACATCAAGGGTACAGTTTCTTAACTGGGCTATGCTAAAATCGATTGAAACTAACTTATTGATTCGATCAGTAAGTTTTTTCATCATCAGCAAGTTTGGTAAGTTAGGTTAGGTTATGACAGTTTTAATTTTACAATTGAAAGCCTATATTTAAAAATATCGATTATTAATAAATATTTTTAATTCAATAATTTCAATCGATATTAGCATAGAACTAATTATGTTTTATTTGATTTGACCCAAGAAACTCATCTGAAAGAAACTGTACCTGACATCAATTAAGGGCAGGCAAACTTAAGTTACCCCTCAAAATATGATTAGGGAATCAAAGTGTAAGATGAATCGGTGGTCAGACCTCTGAGCTAAACCTAACTAACTTAAGCATTAACTTAAGGAAAGCATGACTTTCAATCATTGGCCTTTACCAGGAATAGTTTTGCTACAGTCACACACTTAACGATCTTTTGTCTTATGTTGAAGTCTCATGTAAAGTTGATCCTGCGACATTTCAATAAATCCACCTTACCATTTTAGGCCACAACCATAGAACTATTAACAGCCACAACCCACCCTTAACTTACAGTTTTACTTTAGGTCCAGAATAGGGCCTAATCCATGTGTTGAACATCGGCATACAATTTAGAAACTTTGTTTAAAATTTATTGAAATTTTAGGCTTAAATTATAGATATAAATTACTTAGTACCAGAATCGCATAGGCCTAACTTGAAAGTTTGCTACTTATGGCAAAGTAAGTTAGGCCTAACTTATTTTGAATTTATAACTTAGTAAATTATTATGTCTTATGAGCCAGCTAGTAAAGAAACAGTTTTTTCAGTTTTATATAAATAGCTCTATGTTAAGATTGGTTCAAAGGAGACTGTGTTGTGTGGTGTAGGTGTGTTGTTGCCTAGTGGTTACGGTAGCGTCTCAGACCTCGGTGCTGGAGGGACGAGTTAAATTCATTGCACAACCACAAAACTGAAATGAGTTTGACCGTTTTTCTTTAAAAGCGTTTAAATTTACTTCATTATGCTTAGGCGTTGACACAAGTTAAAAAAAGGAACCGGTTTAGTAACTTAGTTCAATGTTATTTCTGTACAGAGTCAGACTTTTATACTCAGTTATTTGTTTACCTATCAACCTTATTGAAGCCTATTCCAAAACCAAATTTACGTATTTCACAAAAGTGACTTAATGATTGTGTGTGATAGAGCTAGATGAAGAGAAATAGAAATTGGGCCAGCTTTAACTTCTTCCTGCCAGTGTTTGTTTCTTCAGTCAAAAAAGGACTGTACTTAATTATTTCCTAATACTTTTGATCTACAATCTTTGTTTGTAAGCTTAGCATGTTTGCTAACAATAAAATGTAAAAATAAAAAGATTATATTTTATTGTGACAGAACCAGACTTAGTAAAAATCCAGATAGCCTATCTCCACATAAGTTAGGCTACGGTATTTAAGTTAACTGTAACTAGTTCCAAAGGTCTTTTCCCCTTCACATCCTAGGACGCTAGACGTCCTTGCCGGAGAACAATTTTATACATTATTTGCAGGCTACGCCTACAGGGTGGAGGCATTGTCATTGGTAATTCATGGGATTTGAACCCAGGACCTCAGGGGCAGTTTGTGCTCCACCACTAGACACCACTAGAGCGAGCTGCTGGAAGCGAGTACCAAAGGTTGGGAGGAATTGTTCATATAAAAGCATTCAGAGCAATGAAGTCCTAATAATTTTTTGACGTTTTGATAGGCCTAACTATTAGGTATGTGAATGTCATTGCTGACAAAGCTGGTATTTCTTATCCATCAAATCACTGTTTATTAGTATTGCCTATGGGCTAAAAGGGGACAGAACTTACCATAAAATGGTACTTACTTATAATATGACTAAACAAATTTAGAGCTTGAGGGGCATAAGCCTACTACCTCTCTTCACTGGATTGTCGATGTTAAATATCCAATTGGTGCATGGTCCTCAAAGAGCTCAAGTTGCCTACCTTTACAATGACTGGGAATACACTTTTAACCCACTTTTGATATGCTTTCAGGCTGAACTTTTTGAAGAAGAAAATATGCTCTGTGTCAGCTCGAATATTCTTTCAAAGGTAAATTTTTACACATTTACTAAAGAACCATAAATTTTCTACTGTGCTTGAAATGTTCTTTTTATCAGTTAGATGTCTAGGATATATTTCATAACTGAATACATTCCCATTTCTTGTCGAGTGGCCTTTATAATTGCTTTCTCCTTCAATTCAGAGTAGGCCTACTTTCATAGAATAAGAATAAGAATAAGAATGCTTGATTGCCGTTACACTGGTTTACATGCATGGCACAGTCAAGGAAATGTCTTAGAACTAAAGGTTTTAACTCAGGTTTAATTTAACATCATTTTGAAGTCTATTTATCTATATGGACACAGGTTTAACAGGTAGTTTTTAAGTACTATTTTAAATTTAAAACAATTAAAACATCTTATTCTATTAGGTAACATATTATAATACTGTTTGTATTTTTCAATAAAACTAGTAGCTGTGGTGCTGAATCTACACTGTCTAGATATAAAATTGCAGCGGTTTCGTGTGTTGTAACTGTGTACATTTTCATGTGTGTCTGTTTTACTAAAACTATTTTTTGCAAACACAAGGCAGTCTAAAATATAGATTGCTTGTACAGTTAAAATATTAGCCTCTCTAAATAATGGTTTACAGTGTGTACTAAAATCAACATTGTACATGATTTTTATTGCTCGTTTTTGCAATGACAAAAGTTTTTTTTATAATTACTACCTCCCCATACAATTGTTCCATAACTTAGATGGGAATGTATATGTGCTATGTGCCTAGTAAATGCATTTCAAGGTATTAAAATCTACACTGTGTTTAAGCATGTTTATTATAAATATTCCTTTGTTAAGTTTTTAGCTGTATAATCAATATGGACTTACCACTTTAAGTTAGACTCTATAAAAACACCTAAAAATTTTACACAATTTTTATTATGCCTATTATTAAAACTAATACAATATAAATCTTGAGTTTTTTCTATATTTAAAAACAATTTATTGGCCTTACACCAGTCTTCGATTAAGATATCTGCTTTGTATGCCATTACTGTTGAATTTAGCAAATTCTCACTTTGAATTTGTATTGCTAAATCATCTGCAAAAAGATAAGGCTTAACATTGAGGTTTAGAATATTTTATGCATCATGATTTAGATAACTATCTACACTAGTGTATCCTACATAGGAAATTGTAATTTTCGCAGTGCACTAATAAGTTTACATATTATATTGTACACAATTTTCTATTATTTTATCTTACCAAATTTGTGGGTTAACTCCACAAATTCAATACAGATCCGGTGTAAGGACGTTGACATTTTATTTTCTACAGTAAATTTATGATTCTCCGAAAACACTTTCTTCTTACCTTCAGAAACTCATTATGCTTCAAATACAAGTGTATTTAATTTTGCCAAAAATGTTTTTTGGAAAAAGTACAATTTTTTAAAAGGTCCTGTAAAAAAAGAGGTCTGTAAACGCACACCATCCTAAATCGAGCCCCGTAAATATATATATATATAGTGATGGCCTAAATAACTTTCTTTGTTGTGGGTCATTGATATTGAACTATTTTATCTAGGTTATCTTTACTTGACTCATTTCCTTGTGGACTTTTACTATTGTGTTTAGAAGTAATCAGTTTTATTAGTGAATTTCCCATATAGGAAATAAACTATTATTGTAGGTCTCGTGGTAAGATTTGGATCCGGGACCGATTTACCTTTTTGTTTTGAGGTCCCCAGAGGCCAAAAACACCTTCCGTTAAAAGTCATACATATATATGCATTGCTCAATTTGTGAGGGAACAGAGTTCTGGCACTTCTCTTTCGGAAAGATCAAAATATTGGCATAAATAGGTAGTTACTAACCACATTAAATTGGTTACGGTACAGTCCCGGCACCTCTTTTTTTACAAATCGAGCACTTACAAATATGTGTCTGCTAGCATAACTCAAGCAAAAATTATGCGATGTTGATTAAATTTGGTAACATGTAAACCAACATTTATTTGAACGAATTTGCATGATCAGATTTAAGTAGGGGGGTTTATGGGGTAAAAATTGGTTTTTGACCCAAAAAACATATAATTTCTCAATTTCTTTACAAACTATTTTGTAGAGCTTGAAAGGGAAGTAGGTTGAAGTGTTGTGGTATGCCTATTGTCTACTTATGAAATTACAAAAGGAGGCTATATAAAAAATTCTAATGTTATTCTCATGGAGAAAATTTAAATAAACTGTTGTAGTTTGCATGTTTTGGATGTAACTTTCTATTTTAATCAAATTTGGCAATTCTCTGTATTTTATACTAAGCTATCCACATTTCAACAAAGAAACAACGGTACTTTAGTATTATAACGACCACTCCTAACAATTATAACCTAACCTAACCTAACTCAACCTAAGGGTGGACTATTTTTTAGGTCACGGCTACTGAAAAAGAGGTTGCCTGAGTCGCGCGTATGACGTCACCCGCCGACCCTGCTGAGTGCTGCTTTTAATTCACACAGCTGCTACTTGTCAAATTCTTTGTTATTGTTGTTTGTTTTTCATTTATTTATTTGCACAGAACTTACAGAAAAACGAACAACAAACAAAGAATTTGACAGGTGGCAGCTGTGTGAACGTGAACTACAAGCAGCACCGTCCAGGTTGTCGGGTGACGTTATACGCGCGACTGAGACAACCTCTTTTTCAGTAGCCTTGGTTTTAGGTTAGGTCAGGTTAGGAAGATTTTGTTATTTAAACTAATTAAAATCTTATTTGGAAGTTGATTTATCGCTGTGGTCGGTATAATACCAAAGGACCGAAAAAACACACCACATTACCTTCCCTGAGGCAGTTAGCCTGAGTACTCATTAAAATTCATATAATTTAAATAGGAAATAAATCTGATAATTTTAAGGAAATATTTTCATGGAAAATTATCCATACAAATGGCAATTTGCTTAGTCTGCAGGTTTGCTGCAGAAGGGGTATTATTATATCTTGCAGTAATTAATAATCAAACTATAAACCATATCTGTTGCAGGTTGATCAGCTTCATCAAGATCACGTCGTCATCAGAGATGTAGATCAATTGAATGATAAATTGAACATCTTAGTAGCGGGAAAAGCAGACAAACTTCAGGTAAGGTTAGTGTTTTTTTTATTGTTTTTTAAAATCACAATTGGTGAATCATCTTAAATTGTATTAGTAAAAAATAAATTTTTAATCTATTATATTCCATGTGTAGTAACTCGGTTGTAATTTAATGCTGGGATTTTCTGTCTCTTGTATAGGCATACTTAGAACTTGCATCTGTTGGCGCTAGTTTCTTTTTTAGACAATTGGTAAATAATTTCAATACTTAATGCAGAATTTAATCTTCAAGATATAGCCTAAATAAAAAATTAAAGCTAATGGCTATTATCTTTGTTTGTTTAAGCTATTTACATGTTTATTTTTACTATTTACTAAGTTTAAAAGCGTTATTATTTCAGATTATTGCAGACTTTGACTCCACCCTTACAAAATCTATTGTCGATGGGAAACCAACGCCTCACTCCTTAGGTATGGTAATGTCTAGAATTCATATTCTGTAGAATTCATTATCATATTCAGACACAGCGGCAGTTAAATAATTGATTTGTCCTTGAGCCCATAAAAGCCCATTAAGTCTTCAGTATTTGTTCTTGTGTAATATATTAAGAGTCATTATAACTGTTGGAAAGGGTACATAAAAAAAAAATAGCTCGCCACACATACAGATATTATTTATTGGAAAAAAACAGCTTTTGCTACAGCTAAATAAAAAAAGTAGTGTCAGATACAACTTAAGCTTCCTTTAAAGAAGCTTGTAGTTCAAGAGCTGTTAAATGTATGCAGTTAAATGGGTCCACATTCAATGGTACACTTTTAAATAACTTCATTTGTAAATTTTAATTGGCATTTCAGCTAAACATTTCCAGATACTTTCTTCAAGCTTTACTGTCAGAATATGAACTGTCTTTTGCTGTAATAGTGTGGAAAGTTACACTGTCAATATGTGTAAAATATCAAAGATGTTTTTAGAGAACTTGTAAAATAAATTATCACAATATCGAAATTTAAGGACGTCTACATAATTATCTTCTCACAAAATATCATAGGTTTTACATAAAAATACATTGTGAACATAACAAATTTGTGTAGGTACCTACCTAAATAATTGATACACTATCATTTATAAAATATAAGTATGGAACAGACCTGAAATTCTCTGTTAAACTTTCAATTAATTGTTTTCACAGAAATATTTGCCAGTGCGAAGAGTTTATCGAAAAAGTACCGGGATGGATGCAAAGCCTTGGAAGCCAAGTATGGGCCTAAAGTGTCAAGAGAGAAGACTGAAGAAGAGTTACAACGAGTTTACGATCAGTGGTGGGACGATCACGAAATCCTTACAGCTGGAGAAAATATCACGTTGAAAGATATCGAGGAGGCTGTGGATTCTATCAATACTCCTCTCAGGTGATTATAGGATTAATGAAATCTTATCACACAGCATTATCAATCAGAGCTTTAACCTATCATAGACTGTGATGCCTTTCTATGTTCGTCAATATATTCTTTTCCAAATTAAAATTATCACTGGACTTTAATTAATGTCATGAATAAATTAAAGACGTGTCAATGTATTTGTATGACATATTCACTGGCAAATAAAATCTCATTCTCATTCTAGCTTTTTGTGTATTTTGGGTTTTAAATTTAGTTCTATTATACTACCTTAGACTTTTGGATTCTGAAGTATACTTTCGATCTATTTTGTCCTGCTGTAGAAAATCTTTTATTCAAAATCGACGTGGTTAATTTAGTTAAAGTATGTACAGTAGTTTTATGGAAAGTAAATAAAGATACGTCTCATAACACTTAAAATTTTATAACACTTATTTTAAGTGTTATAAGACGTATCTTTATTTACTTTCCGTAAATTTAATAACATGTACAATGCTGATCAAGAAGTTATTAAGTAGTTTTATTTCCTCCCTTGGTTTTGTTACTTTTGAAAGTTGCAACTTAAGTGATGCTTAGTTACGATAAGTTGTCCGTTTAATTTAGCTCAACAACTATTCTTCTACAGGGATGGATGTACAGATATGTTCAATCTCCTGTCAAAGCACCAAGTTCCTGTGGTCGTCCTATCAGCTGGTCTCGGCGAAGTCGTCAACTACAAACTTCGAGACTTCAAACCAACAGTGATATCAAACTTCATTCGGATGGATGATAGCGGGAAAATCCTGGGCTTCACCAAGCCTACTGTCAGTGTTTACAACAAACACAAAATGTCTATTCCTGTAAGTTACTAAAATTGTGTTATTTTTATGTTCATTTGACTACAGTTTTAATAGGAACTATGGGGGTCCCTGAAATTTTCAGGTCCAGGACAACTGTTGACCCAAGAGATCTATTTGGTCCAAGTTTGTTATTGGTCATTTTTAATTGAGGTGTGCTAGTGGTTCGATTTTCAATCGCAAAAGGTGTCTGCGAAGATTGGTCGATAAAAATGTCATGACGTCAATGATTTTTAAACAATACTGAGAGTCGGTTATGTCCCCAACTATGGGAAACGTTTCCGATTTTATACTGTCTGCAGGAGTTATTCATGATTTTTCCGTGACCACAAAATATGTTACAATTTCACTGCAATCAGGAGACGACAATTCATCACAACCACAGGAGAGGTTAAGGTGCAACATCGCAATGTATAGTATTGTATAAACTAATTGTACAACAATTAGTTTTTCAAATAATCAATACTTACTTGATTATGGCCCAACCCAATTTTTCTCTGAGACCTAATACTTTTTACTAACCTTGAAGTAAAGTCTGGCCTTCAGTCTCCTAATCTTAAGTGGCTGAAATTTATTTTCTCCTAACCTAACTAGTAGATTTTTGGTAAATCTGTTGTTTTTTGTTTTTTTCTTGTTCATCTGTAAAGTTTTTGGTTACAGAATTCATCAACATAAAAAGTAGAAATTTTCTTGGCATAAATTTTGTTTATCAGTTTCAACTTAATGCAGTCTAAATAAGTTGCATTACCGGTATATGTATAACTGATTTAATTATGTTTATTTTGTAGTGTTGGGTCTGCTGAGTGACATACTAAATGTTGCCAAAAAACGGTCCATGGGAAAACCCCTAAAATCATTATAAAAAATTGTGGCTTTTCCCAACATTGGAAACATAATAAAAAATGATTCCACATGCATTTTTTATGCACATTTTCGATATATGACTTAAGACCACCACCAGTATTTATTGGGTGGTTAGTACTTCATTTTGATAGGAAATACGTTTATGGCCGCCATCTCGGATCCGCCATATTGGATATACATATTGTTTTTATGTAATGATAGTGTTGTGACACATCATTTACAAAACTAGATTTTTATGCTAATTTCAATGCGGAAATCCGTTTTTATTTTATTTTTCGTTTTAAAGATATTCAAACAAAAACTCTCCCCCATACATTTCTTATAGACCTTTCGTACTTTTATAATTTATTTAAACATTTTTTTAAATATCTCCAGTTTTTATAAACGCTTGCAGTTTGTTTCAACATTAAAATATTCAGTAATGTAAGGGCTTCCATTTGAGCTATTGATCATTAAAATCAGAAGAGTTAGAGACCCGCTACGAACAAAAGCACAAAATTAAATCTAACTTTTTTAGAAATTTGTTTTTATTAAAATATTTATATCTCGGGTTGTTAATACGGCCCAAGGTCTCTCTGGTCTTAAATTACTCAGTAAATGTTTGGCTTTAATTTGATTAATCACTAAATAAAATCCAACAAATTTAAAATGAGTCATAGACCTTAATTTAACATTAAATTATTTTTATTTCGAAATTTATCTTTAGTTAAAGACATAATATATCCCCAATTAACTCCCAAAACTCTTTATAGTCTAAAATAATTCACTAAAGTATTGACTTTTATTTTAGCTATGGATTACATATTGGGAGTTATTTAGAATAGGGGATATCTGTATTTAAGTAAAGAAAATTTTCAAAATAATAATAAATTAATGTTCATTTAAATTATTACAACTTAAACTTTAAAGGATTTAAAGGAACTTAAACTGTTTCCTTTAAAAGTAAAAAAAAATCACTTAACAGCCTCTTATATGCATTAAAGTGGTTTTTGATAAGTATTTTAAAATACCCTTCCTAACTTCTCTTTTTGAAAACACTGTGGGTACACAATCGGAATCGAGGTTTACTAAAGGTCCAGAATTTCCTCGTTTTCTATCTCTTCGATGAATAGGATCTTCAACACTTGGCTCTTAACACTAATAGTGAGAGCAAAATAAATTTTAACACAGTCAGGAACCAACTGTTGAACTGAATAGACGCGTTCTTGGACAACGGGCCTCTAAGCGATCGACGCCCGGCGATCATCGCTCTGCGTCAGACGCAACAGACGCGCCTTGGACAACGCACCTTAAACCATCCAGAATTTATTTTGTACTAGTGTACCTGTTGCTTGAATTTGAGCAATTGCTAAGTATTACAGGGGTTATTTGAAAATGAGTAACAGTAATAATCTCTGATGACTTTCAAGGATTCGACTCAAAGATTATGGAAATACTCAGGTAAATATTTCATTTCAACCAAGTCAGTAAATGTTTGTAGCAAACTCCTTGTTCCCACCACCACCCTTGGCTAAGTCTGGGACTTATTTGCCAGGCCAATCCCCCGTGAAAATCTTCTTTCTTTTTAGGCTTCAGCCACTTTTAATACTCGTCCAGACACATTATGTGTCCAAAAGCCTAACAGCACGACTCCCTTCCCCATACCGCCCTGAGCGATAGGGATCATTGAGTTTCGCTCTAACCTTTCCTCTTCCCTTCATGGGCAAGTTTTTATTCCTTTTCTTTCTTAGTTTTTGTTATTTCGTTTTTTTTATTTAAAAGCCTGTATGTATCCATGGTTTCTCCTATTTCCCTAGCTACTTTTCTAAACTTCTCAATTGTTTCCTTGTCACTCATCATGTTTTATTTTCTCACCTCTAGACCTCTCTTATCCAACACTTATTCCTGTACTCTCTTATTTGTCTTCTGAAGAGAACAATTTATAAATACGTGACTCGTGGTTTTTATTTCTCCACATTACATAATTCCCCTTCTACCAAGTGAATTCTCCACAAATTCGCCTTTAAATTTTCCATGTCCTTTGACAAACTGCGTTTCATAATGGCCCATCTCCCGATCTTGTTCCAGTCTCTTTCTGATGTTAGGTATTTATCCGAACGTTTACCTTTAAAACGTTAACATAAAACACTCTGCTCCCAACGCATTTGCAACTTATCTCCTCTCTTCTGTTTCAAAATCAACAGCTTATGCAGCGATTATCCAACAGTCCTAAATTGAATGTGGAATCTTCAGGCGGCTGTTGGAGAGCACACATAAACCCAACACGGAAGGGTGCTTGCTGTATTCGGCTATCAACGACAATAGTATTACTGTATTTGTATTTCGTTTGCGTCTACCAGTTAAAGTTCGTCGGTCCCTCCTCTTGACTTATAGTCTCCATTTTGTCGAACCTTTATTTGGTTATGTTTTGATTTTGTGCAAATAAAAAACGGGTTTAAAACAGTGAAACATCAATCTTTTCAACTAATCTAATAAATGTCTCCAATTTTAGTATAACCAGCTGTTTCAAATATTAGTGTCAATTTCAAAGTACCGCTATTCATCTGTTTAAATGTAAACAAACATTTTCTCCATAAGAATAACATGGGAACTTTAAAGGCCAAGGGGGCAGAGCCCTGATGGAATTCCAAAGTTTTTTTCTTTGATGGCAAAACTACATGCTAAGACCTTTCTAACGACTCCTTGGACATGGTGATCGGTAGCACTACCGCTCCTAAACAATTATGACAAAAATATGCCTAGCGTATTAAATATATAGATGAGCTTCTTTGCCACAGACAGATAATCTCATCTTGATTTTTGTATTCCAAACCTGGCCGAGACAGGATTCAAATCCTCAACCCTGAGTTGTATCCTGACGGGATAGTAGTTTAAAAAAAAACTTAGCTGAGGATATGATATTGCTGGCTCAGCTGAGCATATGAGGAGCGCTATGCTGCCCTTAATATTGCTGAGGATATGAAGCCATTTATTTTCAAATTATCGGCGATTTATGAATGGTATACAGTATTTAGTTTTTACAATGTTTTATTTTGTTGTAGGTAGAGAAAGTGAGAGAAAATGCCATTCTCATTGGAGATTCACTTGGCGATGCTATCATGGCGGACAGTGTTTCAAATATCAAGACTATTTTAAAAATAGGATTTTTTATTGGACTGGTAAGAATTAGTAATACATTATAGTCATTGATATGGATGTTAATGGAATAACAGTTACTATTAGGCCTATATGCATTGACAACAGAATTTTTCTCTCAAAATCGCACACAAGATATACAGCCTATGAAACCCAAATTTACTCTTGTATACTTTTGAAATGTTATATTATTATTATGTGATGAAACCTCCTGCGTGCATAAATTGTTCTTTTAATGATAATGGCTAAATCGCTGTGCATTTTTCAAAGTTTTTGATCCCAAAGATTCATGTGCATCTCAATCACAGTTTTAGTTATGTTTGTTTACTCTGGTCCATTTGTTATTTGTTAAAAATTATTTTGTGTCTATTTGTTGCAGGATCAGGTGCAGTTGCAAAAATATTGTAACAGTTTTGATGTTGTTGTTATCAACGATCAAACAATGAATACTGTCAATGCAGTTCTAAGACTCATCCTCGACTCTTCGTAGTTACATGTTTAAGGCTGATCTTTAAAAGTTTAAAATACAGGAAAGTTCTGCAGAACAAAAAGTATAAAAGGATATAAGAAAGAAAATATATTCTAAGATCCCTTAAAACTGCTTTAATGTTAAAATTTTAGAGAATATTATATTCTCTAGCTTGAGGTAAGATTTTTTCAGCAAGGAATGTAAGTGTTTTTTTATATCTTTATTAGATACATTACACCAATATACGATCGTTCCCTTTTAGTGTTTATTGAAACAAAAATCTGGTTTCTCAAAATAAATTGATAATTCTCGCCGAGCAGACATTCCTTGTATTTTTCTTCTGTATTTAATATTAATATATTGTAGTTACTGTTTTCTAGTGAGCTTAGCCTAAGAATTAAGAATTATAAAGCGCCTTATACTTAATGTAGTATCCACCAAATTTTTTTTATTTTAGTTTTATGTAAAAATACGAAGACATTTTATATTGTTTTACTCGTGCAAATATTTATTAATGGCATACATAAATTGTCTAAAAGTAGTTTTAATATTCGAAGTTGACCTTATTACAATATTTTTTCAGCATTTTTTTTAGTAGGCTAGTTATTAATCTGTGCCTTGTAAATGCCTTGGTAGTACTGTATAATGTGCTCATGCCAATGCGTGGGAAATCATTTGTTGTGATTAAATGGTTACTTAACACGTCTAAAAACTGTCAGGTATAGTTTTGGTTTAAATCAGTCACCAAAGAATGGCATTGCCGTTAGGAAACCCTGCCTTTAGGTTACAGTAGCATATTATATGGAAGCGGGCGTGACCAAATTACTGGTTGATTTACTTTTCGTCATACTACAGAAAAACATCTGTTTATATTCTATAGCTCAGTGGCTCCGACTTGCTGAACAGCTGGTGTCGTCTGTAACAACATTCTTGAATTGAATTGAAATACCACACCGTCAATACCACACTAAAACCTTACAACTGCTACAAACCACACACAACAACATCACAAACCTCTCGGAGTCATAGATCTGTTGTGGATCTCAGTCCTTTCATATAGGCTAATCATGCTTTTTATACCATATCTCTAGTCACTTGTTATTGCAAAATGTGATAAACCGACCTTTATAAGAAGTTCAATTTGATCATTCCCATGAGACACTTGTTATCAAGGTTTTAATGTAATATTTTGCTATTTTAGACAACTCTAGCTTAATGTAAATCATGCATAAATTCAGAGCCTCTGAATTTGTGTATATTCAGGGGTGCCCACAAGGGGGGGCTGTGACGCAGACTGCGTCATTGAAATTCTTGGGGGGGGGTTGCAAAAAACTAAAATGGGGGGGTGGCTAAAGTTAATTGCAACAGTGTTCAACGTAACGACAATAAAAAATATATTACGAAGTCGCCAGATACAAAGTAGATTAATTAATGACAATAGTTATATTATTTCATTCAATTAGTAAAAATAGGATTTTCTGGTAGTTTAGGATTCGTGTAGGAAGTTATTATTCAAGATTAGCAAGACGTGAGATCTAAGAGGGAGGGCACGGAATGGCTCAACTGCTCTGATAGATAAATATAACGCGTGGTACAAATACAATCAAGTAGCATAGGCTACAATAATTTACACTATTGTGTAGATACTCGATTACCTGAGTTAATAGTTATGGGGGGGGGGGGTAGTGGGTAATGAAAAATACGGTTAATCCAATATAGTATAAAAATAGATAACAAACCCATTAAAACGCTGTAAACAGCCATTAACGTAATGATTTGCATTTTTATAAACGAAATTCAATATTGCACAATCATTATTATTGTGCAATAACATTATTATTGTACATTTCAAATCATTTATCTTGGTTCAGTTGTACAAACGGCATCGTTTAAAATTATAGCTTACTCAAACACAATATACAAACACAACTAATAACCAGCCAAACACTGCATTGCTATAAATAACGTAAATATTAAAGGAACCTTTAGAAAGTGTTATAAGCTACTGCTCATGATAAGTTAGATAGCCTACCGGTAGGTGCTGTATCACAGCATAGGAGTTGATAGATAAGTAATAAAAAGTTGTAAAATTATATTTAGAAATAATAAAAACCCTCTTAAAAAAGAATGTAACGAGAACAATCTTGTTATTCTTTTTCTTTGTTCTTCTGTTCTTTATTAGGTTTAGGTTTATCTTTAATCCATACACAAATTCAACAAGTCGCCATATTTAGGCCTACTCATTGCCCAATCACAGCCTTATACTAAAGTTACCATGGTTACTAATCACAGTTTACTAAGCATTATATCGTCATCACATCATTCCCCAGCTGTTGTTGTATCTGAAATCTGTTGTAACATAGCGCACAGCAGACATAAGTGTAAAACGGAGCAGACGATTGTTGGCGCAAGCGTTGTTTCCGTTCCATTTTCATCGTTGGTGCTGTGATGTTTCCAAAGGGAGGGAGAGGGGGTCGTTATATCAAGAAAAAGACGCTGACAATTTGTTAAGCAGAGGTTACGAACGCTATAGATATTCTGGCATACAAAATTCCTTAAATTGAGGTGACTTATAATAGGTACTCTAATTCTATTTATATAGAAAGATAAGTTTTCCAGTCCTGTACAACACTGATTCACGTACGGTCTTTTCCCGGTAATAAAAATTGAAGTACAACTTGATACACACAGAATCTCCGGTTCCCGACCTGGATGATGGCTAGTTATTTAATTTAATTTACAGTTACATATTAGTACCCAGTACCCGTGATAAATAAAACCCGTTATTTAAGCTAAAGCCACACGGTTATTAATCTCACTTGGTTTTGGATTTGCTTACAAACGTGATCGGAAATGGTTAGGGCCTAAACAGAATTCGTAAAATCGTAAACAACATTTATGTAAACATATCAGTGACAGCTAGAAAAAGGAATCTTTATCAAAATAGCTGCTCGTAATTTCATATGACGTGTTCTCTTAACAGATTATTAATATTTCATAAATGACGTATGTAGTAAATATGGAGAAAAAAAAAACAAGAAAAATCACACAAAATTGGGTTTTTGATCGTCCGTTATTTTATTTCCAAAATAGTCAAGCCATATTTTAATGGCTAAGGACACTCTTGCCAATCCTGTGAATACAATTAAACCATTAGAATCATAATAGGTACTCCAGTTTTTTTAGAGTAGGCTAAGTAAAACGCATTCTGGGCCGTGACAGACAGACATAAATTGAGATAAGACATGTTTCAACTTCTTCAATGTATAAAACGTAAAAATAACCCAAAATATGTATAATTCTGAGCAATGTATAGACAAAACTATAACTTTATTTATATAGATTAACTGGGTTTGAATTTTTAATATCTAAAACAATTTATAAAACTTATTTTAGTTTTACAAATAGTGCTGGGCGGGGGAATAATGTTTCTCATTTGATGTGTATCTCATTTATTGGAGGGGGGCTGTTGCTCAATTGGGGGGGGGGTGCGTCATGAGTCTAGGGGGGGTTGGGCACCCCTGGTATATTTACACTAAAGACAGTTTATATGAAAGAATCATGAGTAAGAAAACCAGTCCAAACTCCTAACATTTTTCTGAATATTCCATTAACTTAACCATCACTTTTGTACTTCAGACACGAGCCACTTACTTAGCAATACACACCCAAGAACGCAATTTGTGCTTTCATTTCACCATAGCTTTTAGGTGCAGTAATGTTTTGCACTGTGTTACCTTTTAGGAGGCTTTAAAATTGCTAAAGCCTCTGTTACCTTATGTTGACTGATGTTAGGTTAGAAAATGTTTTGTAAAACTATTAACTTTGTCTTAATATAAACGCTTGGCCAGTACTTACACCGTAGCTTATAAGTTAAACATGCCCAGCTATTTACAATGATTTTAACTGTGACATGCTTATTTTCTAATGTTATACTGCAGTGAAGGCAGCTAGGTTTAACCATAATCTATAAGCAAGTTCCCGTCAAATAGACATATTTTACCATTTACCATTGTAAAAGCTGTAGCCACTTTTTTTGTGAGATAGAATTCAAATACAACAATATTTGAATAAACCATTACAGTACCCAATAAATTCCACGCTTTATCTCACTATCAAACTGTCCGTTAAATTATTCTCATCTAGAGAACAATTACATCCCTCAATGTATTCATAACGTACCACACTCGAAAACAGGAAATAAAATTCCGCAGTATCACATTGACGAACATATTGTAGAGATTGAATTCTAATTTTTACAACAACAAAAAATTGGCTATAGCCAGTACTTGTGAGTGGTATTTTTATACAGTATTCATAATAAAAAATTACATTTTTCCTATCCTGTTTATTAATTTTTGCTATGTAACCCTAGATGTATTATGTAAAGCCACCAAAAATACCTTATGTTGTGTTTTAATTTTTTTTAATGTCTGCTTCATTTTTGTACTCCCACTTTGTCTTATTAAATGAATTTCAAATAATGAAATGAATATAGTAAAAAAATAAAATGTTAAATTTTTAATTATGATTTTTAGTAACCCTGATTGTATTTTAATCTTATGTTTGGATGCTTGTTGAGAGTGTCAAAATATAGGCAGTGGCGTCATTTCACCAAATCCTAGGGGGTGGGGGGCAAACACCGGGGGCAATGAGGGGTATGGAATACCCCCCAGCAAACAGGGGGGCCCTCCCCCAGAAAATTTTGCAGATTTGGAACAAAAAAGGGGGGTTTAAGCTTATTTTAAATTGTCAAAAGCACATTGAATAAAAACAAAATTATGAGTTAAGTTTATTTAATTTTAGGCAGAAAATTAATGGAACTAACAATTATTGACAACAGACAGAAACATAATAATATGTTGGTAAGCTAGTCATCCAGGAAACGTGATCAATAGTTCCATGGTGTATTAATATTATTTTTGTTACTAGATTTATGACCAATTTCTCTTGTACAACATTTAGACCTATAGCAATGAATACGGTTGTATTCATAGCCTAGGCCTATAGTTTACAACAGTTTAATTTGGTTTTTAAATAAAACAGAACTATTTAAGTACTTAAATGCAAATCAAATTTTATTATCAATAAAATAATTTGACACAATTAATTTTAATGTGCTACTGAACCACTAAAAAGATAATATTCTTGTTTCAAATTACTGTAGAAGAATATAGGCAGATTTTGGTCTGCCGTGCTTTTTAGGATTTATTTATTTTATTTTTAGGAAAATATTTGTATATTAGCTAGTATAGCATATTTTTTTTCTCCAGTTTATAAGTCTCACTTAGATGAATCACCATTCTGGTACTGTAGTCTATATAATTTTAAGATCCGGGGCTCCGTTTACCATCGGATTCGTTAATGTGGTTAATACCCTCTAACATTGAACCATAGACTAACCAACACAAGTAGACTTCTCATCCCATTGTAAATTTTGAAGCACGTTTTTCGTGTCTAGTTCATGTACGTGACACAAAGGCGCTAGTGTCGACGAAACTTTGTTTCTATTATTTTAGGGTTAATTTCTTGATTTGTGCTTTACTGTTTAGTTATATAACTAGGGGACAAGTTATTGTTTATGATTAGATCGTATTATTTGGTTAAACGAGGTTTTAAATGGCTGTAATAACGGGAAACAAATTGTAAACAAAACACGACCTCTATAGAAAAACGGACAGAACTAACAATAAAGGTACGTTTTGCCTGGAGCGACAGGTGCGACGGTCGCGCAGCGACCGTCGCTGAGCGGCAGTCGCGGGACACTGATCAAAGGGGTTTTGCATAGTCCTGTTTTGCTTGGAGCTACTGTCGCTAGAGCCGCGAGCTGCAGTCGCTGGGTACTGCTCCAAGACCAGTCAGGAGCGACGGTCGCTTAGCGACAAGTTAAATTTTAGTGGTGAGGAAGACTACAGTTTATTAGAAGAAGTGACAAAACACCCCGCGCTTTATATTATATCCTACAAAGACCAAGGAATAAAGGACAACGTCAGATTAGTTTAATATTATCTCTTATATTAATACGTGAGGGCTGTTTTTTGTGAACAAAACTCCTCCGTTATTTCTGGACCGATTCTAACGTTTGAGGTGTCAAATAATTTGTCTCAATTCGTAGTTTTGCATAAAGGTTTTAGAATGAAAAAACTCTTACCCTTAAGGGCACGAGGACGCTCTCAAAGGTCGCATTTTCCCCATAAGAATTACACTGGAAACAAAAATTTAAAAACAAAAAACAGCTGTATATAAAAAGAAACTCACCAGCTTTTTGGGAGTAAATATTGATTTTTGTAATATACAGGAGGTTATAGACAAATCTAAACAGTCAATCAGTTTTGTTGGAAGAACTTATTTTGGAAGTAAAAAAAATCATGAAGAATATACACATCATGTTGTCACAGTGGTAAAGTAAACCTACCTAAAGTCAGATCAAATAAATACATGCAAGAAATGTTTACTGGTAACAGATTTAAGTCGGGAAACATTTGTAGAAAACACAAAAAAAATAAGGCCGGGTCCAAAAAATGCTAAAATATTTTTACAAGAAGCTTTTACTATTTCAAAGTGCTATTAAATCGTGAGTATTAATTCAATTAGTTACATAAGAATTTAGTCGGGTCTTTATATTAAACTCATCGAAAATTATGACTGTTATTACTGTAGTTATAAAATAACTTCTTTATAATACCGGTACTTGACAATTGCTCGATTTCGAGCAACAGGTACACTAGTGTTATTATATTATAAGTTATTTTAACATATTAGTAGATTATTTCGATTGTCAACTTTAAATATTTCTAATTACATTTTCGTTTAGGTAATTTAATAAAATATTGTTCTGTATAAATGGTTGTTGATCAAATTGGCTTAAAAGTCAGGCGTGTCATATGTAACTATATAAAATGCCAATTATTAAAGTAATGTGTTAAGAAGAGGCTATTCAAATATTAATGGAGTATATAATGTAATTGGTATTTTTTCATTTACTATACAATCAACAAAATATAATTTTCACTCTGTGAGGAGGTTGTTTATAATACTGATTTCCAATTCAAGTTATGCTTGTGTACTACAGTACAATTGAGTAATTTTATTACATTTTGGCTTGTGATATGGCAGTTTTGGAATGTTACGCATAACAAATAACTAGGCCTATAAAGAATACTTTATTGTTAAGTTTTGCCTGTTTTACTAAGAGAATTTATCGAATTTATTTAGTGACTTTATACTTAGTGCGCACTTTTGAGGTTAGTTGCAATGACGGTACCACGTCTCGTGACGCCAGGAAGAAGAAGTTGTCGCTCCAAGCAAAACAGTCTACCACCCCGCGACTGCCGCTCGGCGACAGTCGCTGCGCGACCGTCGCACCTGTCGCTCCAGGCAAAACGTACCTTTAAATTGGCTTCAGCTGTTCCATAAGGATGGGAAATCTACTAAGGGAGTATGTTTTATCTATGATTGAACCAAACGACGTATACACAGCTGTTACTCACAGAATGGGTCAAAGATCCGTGAAATGCGGCCAACTGCTGATGCGTGATTTAAATTACTATCTTTATTCCGCACAACGAATGTACAAGAATGAACAAGAAAACAACGAATGTAGGAATATACATTAACAAATTATCTCCATAGCATAAGTAGCTTATTAGGTTATCAGCATTGTGCAGTTCATACACCATTTATTTTTCAAATGTAACTTGAATTAATTTAAAACATTCATTTGGTTAAACTAATACAGGGTGTCTCAGACCACCCGGCCGGCTTGTATAGCTCCAATATGAAAGCAAATGGAAACCTAATTGCAATTGGAACCCCCTATTTTGACCCCAAGGAATTCATCTAAATTATTTTCAACCCCAAAAAAACACCCCAAAGGGCAGATTTTGGGGGGTGGGGGTGGTTTTTGGGAAATTTTCAAATGTAAAGGGGGGTCGTGTTATACCTCATTTTAAAGGTCCTTTAGTCCTGAGTATTTTAGTGGAAAAAGATTTAAATTTTCTTCATCCCTATGTACAGGGTGTTCAAAAACGTACAAAAAATAGACCTTTGAACTACTTTTCACTGTAAAGAGGTGGAATTTTGTGGGGGGTTCAAATTTTGATAACACTTTATTTGCTAAATGAGCTTTCAAAAAATTCTGGTTTCAACATTTTTGCTATCTTTTTACTTATGTTACGCATTTTCAAACTTTTTGAAGTTTCAAAAGCTGTTATCTCAAAAAATTTAAATGGCAACATGGGTTTCATTACAAACTACATTGTAGCCCTTACAATTAGCTACAAATTTTGTATTTAATGTTTTTTTGGTATCTTTACTGGTTTAAGAGCTGTAGCGAATTTAGTGTATTTTAATGTTTTATTAAGTGGTATTCATGTACGAGCACCTTTGTAAAGGTTACACTGTGACCTTTTTTTTTTAGGAGAGTGGCCACCAGTAGGTCTGTGTGGCGCAGGTATGCCTACTTGCCACTACACGCTCCAGCGCCTACATTTTAACGCTCTTTATGTACAAGTAAAGTACAGTAGAGGTAAGTATTTTTTTGCATCAAGTGGTAATGTGAATTTTTTCTGGAGCATAGAATTGATATTCAATTTCATAGTATCCAAGTAAACTAATTTAAAACTATATTAAATAATTGTAGTCTCCAATTCTCCAAACACTCTTCTATATGGTGGAAAACTACCTTTTTTTGGTCCAGAGGGACCCAAAACGGATATCCACTCAAAACTCAAACTCGAAAATTTTGACGAAAACAATACTTTCTCCATATACTATGTTATAGGGAGAGAAAGTAAAAATATGGTTTAAATCAACTTCACATTCACATGACAAAAGACACATGACATTCGTTCTTTATATAGTATGACAATAATTATTAATAGAAGACATTTTTATACATGTATATATGCTTGGTGGACATAATTCTTTTTAACATCTATTGGTTGGCACCCTGCTTGAGTTGTTGTGAAACTGAAAATGGAAGGCACGGCTGAAATTGAAAATAATAGTGAAAATGTTTGTGTGTCTGTGCAAAGAAGAATGAAGACGACGGATTTGAGATTAACGAATGCGAATTTTTAATACATGGATAAGTTATAGCTATGCCCGCGTTGAAATTAATGAATATGATGAGAATATTCGCAATCTCATTTGTCTGCTTTTCTATTGAATTTGCCTAGCAAGTAAGTAAGTTAATTCGTCTGTTTCATCATTGTTTTTGTTGTAGCCTTATAACTCTGGACTAAAATGGCGGCTTTTCTTCCAGGAGGGTCTGGTCATTTTAACTTATAGGAATAGGACTACCCTCAGTTTGTCATTACAACTATTCGTTGCCCTTTTGTAGATGATTTGTCATCAATCTAAAGCAGAATCGATGGTTTTTACATGACACAATCTTGTTGGATGGATTTAGGCCTACCTATCGTGATCAAATAAGCCGCTCCCTAGGCCATAAAAAGGCGGATTATTTAGCCTAGATAGGCCCTAGCCTAGGCTTTACAATAATTTTAGGACTTTTCAACGTTTAATTCTTAATAGGTATTCAATCATATTCAACACCTGTAAGTTACCTAAATGTCACTCATTTTTTGAGACTTGCGGAGTTTGATAAAAAACCTAGGCCTAATAAAAAATCTAAATGATGACATTAGGCCTACTTAGGCCCTAGATAAGTAGTACTTAGGCTTAGGTCTAGGCTATATAACATTGTATATTTTCTTAAAGCAAATAAAATTGTCTAGGCTATCTAAAAATGTATGATATTTTTGTGTCTTAGGCTACCCTGTAGGCTAGGCATATAATAGCAATTTATTGTTGGCTCAAATTCAGGTGTTCCAAAAAAAGTTCTTAATTTTTTACATACCGGTAACTTAACCGCATATGTAAAAAAAAAATCACTAGGTATAGGCCTAGGGCCGATTTGCAAAAACTGAGGGTAAATATTTACCGTATTTACATTGGGATATGATATGTAGCCTAATTTTTATAGGCCCTATGTCTACTTACAGTACGTATTTTTAACGCTGAATCCAAAAATGCAATCAGTTTTTGTCAGAGATATTCCTAAGTGGCCGTAAAACAAAGGTTAGGATTACGAATCTAAGGATAATTGAGCGGTACTGAAGGTGGTAGTCTAATGGTTGGTAATATGGCGTGGTCTGGACTGGACGGGTCTGTACTGAGTGAAGAGTGAGGAGTGAGGACTGAGTGAGAAGAGCAAACAACTGTTTATACTTTATCTAATGCAGAATGAAATCAAATCAATTCCTTTTGAAACCAAATAGGCCTTATTTAGTTCTTAGTCTTATAGTTCTTATTTAGGCTTGTGAGGAAGGTAGGTTGGGTTTTATGCGGATTCGTGACTGTATTAAGTGTTTTGAAGTGAGGTTAGATTAGGAAGGTAAAGTTTAACTTTAACTTAAGTTACCTAATCTAACCTCACTTCAAAGGACTTAATATAACTTAGTCACAAATCCGCATAAAGTCCGACGTATCTTCCTCACATGCCTTTTCTGACATAAAATGTGATTTAAACATTAACATTAAGGTTGGGTTGGGTTAGGTTAGATTAGATTATGTAACATCATTTATTAGTTGCGGATTAAATTATGCACTGTGGCACGTTTTCACTTTTAGACACAATGGGATTATGTACTGTGGGATCATGCACTATGTCACGTTCATTACCAGACGTTGAGGCATTAGTCAATGGTTGAGGATTGGAATGAGGACGATGATCATGTCGGCAGTGGCCTAGCTTCTATTACTGATGTTTTACGTGAATAAATTCTATTTTGTTTTATAATTTATGTTCATGTGATTAATAGTTTATGTATTGTAGTTGATTTATTGTACCGTATTTTCTAAACAGCACCCAAGTCCATTTTCTTTTTAAAATCTAGTTATTGCATATTGTAACTCTGATCTGACAGCTGTTTCCACTCCACAAACCTTCCACCCCTTTTAGTGTTAGTCGCCACTAGAACTTGGACTCGTCCATACCACAAATATGTTAATAAATCAACAAAACTGAAGCTCAATATTAATTATTTAACTTTACGGCCACTTAGGAATCCCTCCGACCAAAACTTATTGCATTTTTGGATTCAGTGTTAAAAATACTGTAAGTAGACATAAAAATTACATCAAATCCCAGTGTAATAGGGTAAATAATTACCAAACTGAGATATAGCCTACATTTTATTCTAAATGGGGTACACTTCCTTATCTGTTACCACGAACAACCGAATGAGTAATGTTGATTATTAGTTTGTTAAATTTGATATATCGTTTGGTTAGTTAGGTTCTAAGGTTAACCTTACCTAACTAACCAAACGATATATCGATCGGAATTTTCATTCAGTTGTTTGTGCAAACAGATATAGAAGTGTACCCTCTAAATGTAGTAAGGAAAAAGAAAATATATTAGTTTCACCCTGTTTTTCATTATAGGGTAGCCTAATACATTAACTCTAAAAATCACGACACACAATAGTAACTTACAACGTAAACATTCGTTCACTAGCAACCGAAACAAACAATGATGGAAAAACTATCACAGAACAAGATGAATAGTTTGGGAAACGGCCGTCTTTTATAGCCTACCTACTTGTCATGAAGCCCAGAATCTCCTGAACACGTTAGTATGCCCAATGACTGAGTTTGTTCTTGTGGGATTAAGTTATATCAACTGAAACCGTAGGCCTGTCAAGTCGCCGTAATTACGTTGATTGACACCTAGAGGGTTAAGCTTTTTTGCTCTGTTGGTCAATCATCAAAGCTAAGTAACGTATGTAAGTTAACCCTTTTAGTCACTGTGTCCTATATATAGGACCATACAAATATTTTTTTTATTGTAAAAATTAACTACATTTCCATAGTACCTAACCATAGTATCTCTGTATTCCTAAGATACCAACCTAAATTATAATAATGGAAAACACATCCTATTATAACACATTTATAATACCAGTGCCAAATATTGGGGTTCATAGAAAATCCAATTTTTTCAAACCTGTCAATTTTGATTTTTTTTTCTAGGCTAGAAGTAATACATTTTTGATGGATTTTTTATTTTGACGAGAGAAAGAGTGTATTTTTACAACTCTATATGGTACAACTCGTAAAACGTGTATATATATATATATATATTTTTTTTTTTTTTGTTTTATAGTACCGGTATCGTCCTATATATAGGACACTGTGACTGAGGACTGGGGATGATTTAGACTTGTTTACTCCTATTTTTTTTTAACTCTATGCAATCTATGAGTGATAAACAGATGTTTGCAATACATCTGTAGTTTCCCTGATTGTTCATGCTTGGATGTTTTATAACCTAACATTTTGGAAACAGCAATTTGTGCTGAATGTATCATGGACCACACATACAAAAAGGTTGTGAAAAAAGGGTTTGATATAAGAAAAGATAAAGAAAACTTAATTGAGTTACTTGATACTGGGAATTTATCAGAAATAGAAATATTATGGTTTTATTGCATTAATAATAAAACTTTAGAGTCATTGATCCTGGAAGTCACAGTGTCCTTTAAATAGGACTTTACAAAAGTGACGTAGTAGGCCTAAGCATTTAATAAAATAATGTTAAAACTGTTCATGCTGGACAAACATAGTTTATTACTATTTATAGGGGAGATTCTGACTTAATATATAACAACATATGAAGTGTCTATAACAAGTATAACTATAACAAAAAAACTACTTACCTATACAAAAACTGCTATTTTCTTATATAAAAAAATTAAAAGTGTTTATTTTAGATGAATTTACTTTTTCCAAAATTCATAAAAAAAATTAAAATAAAAAAGTTATAAAGAAAAAAAAATGCTTTACCAGTTTTTGAAAAATCGTGACTTTAGGAAAGCCCAGGTCTAACTTAAGTTGGGATTTTAGTAAGCCTAGCCTAATTTAGGCTACATTAGGTTTATTCATCCATCTACTGATATCTAACTTATGCATGTAGTCTAAAACAATATGTACTTAGGCTATAAATCCATAAGTTAAGCATCTGCAATTTATCAAACACAAACTAATTTATAAAATATTACCTACTCTAAGTTTAGCCAATCAACAGGCATTTGAAAATGAGGTTATGTTGCCGACCTTTAGGCCTAAGTTGGTGCTTAAAGACCAAGCCTTGCCCTACCTTAAACTAGCCTATAAGTCAACAGTAACTTAAGCTTACAGCCGCTTACAGTAAGCCGCTTAAGTTAAACATTTTTTAGGCCTAAGCCCAACTTACTTTCCAGAGGCAAGAAAAGTTATTTAAGTTATCAGGATACGAAACACCTAACTTAGAGGTAACTTAACTTATAGAAAACCCCTACCTTTTAATTGCTCACCTCAAGAAATAAGTTAAAGTGACGGCAGTTACTCACAAGACGGTAAATATACAAAAAAGATGGTAAGTGGTGGTCGATTTCTATTGTTGAAATCAATCACCACTTACCATCTTTTTTGTATATAAACCGTCTTGTGAGTAACAGTAAGCATAATTATATGTTTTAAGTGTTATAAGACGTATCTTTTATTTAGCCTACTAAAAATAAGATTAACTTAGCTTTTGAAAAATTATAAGATATTTACAAGAAATGTTGATTATATCGATCTGTTATGTACATCTTGAGTATTTCCATAATATTTGAGTCCAGTCTTTTAAAGTCATCAGAAATTATGACTAATATTCGTTATTAACATATGTGTAATACTTAGCAATTGTTCGAATTCAAGCAACAGGACAATAGACAATAGACAATAGACAAGTTTATTAGTCATTAATTAATTCACAAGAATTACAATAGACATCGTCAATCTAAACAATAGAAACATTATTTATAAACAACTATAAAATTTAAGTCTTTGTTTACAAATTGTAAATTGAAGAAATCACTTAACTTGTACATAGGATTAGCTTTACACCAAGAGAGCAGTTTTTTTGAAAATTCATTTAAGGGCAATGCACGAAAATCAACTGGAAACATGTTAAATATTTTGATCCCCAAGTGGGTATGATAGTTTTGAGATCTAGACAGTCTTACTCTACTTACATCAATAAAATTTCTATTTCTAGTTAAGTGGCTATGGACATTTCCTCTTAAAACATGTTTGTTTGAGTTCTTTTTCACAAAAATGGAGACTTCATAAATATACAGATTTACAACAGTTAATATACTAGATTCTATGAACAGAGATTTACAATGGTCTAATCTTTTGGCACCAGTAACAATTCTAATGACTTTTTTCTGTATCAATAACACCTTACCAATACCAACTCCATTACCCCAAATCACAATACCAAATCTTATGATGCTCTCAAAAAATGCAAAATAGGCTAATTTCAAATAGCTATTAGTGACATGATTCCTTAAACTGCTTAATAAGCATTTGACTCTGGATAACCTTGTACAGATAAAATCAATATGATGCTGCCAAGACAGCCTATTGTCAATATATATACCTAAAAGCTTAACAGAACTAAAATCACAGATGTCATGGGTTGAAACCAATAAATTGTCAGTTTTGTCAAAATTTAAAAGCAAGCCATTTGCAGAGAACCACTCTGTCGATTCACCTAAGGCATTTTCTGATAGGCAGTGCAACTGCCCTAAGTCACTGTGGCTACAGAACAGTGTTGTGTCGTCTGCATAGATTGTGACATCACTACAAGAAACATTAACAGATAGATCATTCATAAGTATTAAAAATAAGATGGGGCCCAAAATTGAACCTTGCGGAACTCCAAAATTAACATGAGTGACTTGCGATGTAATACCATTGACCTCAAACATTTGCCTACGATTACTAAGATATGACACAAATAAATCTAATTCACAGCCTTGAAAACCATAATGAGCTAATTTGTCTACAAGAATGGGATGATTAACACAGTCAAACGCTTTACTCAGATCACATAAGGTGATCTGAGCAAAGCACCTATCCTCTAAAGCGTTAAAAAGATTATTTACAACATGATCCACCGCTAAAGTTGATGAAAGACCTAACCTATAAGCAAATTGACAGTTACTAAACAGATTACTATGTTCAAAAAAATTACATACCTGGTTTTTGACTATCTTTTCCATAACTTTAGCCATTGTAGAAATACATGAAATGGGTCGGTAACTGCTAGGCAAATTTTTGTCCCCTTTTTTGTACACCGGGACAACCCTTGACAATTTCATAAAAGATGGAAAAACACCCTCTATGAGACAGCGATTTATACAATAAGTGAAAGGACTTAAAATAACAGAACAAACATTTTTCAATAAATTACTCGTTAACCCATACGCATCTCTAGTATCAGAATTTTTTAACGACACAATCACATTTAAAACATCTAATTCTGATACCATTGTGAATTTAAAATCAAACACAGGTTGAGCACTTTTTGCCGCCATTTGATGAGCATTGCTTTTTGACACATTAAGTAAGTAAGTATTTCTCTAGGCAAAACTTTAGAATCAGATTGACTATTGTAGCCTAGGCCTAACTTAAGTTATAAAAAAAAATGGCAAACTTATTCTTTTGAGATTTTAAGCTAAGCTGTGTCAATCTTATGCGCATGTCATGTACATTAAAATTTATCTTTGTAACTTATCCAAACTTAAAGATAACTTAATCAGACAACTACAAATAAGGTTAGACCATTCCTTTACTTGAACCAAATGTACCATTCAGTTTGGATACTGCAAGTAAACAATTCTCTTAGACACCTTTAGAACCTGTAAATAGGCTACGGCCATGAATCGTTGAATAATTCATTTTAAACTTTTAAAAAGTTATAATACCACAACTTATTTGCATCTTTTGGTGATAGTTTGTGGCTAATCACATAAAGTGTACCTGTAACTGGACTTGGTAACTTAAGCCTTATGACAGGTTGCCGAATGAAACAATGAAAATGCGCTACAAATAAATAATTTATTACACTTATGACAAAACAGATATGTAGCTTCCGACCTGCTGTATAATTTACAAACACAAATAATTTATAATCACTAAATACTAGCTGACAAGAAAGAGAAAATACAATTCTGAATTAAGTAAGTTGTTATAAATTTACAATGTTAAGATACAGATTCTCATGATTAAATGCATTTTAGAAAAGGGGGAAACATAGCCTCCCGAGGAGGCTATGGGGAAAGGCGACGCGGAAATTTAGATGACCGACCGAATTGAATTTAGAATTTAGACTAACTCAACTGAGTGCTCTCCGTCCGTAGCGCAAAGTCGACGTGGAGGGTCACTAGCCAATCACGTTGCGGCTCTGCCCCGTGAAGTCAGTGCAAGCCCTGGATAGTGCTGCTGCCTAACGATCAATCGGGGCAGTAAAACTGCAGTTGCGCAGTTACTGATTTCATCGAGCGACTTGCTGAGCTGACTAAGCAAATTCCAGCCACGCGCGTTATACACTTCTGGGAACATTGGCCTCCGGGCCTAGCACTGAGCCACGGCTAACGGAATATTCCATGGTGAGGCAACTGGCTGACGCAAAAGTTGGGAGGTTAACACAGTCCAATATTACAGACCCTCCTTTTATATTTGAAATAAAGCAAAGATTTTGTGACGGTATCGACAGGGTTTCTACAGGGTGTAGCAAAAACCTCCCCAGCTGATATGTAATGGGTCTGGGAATTTTTGGGGCCGTCACAGCCTATAGGTGCATGATTTTATTTTTAACGTTTGTATATTTTGTGCATGGCTTCTAATAGTAGGCCAATTTCAAATTATAAACATAATACTGTAAAAACAACATAGGCCTAAAATACAGTCAAATGTAAAATGATATCCAGTTTTGTCTGTAACAACACAAGTCTTAGAGTATGATTTAGGTTGTTTGCTGGGTAGGGCCTAGAATTTTTTGAGACCTATTTGTAGTAAAATGTTACCGGTACATATTTTTTTGGACATACCGGTATATAATAAATACCATACATTTGTTATACATGTTTCTCTTTGGTTTTTAATGCTCTTTAAAATAATGTAAAATTAAATATAGGCTAAATGAACAATTTTAAATTAGGCCATGTTATTTTAACTCAAACTTTGAAAATGAGAATAAACTGCACCATATTTCTGTCTTTTCCATGAAAATATTTTATTTAACTCATGAAACCCAACTAAAATTAGTATTTTACAATGCACGTTCTAATAATCTACAAAACAAAACAAATTTAGGCCAAAAATGTTAAAACAAGTAGCTTATTTTATGACGATTTTCCTAAACTCCTGCATTTATGTGGAGAAATGGCCGGCATTCCTAGAAGCAACACCACATTAGGCCTGGCAAACCTCAAATAAAATTATTTCACTCACGACACTCAAAGGGCTATTCATACGAACCAAATATATCATCGACATTGGATACGTCAAGTAGACATGTAATTTATTAGAATCAGATGAAACATATGAAAGTTCATTGCAAGTAGACAATTCATTTACTTAAACCAGACCTAAGTGAATTGACTTTGGATACTGTGGATACTGTAAATATAGACATTCCATTTATGTGATCCAAATATACCATTGACATTGGAAACTGCAAGTATCCTATACAGGGTGGTAATAAAGTCCCAGGACAGTTAAATATTAAAAAAAAAATAATGTAGATAGAGCTACAATACTTGGTACAAAGTTACAGGGCATAAAACACTATTTTAACACATATTCAGTGATCCAATAACTCTTCAGGGGGACAGCCCACAAGGAGTCGGAAGAAAATCTTAAATGGAAGCATTGGTCAATATGCACATCAAATTAAAGGTCTTTTTTATTAGAATACAATGCCGCAAACCGCACTTCAAAAGGTTGATCCTGCGCAAAATGGCAGAAAGCGACCTCCTCCAGCATTGGTTTAGCATTAGCGCACAGGTCGTTTTCTAAGCGGCCGAACTATAGGATAAATTTTAATGTGCATAATACTGGCACAGGTTAACTTTAAACCTCAGAGGAATAGCCTAAATCATTGGTACACCTGCTTCACATAAATAAGAAATCTACTTGCTGTATCCAAATTCAATGGTCCATTTGGTTTACAAGTAAGATGCCTATTCACAGTATCCAAAGTCAATGGTAGGCTTGCTTATGGTTCACTTAAATGGAATGTCTATTTGCAATATTACTCCTATGCATAAATTAAGTAACCGCTTAATTTATACATAGGAATTAGAACGGATGGTGTTTTTGGCCTCTGTGGACATCAAAACAAAAAAGTAACTTATATTGGTCCTGGGTCCAGGTATTACTATGAGAACTACGGTACCTAATAACTTAGGGTAGCTTATTCAATATGGGAAATTCGTTTAAGGTAACATAAGACAGAACTTTGTTAATGTATTTGTTAATTTAAACGTTATTGGTTTTTATTTTGACCTTATTGTATGATTTAACTCAATACGATATTAATATGTAAACAATGGGGAGCGAGCTGGTCTAGTGGTTAGAGCGCGGGACTCCGTTTCTTGGGGTCCCGGGTTCAAATCCCGCCAAATCACCAATGGATTTTATCCAAGTGATAATGCCGTAACCCCTAGGTCTAGCCTGAAGTAATGTGAAAAACAATTCCGGGCTCGTGCCTAGCGTCCTAGGACAAACAAAAATATATATCTTAAACGATATTTAACGTTATTCATCCGATAAAATATTGTTGGTTCACTACTGTACCTGTTTTTGTTGCCTAACTCAAAACAACTTATTGTAACTTACAAATTCTTTGTTAACCATTTTGCAGGTGTGAAGATGTCTCATACTTACATTGCAAGCTGCACAAACAGCAGTAAAGATGATGACACACTCATTATCATCGTCAACTCTGACGGCACACTTTCAGTTGATCCTGAGACACTACAGAAACTTTTAGGTGAGTATAGGAAAAGTTTGGGTTTCACCACTTGAAGCCTAAGTAGGCCTAAGTTGGTAGGAGATACTTAAACTTTAAAATTAATTATTAAGCATAATACTTTAATACTTTCTTATGAAATGGCGACCATACTAATGTAGGTATTTTAAACCAAGTGTGAATGGAGATAGTGTATGATGAGTGGCGCGATCTTGTAGTCTTGTTAGTGAATAAGGCCGACATATTCTTCTCAGACACAGCTGTTAATTAATAGCCCATTTCTAATTAACGAATTGGCCTCATTATCAGGTTAGTACTGTGGACAGTCATAGTACTGACTACTGTGGACGTTACACCACACCAGGGAGTATCGCATCCACAGTGCATGCCTATAAATATCCACAATTCGTGACCTCCTAGTAGCTGGATTACAGGATGACGCCACCATCCCTGTCATATAGGCGTATTTCAAATTACAGTAACTGTAAACTCTTGAGCAAAAAAAAGTTTGCTATATACACAAGTAATTCAAACCATCCGGACTGTAATGATTGATCAATAATAACAAATGTTAGGAAAGGCGATCAAAAATATTAGGCTAGGTACCTCTATGTAACATTGTTATTATAGCAAACTTGTTCTTGAAGCCTGTTTATTAACCATAGAAATAATAGGTACCTTCACCGGTGCTTAGTTACAAATTTAAATGAATTTTGCAATTCATAACTTATCTTTATTTCTACCGGTACTTACTCATTAAAAACTGAACCGAATAAGTTACATTTGGCCCAAATACCTGAAGTGCTCACAAATTCACAAATAGAATCTAATAAACATGCATTTGTCAAATGTTATTTTGATTTTTTATTGTAATGTAACAACATTGAAAAATATTTATTTTGCTTACATACATTCTCATATTTCTTTTGGTATTTGTTTATTTGGAGCAACAAAAAAAGCAAATTTGGATGGTATGTTAAGACTCCAAAAGAGGTCTATAAGAGTAATGCTGAAATTGAATCAAGATGATTCGGCCAGAGAACATTTCAAACAGTTAAAAATACTGACGGTTTATGGCCAATATGTTCTTGACGTCATTTTGTGTGCAAAGAACAAAATTCCTAATGATGTCCCTCACGAACCCACACATCATTATAATCAGCACAGACTGAAGCTCTATGAAAAAAAACCAACATATGTTGGTGAACAGTTTTTAAAATTAATCCCAGAAAATATTAATAAAGAAAAAAATTCAATTAAATTTAAAAGATAAAACTGAAAGAAAGCTTATTTAATTAACGAGGTCATTTACTCGCTGGATGAATTTCTAAACCTCCCTCTTAAATAAATAAACTAAATATGAATGTATCAACAAAGCTTCCTTAGATGAGTTGTAGGAAATAATGTTAATTTAAGCATTGATAATTTTAAGAAACCTTTGATTATACTTTTTCATACCTGTATTTTGACACTATTTATGTATGTTATATGCTACTTACAAATAAAGATTATTTGAATTTGAATTTATACATTTTTGTACCTAATAGGCTGCAGTTTGCAACTAATGTGATTGGTGTTTCAGCAAACCAGCATCACAACTCTCCGATCAGTCTGGTGCGGTTGGATGCCAAAGGTGACGGGAGTGGTGGTGGTGACGGAGCTGGTGATGAAGACGATGACCCTGACTCTAGAGTGAACCTGACTGTGGAGGGTTACTACCCTCCCACCCCTGCCCCCTCGTCACCTACGCCTCCTCCTACGCCAGTCGCTGACACCGGCATCTCTAATGATGGTGAGTAAAGACAACAGGGTGTATACCAACCGGGAAAACTGGCAGAACCGGGAAATAACCTTGAATTTGATGGGATCTGGAAAAAACCGGTAAAAAGCCGGGATTTTTGGACCAATTCCGGGATTTTTATTTTAGCCCCGGTAGAAGATTGTAGTCGTAAAATGCATCTTGCCGCGATTGCGGGCGACGACGATGACGTTTTCGTGACCGCGGGAGACGGCGCTGACGTTTCCATAACTGCGAGAGGCAATGATGATGTCTACACGGCCGCGGAAGATTTTCGTGATTTGCCGTGACCGCAAAAGACGACGATGATGATTTCTACATGGCCGCGTGATATGCTCATGATTTTGCCGTGATTGCGGCCGACGATGATGACGTTTCCGTGACCGCGAGATCAACGATGATGTTTACACTGTTGCGGGAAATATTCATTATTTTGCCGAGATCATTCTAACAAAAAATGGATCTCTAATTAATTGAAGTTAGAAAAACAAAATATAACTAATTTCAGCAAATTGGCTAGAGAAGTTAATTGTAAAAAAATGTTTAAAAAAACTAGGGAAATGAACAAAAATTTCAGAAAACAATTGTACACTGCAAAGAAAAATTACTATAAATCAGTTATTAATAATTCAAATAATGTAAATAAAACCACTTGGAAGATTATCAACTCAGAAGTAGGAAATAAAGCAAAGGATATACAAAACATAATTTTAAAATCAAATGACATTGTATGTACTGAGCCTTCTTTGGTTTGTAACCAATTTAATAATTATTTTGAAGATTTAATTGAGGACACTTCAATATGTAGTATGGAGCAAACTCAAGTTGAGACAGAAAATAGTTCAGAAAATGATTTGTTGTTAATTAGTACTAACAATTTTAAATTTAGCTTTGTTGATGAGAGAGAAATTGATTACATTTTAAACCACCTAAAAAATTCTTTTAGTACAGGATATGATGGTATTCCTGTGGTACTCCTAAAAAAAGCAAGATTTGTATTACTTAAACCAATCACTCACATCATTAACTCTTCATTAATTTCTGGTATTTTTCCTGATAAACTTAAAGTAGCAAAATTAAAACCGCTTTTCAAAAAAGGGGACAAGTACTTAGTTTCAAACTACAGACCAATAGCATTGCTTCCCGCTATTTCTAAAATTTATGAAAAAGTAATCTATAATCAACTAGTAAATTTTTTGAAAAGAATTATCTTTTTGAAAAATGTCAACATGGTTTCCGCAGTGGTAGATCTGTAATAACAGCTGCCACAAAGTTTGTTGAATCTATTATTGATAGTTTGGGCAGTAAATTGAAAGTGGTAGGATTATTTATGGATTTAAGTAAAGCCTTTGATTCAATATTACATGACCTTTTACTTTCAAAGCTAAGCAAATTAGGGATAAAGAACAATGCATTAAAGTTACTGAAGTCTTACCTTTCCAACAGAAAACAGTTTGTAGAATTAATTCACCAAAACAACAAAAACTATAAAATTCATTACCGATCCTCTATTAGAGATGTGAAATTTGGAGTGCCTCAAGGGTCCATCTTAGGCCCTTTATTATTCATTTGTTACTTTAGAGACTTTCCCCAGCTCAGTGACTTGAGTGAACTTTGCCTATATGCCGATGATACTAATTTGAAAATCACTGCAAAATCAAATGATGAAATTGAACTTAAGGCAAATTCCGATATAGCAGTTTTAAATATTTTTTTTAATTCTAATGATTTGCTTCTTAATCCAGATAAGACAAATTTCATTAGTTTTCAAACTCGAGAATTAGGGGATCAAAATAAACTAGGGATGGACGGGATTGAATTTTTAGTTCGGGACGGGACGGGACGGGATTTTTATTTCCTTCCTGATTTTCGGGACGGGACGGGACGGGATTTTTTTCTGTGCATAAAAAGAAAGTACTGTATTGCAGTTACCAAAAAAAGACATACGAAATCAATTTTTACCATTTTTGGCACTGATCTAAAAAAAAACAAAAAATGGGTAACAATTTACAGGTACCTATAGTAACTTGGGACTCGCGGGTCACGGGGTGATCGTCTGTATGACTCACGGTCACGGCGCGATCGTCGTCATGACTCGCGATCACGGCGCGATCGTCGGTATGACTCCGTGGTCACGGGGTTATCGTCGGTATGACTCGCGGTCACGGCATGATCGTCGGTATGACTCGCGATCACGGCTCAATCGTCAGCATGACTCTGCGGTCACGGCGCGATCGTCGGTAGGACTCTGCGATCACGGCGCGATCGTCAGTATGACTCGCGGTCACGGCGCGATCGTCAGTATGACTCCGTGGTCACGGGGTTATCGTCGGTTTGACTCGCGGTCACGGCATGATCGTCGGTATGACTCGCGATCACGGCTCAATCGTCAGCATGACTCGCGGTCACGGCGCGATCGTCGTTACGACTCGCGGTCACGGCGCGATCGTCGGTAGGACTCCGCGGTCACGGCGCCATCGTCGGTAGGACTCCGCGGTCACGGCGCGATCGTCGGTATGACTCCGCGGTCACGGCGCGATCGTCGGTATGACTCCGCGGTCACGGCGCGATCGTCGGTATGACTCGCGGTCACGGCATGATCGTCGGTATGACTCGCGAACACGGCTCGATCGTCAGCATGACTCCGCGGTCACGGCGCGATCGTCGTCATGACTCGCGGTCACGGCACGATCGTCGGTATGACTCGCGGTCACGGCGCGATCGTCGGTATGACTCCGCGGTCACGGGGTTATCGTCGGTATGACTCCGCGGTCACGGTGCGATCGTCAGTATGACTCGCGATCACGGCTCGATCGTCAGCATGACTCTGCGGTCACGGCGCGATCGTCGTCATGACTCGCGGTCACGGCGCGATCTTCGGTATGACTTCGTCTCCTGCGTTTGCGGACCTATCGCTCGCAATAACGGCGTTATCGGCACTCGCGAAGCGGAAAAATCGCCGACGATCGGACCAAATCCCGTCCCGAAAAATTCCCGAGTCAAATGTAATCCCGTCCCGATAATCGGGAATATTTTTTTCCCGAAAAATTCCCGAAATTTCGGGACCCGTCCATCCCTAAAATAAACCAATCATCAGACTCGAGAACACAGAAATTCTAAGTATGGACAACATGAAATTCTTGGGATTGGTAATTGATAAAAATCTGAAATGGAACAGTCACGTTGAAAAGTTACTTGCCAAAATCACTTCAGGATTATTTGCTTTATCTAGATTGAAACCCTTACGTGAAAATCAAACTCAAAAAGTTATATATTTTTCATATATCCACTCAAGTATATCTTTTGGGATTTCACTTTATGGTGCAACTAGTGATTACAATTTGAATTCTATTCTAAAAAAGCAAATGAAAGCTATTAGAATTATCTGCAATTTAGATTTTGAAACTTCTGTTAATAAAGAACATTTTAAATCAGAAAATATAATGACAATTTACGGAATGTACGTTTATGAAACAATTTTATCAGTAAAGGACAGACTTCATGATTTGGAACGAGTTGGGGATAGTCATAATTATTTCACCAGAAATCGGGAAAACCTTGCAATTGGCCACCATAGTCTAAAACTTTTTGAGAAAAAACCCATGTATGCGGGATCAAAATTTTATAATAATCTCCCAATCGAAATTAAATCAGATACTTCCAAAACAATATTTAAAAATAAATTAAAGAGATTTCTCATCAGCAAGGCTATTTTTTCTTTTGAAGAGTTGAATAGTCTTTGAAGTCAAAAACAAATTCAATTTATGTATTTTTTGTTTAGACTTAAAAAAAAATTAAGTTTGTGAAATTTTGTTTTTATTTTATTATGTTAGAAATGTATTTAATAACTATTAGGCCTACTTGCAACTGTTGACACTATTCAATGTATTATGTACAGGAAATGAATAAAGTAGTTTTGAATTGAATTGAATTGAATTGATCGTGGACGACGACGATGACGTTTTCGTGACCTCGAGAGACGACGATGATGTAGACACGGCTGCGGGAAAATATCAAAATTTTACCGAGATCGCGGACGATGACGATGACGTTTCCGTGACTGCGGGTAGCAATGATGATGTCTACATGGCCGGGGAAGATATTAGTGATTTGCCGTGACCGCGAAAGACGACGATGATTATGTCTACACGGCAGCAGATGTTCATGATTTTGCCGAGATCGCGGACGACAACGATGACGTTCCCGTGACTGCGGGAGTCAATGATGGTGTCTACACGGCCTCGGAACATTTTCGTTATTTTGCCGCAATCGCGGATGACGATGATTACATTTCCGTGATCGCGAGAGGTGGCGATAATGTATACATACCGCGGGAGATGTCCAGGATTTTTCTATGATAACGTAAGTCTGTGATTACTTCTACGTCACTGTGGGAAGCGACCACACGACCGCAGGAAATATTCAGGATTTTGCCGCCGTTGATAATGTGTTCATAAAAAATGAAGATAATATTCAGGATTTTGCTGCCATCGAGAGAGGCGATGTTTCCGTGGCCTTAAGTAATGATGATAATGAAAATTATTACTTAATAAGGATTATTATTTTTTCAACACTAGCTCACTGGACTTGAAACAAATTTGATGTATATTGTATACTTAAGTCTTAAATTGATTATAGTTTATGTGGAACCAAACAGATACGCGGGAACCTGGAAAAACTTTGAAAAACCAGGAAAAAACCTGGAATTTCACTTTAATAAAATAGTATACACCCTGGACAAGCATTGGCTAACATTGATATTTTCTTAATTTTTCATTCTAAGCTACCTAAAACCAATTCAATTCAATTCAAATTCAAACCAGATTATTCTTTTCATACTTAAGTGTATCCAGCCTTATTTTGTTATCTATCGTCGACCTTTTTGTTAGATAGCTTCATGAATTGATACCCCAATGACATAGCATCTGGGTCCAGTTTTTTCTTAAATCAAAATAAAAAATGTATTCGAATAAGAAAAAAAAAACAAAAAAAAACAACGCAATAGGATATGTCAACTTTTTCTTATTTTAATATGTACAATCAAGAAGTGCAATAGAAAAGGCAGGCAGTCTGAAAAGATTCAAGTTAACAAAACACTCCGACAAAAACAGAGAGAGAAAAGCTGAACAAAGTAGGGCGAAACCCATGCACCAACTGAAGAAATCAAACGAGAAAGCTTCTACTTAAAATGACTACTTTACTTACAATATTCTTGGGGATGGTTGAAATGAAACAAAATGAAATGGTGAAGAAATCTTTGGTATAGAAGAGTGGGTATGAAGAGTGGATTACAATAGAAGGTCCGAGAGATCTGGTGCAGGCTGAACAAACAATGTAATTTTAAAACTCTTGGACCCTCAGCTTTGAAGCCGAGTAATACTCTGTAACCACTCAGCTACCCAGACGACTGGGATAGTTCCAAGTTATACTTGGTTAAACAACTTTTTTTTGCTTGTCCCCATGGGTTATTTAACTATGTTTACCTCATTTATCCACCTTACTCCTGTTAATCTAAATGTAAATCGTTCTATTATTTTAAATTAAATTTTACTGCATTTTTCGGCTAATCTATAAGATCCCAATTAGTTCGGATTAGCTGGACTCGGGCCTACGCAGTTTGTAAGTTGTATTGTAAAAAGTACCATGAATTGAGCGTAGTCAGTTACCATAATATTAAAATCGTTCCGACACTTCAATTTTAATAGCTAACATTAGCTTGTCATGGTGGCTACAGAACAGGAATTACAATAAAACACCTGATTTAGTAGCATTTTGTGTAATATTTATTTAAGATGAATTTAGAACTAGGTTTAGCTCCCTTGACGGTGAGTTGTTTTAAATACTGATTTGTAATGTCATATCTTTTGTAGGGGGAAGTCAGGAAATGCTGGCTGACTCTATCACAGAGATACTTCAACCAGAAGATGTTGAGAAACTGGAGACAGCTCTTCAGTCAGAACATGCCAAAGAAATCCTCGGGGATGTTGTTTTGGGTGAGAAATCCCTTTAAATTTGACCTACCGGTATTACTTATAACAAGTCATTTATTATTATTTGTTTGTGCTTTATTAAAGTTAACAGCAAAAGAAACCCTTTTATGTGAATATGAAAAGTCAAATTAACTTCCCAAATGTCGTTTCTGTTGGTGATCTGGTGTTATTTCGTCAACATTTTCAATTGTTGACAAGATATATGACATCATCATTTGTGACAGGAATACTCGTCATGCGCAGAATCGTCCGGCTGCCATGTAGAACCAACGCACGTCACACCAAACAAAAGAAGTTTAGTGTTGTACGTGATTACCTAATATACAATAATCGTATATATGTTCAGACATGAATGGGTTTCACTATTAAATAAAGCACAATATAGAATTATTGTTTATATTGTACTAGCCCATACTTCAATACAAAATTACCTACCCTATTACTTTAGGATCTGGTTTAGCCTATTATTTTTGTGTATGGATTGGATCAAGCCGTATTACTGGATGGTGCAGATTATTTTGGGCCGAATTATCAAGAGCTGAATTTTTGAGGTTTTACTGTTTTTTCAATAAGGACTAGTGAAATGAAATATTGCGATTCAAGTTTGAGACAAATTGTGATGTATTCAATTTTGGTATGTAAAATTTCAAATTTTACTTTTTATTTTACAGACATGTTGCAAAAGAACGGAGAAGATAACATGGGAGGTTCGGGAGATATGGGGCCCCTGTCTCAAGGCTCCGTGGTATTGGACCATTGTTATGCCTCGCTAACAGGTCCAGCCCCGCCCCCCGTCACTACCCCTGTCAGAGGAGCCATCAGGGTGAGCTTCTTGTCAATGTCCTACGACAAAATTTGTTGTTTTTGTGCTTTTCATCGCTGTTTTTGGTTTGGGTATTTTCTACACCCCCTCTAAAGATTTTTAACTAAACTATGAAATAAGAAACTTAACTTTTTTTAGCTTGTTTTGGTTGCAGATTTATAGTAACGTGCTAAGTTATTAAGCATGCTGATAAGACATGCTTTACAGAGTAAAATAGTTATTAACTTAGTGATGATACAATTAACAAAATCAAACTTAACTACAGTCAAACCTTGACATAACTATTTTAAAGATACCAAACAATATATTTTTGTTATATTCAGGGATTTTTTGGATCATAGTGTGTCAATTTGTGTATAGCGTTGCTTCACTATAAATTTAGGTTCATACAGTATCACAAAAACCTATTTACCGTAAGTTAACATACTTCATAATATAACAATTATCAACTCCTATGTTATCAAATCTAGGTTTTATTTTCTTGAAAATGCAATAACATACTGTACCAAAAATCAAGATAAAAAACTTATGCGATGGAAGACAAGCGATTATCTACTGTACTTCACTGAGAAGATACGTGAGCTAAGAAACAAAATTTTTTAACTTTGATAGGAAGAGTAGGCTTACCTGTACTGTGCAGTGGGCGAGTCTACCCAATGGGAAATATATTTACACACCAAATTGAAACATTTTCTGGTCACTGACCACTTTGACAATTACAAAGAAAGGAAGATTGAAACCAATACAACAAACCAGTTGGCTTAAGAAGGTACGTTTACATGTAGGGCAGGTTCGTTCAGTTTTGAAAAGAATTCAATATTTTGATCAGATCTATTTTCTTCAGAATAGTACAACTTATTTACTGCATATAAATATAAATTTTATTGTTGTGGATGTTTCAAAGGATTTGAAACAAATGTTGTCAAAGAATTCATGATTTTAAGGTTATTTATATCAAGGTTTGACTGCATTATTCTCACTAATTACCAATCGATTATTTTTTTTTAAGACAATGTTTAATCATAGTTGAAAATATCTTGTTTTGCACTTATACTTATAACATTTTCTTTATGAATGATTTTTTGTGTGTTGTTTTTGTTTTTGAACCACTACTATTGGTTTTAAAATTGAAGATTATTGCCATGCATGGTTGGTGTTTGCACTAGTTTGTTGTAGTGGTTGTCAAAACCACAGATTTCAAACCTCAAAACAGTAACTTTAATATCAAATCCTGAATCTCAAAATCTAACAAAAGTATTTTTACTTACCTGGTTAAAGTTACAGCAAGAAAAGGATGAGATTTTTATTATGCAAGTAGAAATACTGAAAGAAATTAGACTCCTGTCACTGAAATAATAAATGTTAATATGTGATTAATTCACCTTAAACCAACTTTAACTTATGAATTTCAACAACACGTTTCAAAATTGTCTACAAACATTATTGAGAATCTAATAATATCTGCACAATTAGTGAGCGATAAAATACCAAACAAGCTTATTTTTCCAAATAATTAACACATGACAAAGTCTTGTGACCTTGGCAGCAGATTTTGGAGTATATTTTTTTTTAGGGATGGACGGGATTGAATTTTTGGTTCGGGACGGGACAGGACGGGATTTTTTTCTATGCATAAAAAGAAAGTCTTGAGTATTGCAGTTACCAAAAAAAGACATACAAAATCAATTTTTACCGTTTGTGGCTCTGATCTATAAGATTGTGGGTATGACTCGCAGTCACGGCGCGATCGTCGTTATGACTCCTCGGTCACAGCGCAATCGTCGAAATGACTTCGTCTCCTGCGTTCGCGGACCTATCACTCGCAATAGCGGCGTCATCGGCACTCGCGAAGCGGCAAAATCGCCGACGACCGGACCAAATCCCGTCCCGAAAAATTCCCGAAATTTCGGGACCCGTCCATCCCTATTTTTTTTACAAACAACAATAACTAAGTTGCACCAAAAACTGTTGCAGTTTCAGTTTCGAGTTTAAATCTTAAAATTCATCAATTTAATGAGATTCAAAGTTTTGATGGTTTTGAGATTTGATATCCAGTTTTGACACATCACTTAGTTACTGTGTTGATTGTACAATTCCCTGGTCAATGGTGCTGTCTGTCCTACACTTTGGTTGACGTCTCCGTCATGTTCTCAGGGAAGAGGTCGTCCCAGAGGGCAGCCTCAAAGCAAGATGATGCAGTCAATGATCCCGGTTGTTGAACCGCTTGTTATTCCTGGCGACACGGTATTTTTTCGTTTTAAGTTTTTGTTTAGTTTTTACTTTTGGTTTTAACACAGAAAATCCTATACCAACTATTACTCCTTTCCATCTCTATTATCCATCACCATGGAGTTAATTATTAAAAAAAAAATCATAACTTAGTGTTACTTGGGTTCTAGGATGTTCTCTCCGAAAGAACAGTGGCCAGGCCCGCTTTCATAAATGGACCCAGGAGCACAAGAGGTTTTGGGTTTAAATTGGGCGCGAACAGCAGTTAAATACTAAGAAAATATTTTTAATCGCACTACAATAAGTTAGGGACTACTACTATCGGTTCTCGCTCATGACACATCATTGCCACTGCTTGCATGTTGCTACTTGTTTGTCTCTTTATCTTTATTTGTCTTTTTTAATGTAAATTTTTTATTACTCACTTATGTCAGTTCCTTTTGTTCAATCGTATGAAAAACATTTTATCAGTTGACTTGTGAATTAAGTTAGTGTTGTGTTTTTGCTTATGTTTTGGCATTGTAATTATGTTCAACGTAATCCATAACGTGATCAACGTGAATTTGGAAATAGCGCGGCAAAAAAACTTTTGGACAATGAAAAAGTCCCTAAAATCTGTAGTTTGTGAATTAAAAGCATTAAATGATCATTTGTACCAAAATGCTAAAAATTGACTTTTTTTTGCCATTAACGGGTTCACCAAAATAATTGAGGGAAAACCAATTATGTAAAGTGTTGAGTGTTAGAGTTGTAAATGTTAGCGTGTACTTTTTTTAAACCCATAAGTAAACACAATAAAACGATCCTTATCGTTGTTATTTTGCGTATGCTCGTGATAAATCATAAAATGTCTAGTTTTATTTGACGATTCATATCAGGGGGGCATCTACTTCTCCGGCTAATGGCTTGTCACATGCTAACCTTGGGCCTGATAGTGAGACCAAGAGCTGATTTAATGATCATGAGCTTTTCGTGCTGTATCTCCTATGTCGGTCAATAAAGTTATGTTATTGTTTTTGTATAGTTTAGTGAATATTAACGTACTTACAGTCATGGCTTCATCTGAGTTCAGATAGAAATGTATAATTATTTTTTTTTTATAATTGCCAACAACCAACTAAAATTGGTGTACCCTTAAAATTTTTTAAAAAACAAACTTGTTGAAGAAAAATTAAAGTAGTAATGAAAGCTTTTAAAATTATAAACAAATTCCATTCCCCAAAATCTGTAAATTTAATTTATTGTTTTTTTATCAAGGCACAATTTAGAAGGTTTTTCCAATATGGAATTCAAATTCACCATTATAACTGGTTAGAATGCTTTCTTTGGATACATTAGGTATTAATAAACCCTTTTCCTAAAAGTCGAAAATTCATTTCATTATCATATTGTGTTGACATTACTTATTTACTGGAGTGACCACTGGTACCTTAAAAGGTACATGGTAAAAGGTACTCGCCCACACACTGCCTCCAGGTGTCTCTTTATTGAGTATCATTTTCAATCCTTCCCAATATTCTTATATCTTTTTGGACTCCCTCCATCTCAGCTTAGGCTGTCCTGCTTGTCTGCCTTCGGGGTTTCTGTCAAGTATGTTTTTTGTAGTGGAATTTTGCTTTCTCATAGTATGCCCAAACCATCTCAACCGTCTACTTTTGTCTTCCGCTACAATGTCTCTGTACCGCTCTCTAATCTCGGTGTTATGCCTTTTCCTCCATACTCCATCCTCGAGTGTTAGGCCAAATATCCTCCTAAGTTTGTTTTCAAATTTTATTATATTCTGTTCCGTCTTTTTGCTCATTACCAATGTTTCTGATCCATATAATATATAACCAGTGTTGACATTACATGATAATATTAACTAAAAACTATAATCAACAATCTTTTAACATTCTTATGCCAGTTAATATATTGTTAATTTGAATTTCAAACTACCACGACAGCCTAAATTGTCTCAGTTCATTACATTATAAGATTGTTTCTTTCCAGGTGGGTTCTGTATCGTCTAACAACAATACCAAGGGACAAACTGTTACGATACAAGGAGTTAACCTTCAAAACGGTAAGCTGATGCTGATAGTACATTGTAAATGGCTGTTTGTGCTCCAAACCTAGGCCGCATCATAGACAGCCTTGTTATAGAGTGTTATAAAACATATTATGTTGACGGAAATCAGTAATTTAAAGAGTTGGAAGATTTTTTACCGGCCAAATATTTATGCATCATGTTTGCTCCGGGGGTTCCTCTATTCCCCCCGTAGTTAGGGGGGTAACACTGATTACAGTGATAGTGTATTCACTGTAATCTGACATTAGAGTAGTCTGTAAATAAATCTATGATCAGTGAGAAGGGACTTGATCGACTTAACTAATATTTAAAGTAGGCCTAACTAGTATTTAAAGCTTCAGTGGTCTAAAAGCTACATTTAATAGCTTTAAGCTTTCATTTAAAAGTTTTTGAAACAAGGTGAATACATCTGTTTGCAGTAATCTAACTATAAGTTAAGTGAATGATAAGGATCTTAATTGTTATTCTTTATACACCTTTCTGCCTTTTACCTTTTCCATTGCATTGACTCTCCATAAATAATATGCTTATGTGTTATGTGTTTTTTTCTGTGTCTTCCAAATCATTCGCCTCTGTGCCACTGTTAAACACACTCTGTGTGTTTTTCTGTGTCACTCGATCCTTTGACAACTTATCCTATGAGTTTTGTTTCCTTGTCTTCTAAACCAATGCCAATCCATCCTTTGAGTTAGACTACTGTCCAACTCAGAGACCTACCATTCTGTCCTTTGAGTTGTGTTTCCTTGTCTTCCAAATCAATTTCACTCCAGCCTGACACATTTCCCCCACCCTTACTCCCCTGAGAAGCCTTTGATTGACAGTTGTGGTTGTGTAGTTCCCCAGAACATGGTTGCCTGTACTGTGATGCTTACCAAGGTTCCAACGCAAAACAAGACCTTCAACGTCAGCTCCATGGCTCAGGGTAAGTCTCTACAATCAGAATCATTTGCACCTGCATGACGTTGTGGTCTTCGGTCTTCAAAAGATAGTTGCAAGAATGGGTCAGATTTTTCAGTTCTCTAATTAAACAGCGATCTGGTCAGGCTACTAATTAATTGTCTGTGTTATTTCAGTGTTTGGCATTTATTGATCATGTTGATTGGATTATTAAAGATCCTTCGGGTGTGCATTGTTTAGTCAACCATTTGTCCTTTGAAGGAATCTGTATTAGATAGGTTCAACAGCAGGCTTACCTTACTGAAGAAGGAAATAGATGAAAATTCACGAATAAAAACATACAACGTTTGGGCCTATGAGCTCCTTTTTCAGTAGTAGAGTCTTTCTATGTCTACTAATGATGAAGGAACTAGAAGCTTTTCAAATGCTGTGTGAAATGTGTTTATTTGTGCGTTTTTATCTATTTTTGACAGTAAATGTGTACAAGCCAAGGGCTCGTGGTTGTGATTTTACTAAAAGTAGTATTGCACTGAAAGTTTTGTTTGTCTAATGGAGTTCAGTAGGCCCTATAGTAAAATTAAAATTTGTTTAAATGGTTGGGAGCGAACTGGTCTAGTGGTTAGGGCGCGGGACTTCGGTTGCTTAGGTCCCGGGTTCAAATCCCACCAAATCACCAATGGATTTTATCTAAGTGATAATGCCGCAACCCCTAGGTCTAGCCTGAAGTAATGTGAAAAAAATTCCGGGATCGTGCCTAGCGTCCTTGGACAATAACAAAAAAACTGGGGGCACGGTAGGTTTAAAGGTTGGTGAGCGCAAGGTGGTAAATGCCTTCATTACCATTCACTTTTCTATCCGACCCATTGGAAAGGTAGATTAAGATTACATAAATTGTAGACTCAAGTAGGACCATCCACGCAAGGATATCTGGATATTGGAGATCTCGCTCTGCAATAAGACGTACATTTAAGTCAACGAGTACATTTCACACTGCTTCTTGCTTTACAATGGAGAGCTGGTCAGCTTAAAAAGCCACTTGTTGTTTATTATAAACCACATAAAAATTTTTTTTGATGGGCTAGTTATGAATTATTCTCATGTGTTTTTATTGATAGTAGTTTTTATTTGTATTTATAGTAATTTTGATCTCTTTTTTTGTTCCGGTATCTTCTATAAGTAGCAGAAAATTCATTACTTTTAATTTCAGATACTGCTGGAGTTACGACTGTCAAAACAGTTTCACCAGCTGACTTGGTTGGATCTGCAAAGAAGAAGGTAAAATCTAGAAATCATCCTTATTAGGAGAGAATCTTAAAAATTAATATTTTTAGTCAAAAAAGAATGTAATTACTAACTCACAAGGTTGGGCTGTTGAAAACAAAAAATACTGCAAAATAACTGACAGCTATGAAAACTATTTTTCATAGCTGTCAGTTATTTTTTAGTACTGTAGCCCTATGGCTACTAAGATTAGTTACAGTATGCTTTTCAGGTTTTGCTTTTATTTTTGTGATTAGAAATTTCTGGTTTTGACCGTATTACTAGAAAAAAATCACCGATCTTTCATGTATTGCGTGGTCAGAAATCGCGATTGTGGGGAAAACTATCACGAATAATGAACGTTGCTGCGATAGCAAGAAATTATCATGGTAAATGATCACAAATTTGGCCGCCATTGCAAAATGATCCCAGATGTGGCTGCAATCGCCAAATTTAGTTAGGCCTACCGTATAAGAGTTTAAATAATCCCGGAACATGTTTTGGATGTTGCCGTAATCGTGTAAATCATCATAGATATTGTCAAAATTGCAGAAAACAATCAAAAGTTTTGCCATGACCGATGTGTTGTGATCGCAAGATATCACAGAATTCTCAGAATATGTTTTTAACAGCAGGTACAAGTAATTTTTTTTTTTGGACAGCAAGTTTTGTTCTGGAAATTTTTAATCTTGAAATCCTGGAATTGTCCTTGAATTTTATTTTGATCAGATGCTGGACACCCTGAAACTGTGATTTAAGAAGCTCAACGTAATGCTATTTTGCAGGGCCCAGGTCGAGGACGAGGAGTGACGACAAGAGGAGGTCGAGGGGCGGCAGGACGAGGCCGAGGAGCTGGTAAAGTGATTCAGACCGAGGAAGCTAAGCAGAAGCAGCTAGCAGATGAGATGGCAGCCACTGTACATGCTCTGTCTCTAGCTGAAGCAGAACAGTTCGCAAACATTGTGAGTGTTAGTTGAATCTTTTTGACTAGATATAACGAGGCATTCCATTCCAATGTTAAATTTATTGTCAGTTTAGATATAACCAGGCATTTCATTCCAATGTTCAATTTATTACCAGTTTAGATACAACCAGGCATTCCATTCCAATGTTAAATTTATTATCAGTTCAGGTATAACCAGGCATTCCATTCTTATGTTTTTCATTGACAGTTCTGGAACAAAAGTGAAGAAAGTTAAATCGACCTACTGTCAGAGTGCACTGATGTAGATTGCTAGATTCTGTTGAATAAGCCAACTGATTCTTGATACCACCGATTCGTGGACATTGGTCCCAGTATCGAGAATCGGTGGTCATTGTCTAGGAGAAGAGATCACAAAGTCCAACCCTTCTTAATATGTTTGAAAAGTTGTAGGCTGATTTTAAAATAAATAATTTTATAGTATTCTGCAAATCAGAAAGTTCCAGTTAGCCATACCTAACAATCTTTCCAACGACAGGAATCGATGGATCAAAGCAGCGTAGACTCTGACCGAGTGATTCCTCTCGTCAACAAAGTGCCTGCCAAGAAACCTGTCAAGGTGTACCGACGGGCCATCGACATCTCTGCCACCACCCCGGGACCCAAGACCCTCAAGGTGCTCAAACCGGAGAAACATCCGACACCTCAGCCCAGGCCAAGGAAAAAATCTACCTCTGTCGAGTCTTCTAGTCATGATGGTGAGTTGACAACTGAACTTAGATCAACAAGTACTACTTTGCAACTTGTAATCTGAAACGCTGAGCAAGACTGAGCTCCTTCCCGCTTGATTGTAGCCAAGCGTATTCACTTTCACTCGGTGGGTGTAATATCTTAGATAAAGGTATTTAAAGTACTAAAATTACCTGAAAATATCAGGAACCCACAGACCACTAATAGGTAGGCCTAAGTTGACATATCCTTTACAAGCTATATCACATGTGGTGTATTTATACATGTTTAGATAAGCCTGCAGCAGACAAGGTGAAGAGAGAGGAGAAGGTGATTGTAGTGTCTCTGGAGCCTCAGATCACCCCGGCCGTGGTGACTGCAGTGGTGATGTCTCAGAATGTATCCACTACTAGTGTCACTCCCGCGACCCTTACACCTGTGACCACCCCTATGGCTGGCAGCAAGAAGTACCCCAAGAGAGAGAACCGCAAACCACCTGCACACTTGGCTGAGGCGTTTGGACCGGCTTTGTTCTCCACTCCAGGTTCGGTTGCATCATTTAATAATTTTGCTAGCAATGTGGGTGATGATGATGATGTCTCCACAATTGAGGGGGATGTCCACAATTTTTTTTTATATTGGAGAAGGTAATGAAGTCACCATGATTGCGGAATATGTCCACGGCGTAGCCAGAACGGCGAGTAACAGAGATAATGTCCTTGTAGGAGTTAATAACAATAGTGCCGTGATCTTGGATTTCAATCATAATAACATAGACTGAAAATTTATTTCGTCACTATTCTTATTTGCAGGAGTGTTTACTCCATATTCTTAAAACGAACAAGAGTTTGTCTTGTTGCACAGGAAGAAGAATCCTGTCCTAAACTAAAAGTACAATACCATCGATTCCTACCTATTCAGAGTTTCAACTGGTTACGTAAATGACTTAAGTCACAAAAAAGTCACTGATTTTATAAGGGGGTCACGGAAATCATTGAAAAGTGACAGGTTTTCATTTTGAGGTCCCAAAGCCACAGAAAACTCGTGCCTAGCAAAAATAAAGTTTTTAAGACCTTTCTTTTGCTTGTATCTTGCTGCAACTCTGCGAGCAAAGATTATATTCTTAATGCAGAATTGGTGAGAGTAAACATATTTTGGCAGCAGGAAACAAGCTTAAATAGAAAGCTTTTAAGACACAAAATATTCCTGCCACCTCTTATGGTAAGTATTGTCTTACCTGTACCAAAGGTCGTGCATTTTAACATCGTCTTTCCCCATACAGTGACTGAAATTAAGTTTCATCAGCTGGTAGACACCCTGCATTACATTCTTACAAGGTTTTTAAGATAAATTACATAAGTTTAGTTTATTGTTTAGCATGTAGACAGCAAAGTGATGGTTTAATTTTGCAGACATCATCAGAAGGGTGTCAGAAAAGAGTGGTACTACTACACCGGTGACACCTGCTGCCCCTGCTGCCAGTCCTACAGCAGTACCAGTCATACCGGTACCATCCCCTCCTGCTGCCACATCTATAGCCAGCACTGCTAAATGTACGTCAATCTTACTCTTCTTTGGGATTTATATGATTTTTTAGGCTATTACATTACCAAATGTTAGGATTGAAGTGTTATTTAAAAATGGTTGGGAAGTCTGATTTTGAGGCATCAAACAAGGATTTCCATTAAGCAGAGAGAAGTAAGGTGTATAGGAAAACTTGCTTTTGGGACGACCATGCGCATTCAGCTCTAGTATATCGTGCAAGAAAAATATAATTAAAATTCATTTCCATTCTAGCTCCTGAGCTGTTGTATTCAATATAATTAATAGGTTACATACCTTATAAATCCGACAAACAGCTCATTTTAATTGAAGGTCGTTTACATGTTTCGGCTTGTATCGGCCATTGTCAAAACATCGCAGTTGGATGGTGAAATCCTTGTCATTGTTTTCTACTAAAAGTACATACACAAACACATACACACGGACAGGACGAAAACATTACGAAAAACGAATAAATAGGCCTATTAAAAACACGGGCAGGACGCACGCACACCGTTGTCAAGGTCAGAGTGCTGGGAAAGGAAGAGCCCCAGCGCCATGCACTATGCGGAAATTCCTTTCGCACAGGGTCTTCCTCGACTGTGAGCGTTGTAGTACATGAAGGCCAGAGGGGCGTTGGACTTTGCCCTAGACACCAACTTCCCTCGCCAGTGTAAATTCTTGTTTTCTAATTAGTTTTCCAATTTATAAGTACTTTTACGGCGGTTTCGATTTAAAAAGTTATGGTTAGATGGGGTTTTACAGTATAATGTTACAAATCTTTGTATAATTTTTTTACAAGATTCTTTAAAAAATCAACACTGAATTGTTTGTTTTATCAAACAGAACTATTCACTAAAAGTAAAATATTTGTTAAACAATTAATTATTTTCAAGCTATATTTTTTTCTTATTGATTGTAGTGGAAGATGAGCTAGGACTTACGGAGCCTGAAATACTGGAAACCATCAGCTCCCAGGTGACCAAGCAAGACGATCAGCTGTTGGAAGAAGCATTGTTGTTAGAGGAACTCAGCACATTGCCTACAGACGACATTTTACAGGTGTGTAACTACCTATTAGACTTTGGCCAGTATATTAAACTCCACCCCTAGATGTGTAAACAAGATTCTAATTGCTCTGAAGTTATTCTAAGGTATCTAGGGAAGTAGCTATTACTTCTATTATTATGCTATTATTAGTCTTCTTGAGAAGAACTAGGTTCCGGACCATTGTACTTTTTCATTTTGGAATGCTTAGAAGCCAAAAACATTACTAGTACACAGTAAAACACTGATTCACCGAAATAAAGTGGGTGAGGATGTTTTGGATGGTATATATTTTTTTTATGGTATTGGGAGCTTTGGTTTAGCTTTGTAATAAAAAATTGTGTTTTACTGTGTAAAGGACCTGATTGACAATTTGTATAAACAATTTTTTTTTTCAGAAATCAGTCAAACCTGACCATATAAAGAAAGTTTTGTTTTGATTTTTTTTTGTCTTTTGGCAATAACTTAATTGAAATTAATTTTGTTTTTTATACATTTTATAAGTCTTTGTATATATTACCTTATTATTCTATGGGCGTATTTGTTACTAAGATAATTAATTAAAAAGCACTAAATTAATTGCCTGCTGTGTTGTCCTGAAGAATATTATTGGATTTGTGTAGATTACTTTTTAGACGGGTGTCCAGCTGACCTGAAAACCAGGTTTTGTCCGTCTTAGTGTCAGTTAGCCCTGAGCTACGAGGGTGTAGAGTTAGGCCAGGACTCACACTCAGGTGTTGCCCATGAGAGTAGCTCCAGCATCTGCTCCAGACAATGAAAAAGCACGAGGGCAATGTCACCTCTGTGACAGGAAAAAAACAGTCCTACCCAATTTAGTCGCTTTTTTTGTGTTTAAGTTAAATTAATACCTAACTGATTAATTTTAAGTTTCAATTCACAAAGAAATAAGATGCAGACAGTCAGTCCGCATGCCTGTACTGGTGTTACTAGGGTTCAGTAAAAATGTTAGGTGATTTGTCCTAAATTTGAGAGTAGGCCTACATATAATTAATCCTCAACATAATTAATAAATAACAATTATTTTGACCACACTATTTCAACAGGATGATATCAATGACCCACTGCCTCCTCAGCCAACAGAAATTACAACACCGACCACCCCACCAACCATTAAAAAGGCACAGAAAAACCTCTCGCAAACTTCCCTATCAGCGTTTTTCCCTAAAGTAAATCAAAAGGATGAGACTGTGACCGTACAAAGTCCGACCGCAGTCCTCTCGCCTGGGGGTCGTAAATTACCTCCGGTCGAGTTACCGGCTACTCGTGGCGCCACTAAGCGAGCCAGCCAAAAGAAAGATCAACCACAGGTACGAGTCATGCCTACTTGTAGACCCCCTACCTTGTCTAGCGGTGATGGTTCCAGCATTGACATTTCCCTGACCTCGTACAAAATGTAAATAAGTAGGGTTTCAACTTTTGTGCAAGTGTTAATAGCATAAATATATCATTCATAGTTATAAGAACTATCAAATTCTAGTATAATGTTGACAGAAATAAGACCAATAACCCGTTTTATAGCTTGGACAAATTGTTTAACAATACGATTATTCAGTTGTAATATTTAATTTAAAATATGTATTGTATATGTCTCCTTTTTTTGAGTTATCTATACAGTCAACTAACTCAACTAACTGACTAAGCTATAATTTTAGCTGTTTTATGACATTGTCAATAATTTGTAAAAAATTAAAGAACAATAAAAATTATTCATTTAAAGTATATTTGATTTCCTCTATTTTTTATATCAAGAAATGATCTTTGTTGACTGTAACTTAACACGTTGGAACCATCAAGATTTTTCTGAATTTTCTTAGGTTAGCAGTCCTTGTTGGAGTAACAAATATTTGAGTCTCCGATTCTAATAAGTCTGTTCATGACATTCATTGTAGTTATTGTTTGGGTGATACTCAATCTTGGAATTAAATATTTCTGCATTGTAGATGTAAATCTACTTATCATTTACCATTGAGTAAATAATAATAGAATATAGCATTGTCAAACAGTTTCACTAAGTTTTGAGTTCTACTGACACTTGTTGCTATTGTTTTTACTAATTTGTTGTCCTTATAGGAATCGCCAAGCGTGAAGACAGAAGTCAATAAAAAAGTACCAAGTAGTGTGGAGAAGGAGAAAAGAAAATCAACTGATTCCAGGAAATCCATAGATTCAAAGAAGTCTGCGGGAAGGTATAATTTTGCATGATTGAACATCGAGGTTACATTAAATTGTGATCAAAGTAATGGGATAATTTATTTTGTAATAGGTTGGTTTGTCATTAATTTAAGTGTCCCTGATACTTAAGGAAATGAAAATTAAAGAAGGCTCTAAGCATCAGCTGAAGTTTATTTAAGAACTATAACTTGAGTAAAACAATATATTGTCCATTGATGGGTGAGCCGGTGGCTCCGTCGATAGCGCGGCGGACTTTGGATCCATGGACGTCATGGGTACCTGCCACTACGTTTTATCAGTAAAGTTCACCCTTGTACTGTACCAGCTCACCCCTTGCTTTGCTGGATCAATGCACAGGCTCGAGACCTTTGTGTATGGGCAAATGAAAAAGCCTAAATAGCCCACAAACCTCTTAAAAAGAAGATTATACTAAACCATACAGGTTTTTTTTTCGTACCACATTATTTTAGACTCCTTGTAAGTTGTTAAGGTTAAAAGATTTCTAGGGGTTGAAACACATTTTGGGATCTACTGTGCTGATTATTAGACGACATATCAGTCATGACATGAAGTTCCTGCTGATAAGCAAAGACATAAATACTTGTGTTGATTTGCTGTTCAACACAAACATTTTCTTTTTTTTTACTGATGTAGGTTTGGATCCAGCACTTACATTATTACAGTATTGTACTACAGTAATATTACAGTATTACAATAACTTCATGTTTCATGTTATACGAGGGTTGTTTTTTTTTTCAACCTCCGATATGCTATGAACAAAAGACAAGTTCATATAAAACATTAAATTTATTACCAAAAGTTTGGTCCATTTATGGTTACTTTTTGACTTAATCACCAAAGAGATTGAGACATTTGCTATATCTGTGCACCAGCCTTTTAATACCCTCTTCAAGAAAAGTGGCCGCCAGTACATTCAAAAAACAAAAAAAATTCAAAAAAAACAAAAAAATGTCAAAAAAACTAAAAAAATCAAGAAAAAATCAAAAAGGACTTTAAAATTTCTAGAAATTCAGTAAATTAATCAATAATGGTGAATCTGTGGTTTATTTAACCATTCTGCCAACTTGTTGAACCAGCTCATTACTGTCGTTTCAGATGACTTGGTTCAACAGTTTGACAGGATGGTTAAATAAACCACAGATTCACCATTATTGCTTCGTTTACTGAATTTCTAGAAATTTTAAAATCCTTTTTTATTTTTTCTAGATTTTTTTATTTTTTTTTACATTTTTTGTTTTTTGAATTTTTTTTGTTTTTTAAATGTACTGGCGGCCACTTTTCTTGAAGAGTGTATTAAAAAGCTGGTGCACAGATATAGCAAATGTCTCAATCTCTTTTGTTCATAGCCTATCGGAGGTTGAAAAAAAAACAACCCTCGTATTAAGTTCATGTCTAGCCGTTATAATTTGTAATGTTACGTGTTATTTTGAATTTGTATCCATCTTATTCAACCTTTTTTGAGTTTTAATTATCTTTACTTTGTCATCATTATTTTTGGTTTGTCGGTTACGCATCACTAAATTATACACAGTTATTAAAAAAAGTGGTATATTTAGGATTTTTATCAAAACTCATCCTCAGCCTCAGATAACAACATGTTAGGTTTAACATAGGCCTAATATGTTGCAAACTCAATATTTATATATGATGGTTCAACTAAAACTTGTTAGGGCCCAACAAAAAAATTGTACTCCAAAAGTTCAGGAATTAATATGCGTTGAGTTGCGATTGATTGAAATAATTGTAGGAGTATTTAGGTTTGATTGGAAAAGACTTATTGCCTGAAAATTAAGGACACTAAGGACAGAATAAGCAGGCTTCCCATAAAAAATTTAAAGATGACTCTCGTGTAAATGATAATTTAGTAATCAACTACAGTATACATAGATTTTCTTTCCTTTAAAATATAACCTATAGTCTTATCATTGACTATTGGATACAGAAGTATAAATTAGTTATAATACTTATAAATAGTTAAAGCTAATAACATAATAGCGTAATAAAATAATATTTAACTATATGATGTTGCATTTGTGAGCGTTGCTGGCAAATGTCGGTCATGCACAGAGCGGCATTTAAGTGAGTTTCCCACTCCCATTAAGCGAGTGTAAGCGAGTTCTCTGTCATTACTTCTGTGGACGGAATGCTAGGCAAAGAGTTTCAGACCTTGTTCAGAGCAATGGCAGGACGACTAACAGAAAAATGGAAGAAACCTTACAGTTTAATGATGAAATGGATAAGGGTAAAAACCATCTGTGCGACATTAAAGGCCAGCGGCATGTGTCCAAGGAGGACAAGAAAGAAGTGGAGGACCCTTAGAGAATTTGAAGATGGGGCTGGAGTACTGGTTTTTTATTAATTAAAATAGCAAATGTTTATTATTTTTCCTATTAAATGACATATTTGCAAGTTACCCCAATTGTTTGGCTCAGTGTGTGTAGTCAGCTGGTTTCAGGGATGACGCTGATTCTCTAGTCAGTGATGAGGTTAGCGACGAAGACGACAGCCACAACTCAGAAGATGATCCCAACAGACTTTGGTGTATTTGCAGGAAGCCTCATAACAATAGGTGAAACATTCAACTTACTTACTTGACTAATTGACTTAGTCCCGTTGACTGTTCCTCCCCACCTGACTGTTGGCCACCTTCCTCCAGATCTCCCAGGTTTTGGCTTTCTCCTTTGTTTCTTCTATGCCTTTTTGCATGTGTCTGGTTCTACCCACTCTCCTACTTCCTGTGGAGTTCCATTCCAATTGGACTGGACGGGATTTTACTTTCAGTTTGGGTTTAGAACTTTTAATTCCTTGGGATTTTCGGGACAGAATTTTTTGCAAAACTAAAAGGGGTTGTTTTAAAAAATAACATAATATCTTGCAAATGGAAACAAAGACAAAAAAGTTCAATTTTCAGTGTCGATGGCAAATTACATAAAGTAATAGGCCTACTTATTTCCCATCGATTGGCAATGTTCCATGAAAACCAATAATGGGTCAAAATACACAGGTTACCAAAAGTGTTAACTAAAAAAAAAATACATATTTGGTGCAATTCAACTGAGAAACATCAGTCTTGATACCTCTAGTTCATCATAAACAACTATTAAAACGTAAATAGACTCTCTTAGAATATAAAAAGCTTGTAGAGTTTTGAGGCCTGACAGTCACCCGTAGAAAAGCAGGATTAGCTTTGGTAATTATAAATGTTGTAATGTACACACTATAACTATGTGAGGTTGTAGAAAAGCAGAATTAGCATGATAAACATGATTATGATTAGCTTTGGTAATTTGAAATGTTGTAATGTAACATCAGTCTTATTAGAAAACACCTCTAGCTAATCATAAACAGCTGTATTAAAACTTAAATCGACTATCTTAGAATATAAAAAGCTTGTAGAGTTTAGAGGCCTGATGGTCACCCGTAAAAAGCAGAATTAGCTTGAGTAATTAAAAATGTTGTAATGTACACACTATTACTATTTCATCAATTCATTATAATCTGTGATTACGGCGCCTTTTCTTGGGTTCGTTGAGCCATCGTTAACATCTCCAAGGTGTCAAGAAGTCATCATTATTGTCAATCGCCATACTGGCGACATCTACTGTGATTGTAGAGACAAGGTTGCCACTCGCGACACATCAAATTGCTGATGGTTAGAACCGATCCCGAGTTAAATTTAATCCCACCCGATCATCAGGAATACATTTTTCTCATTAAATTTCCTGAAATTTTGGGATCCATCCATCCCTATTTTCCAATACTTCCAAATCACCATTTGTCTTCCACAGGGTGCCCTCCCCATCGCTATTTCATGCATGTTATTTTCACTTTATTTGGCTCTTGATTTGTGTGATACCACAATTCTTTGTTTGATATTGTTTCAGGCCACCTTATTCTTAAAATTCTTCTAAAGTACTCTTGTTCATGCATGCAGCTTATTATTAATCACAGTTTTTTATGTTTCCAGGTTTTGCACCTTTACAGCAAGACACTTATTACATTTGAGTTTAAATATATCATATTTTTCAATTGAAAATTATTTGCTTGCAATATTTTTATTGCTCTCATAGAAGTAAGATACAGTTAACTCCCTCTTATCCGTACACCTTTTAACACACTCTACACTCGGCAGAAATAACATCTCTTTAACCAGAAAATTTCTATCAGCACATTGGTTTAACCGGACTAGATCGGCAGGAAGTGGGCGGTACTGAAACGACTGTTCTCGTGGGAAAGATTTGAGACCAGTGATCACGTGTCTAAATACAATGCTCTCCTACATTTTAGTCAAATATCACAGTAAACAGTCCGTTTTAACGAGTTTTTAGTGACGTCGGTTTAACCGGAAAAACCGTTATCCGGACTGGCCTCGGTCCTGAGGAGTCCGGATAAGAGGAAGTTTACTGTACAGATGAAACTTGCTTATGGGACAACCGTGCCCGAGCGGTGAGCACAGTGCGGAACTTCCTATCTCACAGGGCATATGGTCTTCCTCCACATGAGTGCTGGATTGTGAGAGGGGCGGTGTTGGACTTTGCCCTAGACACCAGTGGCTAGTGCTAGACACGATTTAAGTGTACCATTGAAAGTTTCCTCTATACCTTACTTCTCTATGATTTAGCGTACTAAAAGCTACAAATGCTCACTTTTTTCCTTTTTACATCACTTTCCGTCCCTCCATTTCTGTCAATTAACTTTGGGGTTATGTTTTCAGGAAAAAGCATTATTTTGTCAATTAACTTTGTATCTTTGTATGTATTGTGATTATTGTGTAATGATTTTTGCCAAGAAAAAAAAATAATTGAAATACACTACCTAGGTACAAACAGTTTTCAGCATCCTCTACTTGTTCAGTCTCAAGCATAATTATATCTCTATCCTCGTAATTTTTATCTTCGTGTTGTTAGTTTTTTCCTTATTTATTAGCAGGTCTGTGTTTAGGGCTTCTTGTCTCTGTGTCTCTGTCTTTTGCTTTGGCTGTGCCCTGTTCACACATATCATCTGCAAACTCTAAGTTTTCCATCTGCTCAAAAACCTTCCAAATGATTGCTGTTCGTCCTTTTGTGTTCTTCTTCACTATAGTCTTACTCAGTATAACAAATCTGAAGCAATTTTACCGAATATTTGTTTTATCAAGGATTTCGTTAAAACAAGGTTTGTTATATTGAGGTTATGTTTGCAGGAATTTTGCTAAGTAGAGGTTCACAACAACATCGGTCAATATAGGTCGATGTTGATCGTTAAAACACAATTTAGTAGCATAGACCGACAGACCGCATTGTAAATTAGAACTTCGATTGAGGTAATAGGGCGAGGGAGACCACGGATAATAAACACTAAAATTAATCCAACATTGTATAAAAAATGGAAAACCCATAAAACCACTATAATACAGTGTCAACAGCTCATTACTGTCACAATTTGCATTTTTATTAACAAAATACAATATTGCACAACATTTCAAGTCATTGACCTTGACTTCAATTATACAAACTGTAATGTTTAAAATCACAGCTTACAAACTCACCTAAAAACTAGCCAAACATCGCCATGGTTACTTTACACCCAATCACAGTATACTAATCGTTATGTCGTCATCAGTCCCCAGCTAATGAAATTTGTTGTGACATAGTGCACAGCAGACAGATGTGTAAAAGCAGACGATTGTCAGCCCAACCGTTGACTTACATCTTTACATTACATTTTCATCAAAGGAACTGTGATGTTCAAAAATAGTAATGTTTGGGGTTCGTTATATAGAGAGAAAGACGCAGAATATTAACATGAAGACGAGAAAAAGATTAACAGAAATGGGCATTCCTCAGTTGAATTAAATTTGAAGCTCAGCAAACTTATGTAAACGTAATAATTAGGCCTATTAAATAAAATTGTTTTTGTTATTTTGGGGTTTTCTTCTTTTTTTTTTAGTTTGAAATTTTTAGTATCCAACCAAATTTAGAACTTTTGGCTTATCAAGTATTTTGCACACACTATGTTCATTATAATCGCGCATGACGACGATGACGTATCCGTGACCACGGGAGACAACGATGGCGTTTCCGTGACCGCGGAGACAACGATGGCGTTTCCGTGACCGTGGGAGACGACGATGACGTTTCCGTGACGGCGGGAGCATACAATAACGTTTCTGTGACTGCGGGAGACGACGATGACGTTTCCGTGACCGCGGGAGACGACGATGACGTTTCCGTGACCGTGGGAGACGACGATGACGTTTTCGTGACCGCGGGAGCAGACGATGATGTTTTTGTGACCGCGGGAGCAGACGATGACATTTCCGCGACCGCAGGAGACGATGGCGTTTGCGTGACTGCAGGAGACGACGATGACGTTTTTGTGACCGCGGGTGACGACGACAACGTTTTCGTGGCCGCGGGTGACGACGATGGCGTTTCCGTGACAGCGGGAGACGACTATGACGTTTCCGTGACCGCGGGAGTAGACAATGACGTTTCCGTAACCGCGGGAGCATACAATAACGTTTCCATAACTACGGGAGACGACGATGACGTTTCCGTGACCGCGGGAGCAGACGATGACGTTACCGTAACCGCGGGAGACGATGATGACGTTTCCGTAACCGCAGGAGACGACAATGACGTTTCCGTGACCGCGGGAGCAGACGATGACGTTTCCGTAACCGCGGGAGACGACGATGACGTTTTCGTGACCGCGGGAGACGACGATGACGTTTTCGTGACCGCGGGAGACGACGATGACGTTTCCGTGACCGCGGGAGACGACGATGACGTTTCCGTGACCGCGGGAGACGACGATGACGTTTCCGTGACCGCGGGAGACGACGATGACGTTTACGTGACCGCGGGAGACGACGATGACGTTTCCGTGACGGCGGGAGCATACAATAACGTTTCTGTGACTGCGGGAGACGACGATGACGTTTCCGTGACCGCGGGAGACGACGATGACGTTTCCGTGACCGTGGGAGACGACGATGACGTTTTCGTGACCGAGGGAGCAGACGATGATGTTTTCGTGACCGCGGGAGCAGACGATGACATTTCCGCGACCGCAGGAGACGATGACGTTTCCGTGACCGCGGAAGAGGATTATAATGTTTCCGATACCTCTGAAAAAAATCAGAATTTTGTCACGACCACGAAAGATGGTGGTGATGTTTCTGTTACTGAGTGAGATATTCAGGATTTTTCAGTTATCGCAGAAAACGATGATGGTGTCTCTATCACAGTGTTAGATGATCACAATATAACCTCGAGTTTTGCTTGACCAAAAATTTCAAAATGGCACACTTCTAGAAAGTTTTTTTATGTTTTGTAATATCATTTACATTTACTTTTAACGTGGTATTTATTTAATGTGTTTAGAAGGTTTTAAAATTTTAATTGGCTATGTGAAATTTTTTTTAATTTCTGCATTAATTATTTCTGTAGGTCACTTGAGAAACAACCTATAACTCCAAAATTACATACTATATGAAAATACACAAAGACAGGGGTTGGTGTAGTAATAATTACAGAAAATTTGGTAAAATTGAAATTATCAGTATTAAGAATCTATTTTTCAGGTGTCTGTGCAGAGATTCAAAGATTTTTGTATCAACATATCACTATTTTTAAGAAGTTGTTGATAAATTGCAGGTTTAAGGATCAGTTTTAATTTTCGGATTATTTAATCAGTGATATATAAAAATTGAATACTTGTGTCAGGCAATTAATATTACAGTAATCATAAATTTTATTTCTTAAACTGAGAATGCTCTTTCCGATAACTAAAATAGCGAGCTGTGTTAGCGCTAAAACAGTATTGCGAGAGTTGGCGCAAAACAAGCTGGAAATTTTAGTATGAAAAGTACGAACTGAACTACCTGGATTTTTTTTTTACTCATGAATTTTTTCTGTTTGGCCTGGTGGGCACCCTGTTATACTTGTTTTTTGCCAATACTGTTTTATAACAACTAATTTAATCTCTAAAATATTTTAAAATAAAATTATCTTAATGTGTTAACTGATACTATTTTAGTCACTACAAAACATGCAAAGAGTAAGTTGGAATTTAAAGGTTACTTTACTTATTACCAAGGCTCACATGAATAGTTGGTCATTCTTAGATTCTAGTTTTGTAAGCCGTTTCAACAACTATATAAATGTTTGGTTTGCATTTATTTTTGGCTTTTTGGTTCAGTTTGAAACGAGGTTATCGCTTTAATTAAATTAAATGTCTTCAGTAGGTAGTTGTTTGGTAAAGATTTTTTTTCTTATGATTAAAATACAGACTTAACTCTACAATATACTCTATAACAATATAAACTTTTTCTTAATATACATTAAGGGTTTTCTCTGTTACATCCCTTTTCAGCTGTCCTATTCAACCAATTTTTACAATCGAGGTGTTATTGTAAAATTTATGAGCTGCCGGAGCGACGAATGGTAACTAAAAAGATCATTTACTTAAGGGTTTACCCGCCATTAGCGTTTGATTTTAATTTTTAATTTAGAGTTTGCCTTCAAAGATTGAGCGATAGTGATGCTGATTAACTTCCTATATAACGGTTCGAATGTGAATTTACATTTGAACAGCTGATTTTTCTGTTGAATACTAAACCACAGGCAGATTGTAAATAAGAGACAAAACAGTTGATGAAAAAATATTTTAAATATGCTACCTATATATAACTGTAACCTGATTGAGGTACCTAGGTAAATCACTCTTCATGTTGTAAATCTAAAAGCAACAAATTTAATTTATTGAAAATTAGTAGTTCTTTTCACCTTATAACAGTCTCAAAAGAAATATACTTTCTTACTGATAAGGCGTTACAAATCTCAGTCGATTTGTTGCCTTTGTAGATAGGCCCACTCTTCTCCATCCGGATTGCTCCTCCGCACTATAATATCACATCCTTCTTGACTTGGTCATACCATCTTAATTTAGGCCTACCCAACGCACATCTTCCTGTAGGTACGGCCTCATAAACCACCTTCAGTCTCGTGCTTTCCTGAAAAAATACAATCTTTGTAAATGAAAAGGGTATTGCATTATCGTTTTGCCTTGATTTTGATTTGAACCCTATAAAAATGTATAAATGTATTGCGTCGGCGTAGTAATGTGTAAAACAAGACAGAATAGTTGTGAGAGCTTATAAAGGTAAACAAGGTAAAAAATTACTATGTCCTGAATTAGTTAGCTAAAATAATAGGGAACTTTGATACAAAAAATATTGTTCATCCTGCAGGCCAGAAGTGCCTTATTGAACCTTGCTAATTTTCCGTCAGTTTCGACTTTTTTGTAAACTTGAGCTCGTGTAAAAAATAATAACTTGAGGCAGTATTCATCAAATGTATTATACTTTTCATACAAATTAAATAAAAAACATCATTGAAAGCATCAACTATCTGCCAGTTTTTATCTATCACATTATTCATATCTGTAAAGTTTCTTAAAAATTCTAGGCCAAACTTCTAAAGTTTTAATGTTGCAGGTTTATGATTTGCTGTGATTTCTGTGAAGATTGGTTTCATGGCAAGTGTGTCGGTATTACTAAAGCAATGGGTAAGTTTTCAAACAATTAATTCAAACTAATAAAAACTTATGTCATTTAGGACAAAGTGAAGAACAGTCTTTTTTTGTGCACAACTTGGGCATATTTCTCAAAAGGTGAATTTAACTTAAAAATTATCAGTACAATTGAAAATGTTGACACCAAATTTTCAAAGGATTGTCAATCAGTTCATTAAGACTGCAATCACACTTGGGTGTCTATATAAGGTTATATTAGTGTCTATATGGTTTTTGAAAATTAAAAAAATTACGTTTTGCTTCACCGTTTTAGTAATTTTTTATAATGTGCAGAAAATATCACATAAGTATTTTTTAACTAGGGCTAACTATATTTGGCTCTTCTATTAAGTTAATTGTTTTTGTAAAGTTTATTGACGGTTATTTATCAATCATTTATGCAGAATTTACAAAGACTCAATAAATTTAGAAATTAGCCTAAGTCATACACTTTCACCACATTAAACTTTCTCTGTTGGATACAAGGTGAACAAATGGAAGAGAATGAAACTGAGTGGATGTGTCCTAACTGTAAGAAGAAAAAGAAGCTAGAGGAAGCGGCAGCGAAAAAACAAGTAGAGGTGACCAAAACTACACCTACTGTTGGGAACATGAACAAGAAAACGTCACCGACCGTCGCTCCAGTGACTCCAGCGGTGGTAGAAACTCCTCCTGCTCCTGCAAAGAAACCAGAAGCCAATAAGGTATTCAAATACTGTAACACATTTTTGTCTAACAGGGACTAACTTTTAACTATAATAGATCAATAAAAAAACATTTTTTAAGGCAGAAATTCCAAAAATTTTCCTTACGCACAATGCTTTTTTCATGATGATATCACCTTAGACAAAATTTACATGGATACCTAATTTTTTTGTAAAAGTAATTAAATTTATTTTGTTGTTGTCAATAACAACACGAGGGCTTCTTTTATTAATTAAATTAATATATTTTTTTATGTAATGTTTATTGACTAGCTGTGAGCCCTTTCTACGAATGGGCATCTTGAAGCCAGTTAAAACCTTATTTAATTCAGAACACTGAACAGCAGTGATCCCCATACATTTAAAAATAACATAGTACTAAGTCACAAAGGTGACCCAAAATGGTTTTTTAAAAGTTGTTTTCTCTACATAAAACGCTCCGAAAATCAGTTTAAAGTTGATGTAGTGTACAATACCCTGGTTAATGTTTGATAACTGTTAGTGAGATATGACCTCAATCTTTGTAAATGAATTATTTGAATTACTGTTCCCAGATATTGTAATTTTTTCCAAATTTGTTCATGAAATATTATCAAAAAAATTTTGAAATATCCTTGAAAGCACTAACATTTTCTTTTTTGTCTATAAATTCTTAAATTGATTCTGCAAAATTGATCAGCACTGTGATGACTGTTTATTTTGCTAAAACCACTGGTATCCAAAAGGCTATTTTGTCCAAAAAATTACTTAATTCTACTATGCATGGCATTTTCAAAACTTTTGAGATTGAAAGGAGAATACAAATCAAATCAGATCAAATCAAATCAATCTTTATTCCAGAGACACCAATGTACAGAAAAAGAAAACATACAGAAGTGTAGGCTGCGTCAATATAGGCCTAGTCAACAATAAACAATTAATAAAGCATTGGTCCTAAAAACAGTGTTTCAATAACAAATTCTTAACAATTTTAAATTTATCTAATGGTAACACTTGAATATAATTTGGTAAATGGTTGAATAATTATTGAGGAATATTTAAAACTATTTTGAGTTATGCTATATGTACGGATATAATTTCTAAGTTCATCTCAGTTTATGGTCTTATAACTATGGATATCACTGTGGGACTGCATTATTTTTACAAGTGTTTACATTCTTTTTACAATACACAAGACAGAGATATATATACAAAATAAGAGGCATGACAGAAAAACGACTATTATGGGTTTACAATGAGTTTTTGGTGGAGCACCAGCAATTAATCTAAGCAAAACATGTTATGTCGTAGGTGATAGTTCAACAGCAGAGGTTGGTGGTGTTAGGACAAGAGACTCCCAAGGCGAACACCAAAGGAACGGAGATACGTATCACCAAGGTGTCCAGCCGCAAGTCTATGGATGATAGGAAACCAGCAGAAGAGACTGTGTCAGAAACAGCGGCTACGGAACATCATCCACCTGAGACGTGAGTACTTAAAATCTTGAGATTCTGATAGAGGCAAAATAGTGTTAAAGGCTATGTAATGGAGGGTAGGCCTGGTAGTCGGGTAAATATAGGATATGACCTTAAAAAAATTGCAAGAAAACGTTTTATGGTTTTATTTTGTAGAGTTGGGTTTGCAGAATGACATACTAAAAGTTGCCAAAAATCGGTGCACGAGAAAACCACTAAAATCACAATTTAAAATGGCGGCTTTTTTCAACATTGGACAAATTAAAAAAACATATTTCACATGTATTTGTTATGCACATTTTCCAAGATATTGACTTGGGACCACCGCCTGTATTTATTGAGTGGTTAGTACTTCATTTTGATAGGGAACATGTTTTTGACCGCCATCTTGGATCCGCCATATTGGACATAGATAATTTGTTTTCAATGTAATGATAGTGTTGTGACACATCATTACCAACTACATTTTTACACTGATTTCAATGCCGAAATCCGTTTTTAAATATCTTTATTCATTTAGAAGATATATACAAAAGAAAACTCTGCACCATACATTTCTTATGGACGTTTCGTAGTTTGATATTTTTTTTTAAATTATTTTTCTTATATCTCCAGTTCTTATTAACGCTTGTAGTTCGTTCTAGGCTTAAAATATTCAGTAATGTAAGGGCTTTCATTTGAGCTCTTGATCATTAAAATCAGACGAGTTAAAGACCTGCTACGAACCTCAGAACAATATTAAATTTAACTTTTTAGAAATATATTTTTATTAAAAGATTTATAACTCGGGTTGTTAATACGTCACCGAGTTCTTTCTGGTCTCAAATTACTCAGTAAATGTTTGGCTTTAATTTTATTGATCATTAAACAAAATCTGACAATTTTAAAATGAGCCATGGACCATAATTTAACATTAGAATGTATTTATATTGAAATTTGTCTTTAGTTAAAGACGTATATTCCTAATTCTAAATAACTCCCAAAACTCTTTATAGTCTTAAATAATTCGCCAAAATATTGACTTTTATTTTAGCTATGGATTACTTTCCAGGAGTTATTAGGGTTTGGGATATATGTCCTTAACTAAAGACAAATTTCAAAATAAATACATTTTAATGTTAAATTATGGTCCATGGCTCATTCTAAAATTGTCAGATTTTGTTTAGTGATTAATAAAATCAAAGCTAAACATTCCCTGAGTAATTTGAGACAAGAAAGAACTTGGTGACGTATTAACAACCCGAGTTATAAATATTTTAATAAAAATATATTTCTAAAAAGTTAAATTTAATATTGTTCTGAGGTTCGTAGCAGGTCTTTAACTCGTCTGATTTTAATGATCAAGAGCTTATCAATCAATCAATCAATCAAGAAATTTATTTACACAATAATTGCCAATACATAGGATACAAAAGTGCAAAAACCACAAATGGTTTGTCTGCACTAAAAATATTGTTTCTTATCTACCATACAGTTTTTGTCAGTTTGAATCAGTAGCATGCAGTTTTATGAGTTCTTAATTGTCTCTTGAGTAATTAATAACAAAAAAAAGACAACAAAGACACAAATATCTGTAAAAATTCAACAGTAACAATAACAAATAAACTATTGGAATAAATAACAATAATATATTACTTTAACTTCAACTAAAATGTAAATAAATTAAATGCATAATTGTAATAAATTAAAATTGTAACAAATCATTCCAAACAAGTTCCTTTAAATAATGTTTAAACATGCTATAACTATTTGCAAAAACCATATGATTTGTGAGGTTATTAAAACATTTGGGAACAAAAACTTCAAGTGTTCTACTTCCATACTTATTCCTGTGCTTTGGTACAAAATAATAATTCCTTCTAACATCATATGGGTGATTATTGACTATTTTCAAGCTGTCATCAAATAAATGATCAGTGGATATCAAAAAGATATATAACTTACTAACAGGTAGCAGTATAACAAAATGAAAAATCTTTATAATTGGTAACTGCTTAATGTGCACTGGAACAATACATTTGAGCGCTTGCTCCTGCAGATGCTCAATTTTCCTCAGAGAAGTCTTTGAAGCATTGCCCCATGCTCTCACACCATATCTTAATATTGATTCACACAATGACTGGTAAATCACCAATAGCACATTAAATGGCAGGACACTTTTTAAATAAAAAATTTTGCAAACACATGATCTGATTTTTTTACAAACATAATTAACATGTATATCCCATTTAAAATTGTGGTCAACATGAACCCCTAAATATTTAAAATCATGCACATTCTCTAAACTCTTACATTGACAACTTTTTGGGATAAGTGAGTAAGTATGATTATGTAAACAATCAAAATTATGGTAAGTAATGCTTACATTAGAACATTTAAATGCAGGTGAATGCACATGCATGACCTTGGACTTTTTGTCATTTATTACCAATCCATAATCATGACACCATTCTAAAAGGTTGTTAACAGCATTCTGCATATTTTTTCTGCCTCTATTATATTTTTGTTTGATACGACAATTGCAGTGTCATCAGCGTACATAAAAACCGTGTCTTCTTTTATATATTTTGGGAGTGTATTTGCATATATTATATATAAGATTGGGCCCAAAATACTTCCTTGAGGTACCCCAGAAAAAAGTTCTGCCTCTTCACTAAATGTACTATGCACTTTTACAATAATTTTTCTGTTTTTCAGATAGTCTCTAAACCATTCTAAAAACCTGCCAGAAATTCCTATGTCCTTGAGTGCTGTCAATATTTTATCAAACTGCAGTGTATCAAAAGCTTTAGTAAAGTCTATAAAAGTTACTATTACTTGATTGCCCTGCCCTAATTCTTTGTTAATATTGTTAGAAAAATCTTTCAGCAATAACTCTGTACTTTTGTTTTTCTGGAAACCATACTGACTTTTATTTATAACATCATTTTCTGCTAAGTATTTATTTAAATGGTGTGCAATGTACCTTTCCATTATTTTATCTATTGAAGAAAGAATAGATATTGGGCGATAGTTCTGGTATGAATTGTGGCAACCTGATTTATAAACAGGTCTTATAATAGCAGTTTTTAGCAGAGTCGGCATTCTGCCTTCATCAAGTGATGCATTTATTATATTAACCAGCACTTCAGCGGCTTCTAAATTACACTTTTTTAAATCACATTCTCTTATTCCATCTATACCGGGGCTATTTTTCTTTAATTTTACAATAATATCTTCAATATCTTTTCTATTGGCTTTGGGGATGTACAAACTCTTAATATCTCCTAATTTAACCTCAGCACTGTCGAATCCCATTAGCTCAAATGAAAGCCCTTACATTACTGAATATTTTAAGCCTAGAACGAACTACAAGCGTTAATAAGAACTGGAGATATAAGAAAAATAATTTAAAAAAAAATATCAAACTACGAAACGTCCATAAGAAATGTATGGTGCAGAGTTTTCTTTTGTATATATCTTCTAAATGAATAAAGATATTTAAAAACGGATTTCGGCATTGAAATCAGTGTAAAAATGTAGTTGGTAATGATGTGTCACAACACTATCATTACATTGAAAACAAATTATCTATGTCCAATATGGCGGATCCAAGATGGCGGCCAAAAACATGTTCCCTATCAAAATGAAGTACTAACCACTCAATAAATACAGGCGGTGGTCCCAAGTCAATATCTCGAAAAATGTGCATAGCAAATGCATGTGAAATATGTTTTTTTAATTTGTCCAATGTTGAAAAAAGCCGCCATTTTAAATTGTGATTTTAGTGGTTTTCTCGTGCACCGATTTTTGGCAACTTTTAGTATGTCATTCTGCAAACCCAACTCTACAAAATAAAACCATAAAACGTTTTCTTGCAATTTTTTTAACGGTCCCTATGTAAGTTTGTTTAGTTTGCCTGGACTATGGTGAGCTGGGTTGATGACCTGTGGTCAGGCCTAAGTTTTGAGTGCCGCGGGGAGGGTAAGGCAATTTTAGGTTTGTCAGACAAAACATATGGTATATCTGCTAGGAAAGTATAGGAAAGCCGGCCATTTGGGACATAACTTAAGTGTTTGGTAAAAACACCATAAAATATTTATTTATTGACATTTTTATTGATTTTGTTTAGTAGGTACTGACATTTTGCATGGTAAAATGCCAATTTCAATAGGGGTTTTATGAGGTGAATTAATATATTCTTTTGCAAAACACATGTCTTATAGTATGGCACAAATTTCCCTGTCTTGAGCTGGTTTGAGGTGTAATTTTGTACTAGGCCCAATTTCATTTCTAGAAAAAGCTGGGTCTTCAATATTTCTACAAGAACCCTAGAATTAAGAGAAAGGTTATCATCTGATATGTGAAGTTTGAGGCCTAACTTTGGCAAAAAAAAAGAGGCATTGTATTGCATACAAACCAGATTGGTCTATACTGACACATTAACTGAAAGTCTTGTTCTACAACACATTCTAAATGGCACTGTCATTCATTACTAACCAATGGCTGACTAACTAACAGTTGAAAAATGACCAACCATAATTTTAATAATAAAAGAAATAAAAGAAAAGGGTGTCCACCGACCTGGAAAACCGGGAATTATGTGTGAATTTTGTATCTAACGGGGAATTTTTTGCCGCGATCGCGCATGACGACGATAACGTATCCATGACCGCGGGAGACGACGATGACGTTTCCGTGAGCGCGGGAGACGACGATGACGTTTCCGTGAGCGCGGGAGACGACGATGACGTTTCCGTGGCCGCGGGAGACGACGACGGCGTTTCCGTGACCACGAGAGACGATGACGACGTTTTCGTGACTGCGAGAGACGACGATAACATTTCCGTGACCGCGGGTGACGACGGTGACGTTTTCGTGACCGCGGGAGACGACGATGACATTTCCGTGACCGCGGGAGACGACGATGATGTTCTCGTGACCGCGTGTGACAACAATGACGATTCCGTAACTTCGGGAGATGACGATGACGTTTCCGTGATCGCGCATGCAGACGATGACGTTTCCGTGACCGCGGGATACGACGATGACGTTCCCGTGACCGCTGGAGACGACGATGACGTTTCCGTGATCGCAGGTGAAGACAATGACGTTTCCATGACCGCGGGTGACGACGACGATGTTTCCATGACAGTGGGTGACGACGATGATGTTCTCGTGACCGCGTGTGACAACGATGACGTTTTCCATGACTTCGGGAGACGACAATGACGTTTCCGTGATCGCACATGCAGACGATGACGTTTACGTGACCGCGGGAGATGACGATGACATTTTCGTGACTGCGGGAAACGATGATGATGTCCAAAAATATTGCTTGACGATGATGACCGCAGGAAATTATTTGAATTAAGCTACGATCGAGGAAGATTATGATAACTTTACTGTGATGGCTGGAGACGATTTTAATGTTTCCGTTACCGCTGAACAATATCAGGATTTTTTCAGGACCACGGAAGACAGTGGCGATGTTTCTGTTACTGAGTGAGATATTCAGGATTTTTCAGTTATCGCAGAAAACGATGATGGTGTCTCTACGACTGTGTTAGATGATTACAATATAACCTCGGGTTTGGCTCGACCAAAAATTTCAAAATGGCACACATCTAGAAAGTTTTTTTATATTTTTTTGTAATATCTTCATTTACCGGTACCTTTAACGTGGTATTTATTTAATGTGTTAAGAAGGGTTTAAAACATAAATTGGCTACGTGCAATTTTTGTAATTTCTGCATTATTATTTCCGTAGGCCACTTGGGAAACAACCCATTACTCCAAAATTATACTATAGGCCTATGAAAGTACATAAGGCCATGGGTTGGTGTAGTAATCCTTCAGAAAATTTGGTAAAATTGAAATGATCAGTATTAAGAATCTATTTTTCACGTGTCTCTACAACAGAGATTCAACAAATTTTGGTATCGACATAACACTATTTTTAAGAAGTTATTGATACATTGCAGGTTTAAGGATTAGTTTTTAATTTTCGGATTATTTAGTCAGTAATATATAAAAATTGAATACTTGTGTCAGGCAATATTACAGCAATCATAATTTGTTTTCCTTAACTGAGAATGCTCTTTCCGATAACTAAAATAGCGAGCTGTGTTAGCGCTAAAACAGCATTGCGGGAGTTGGCGCAAAACACGTTGGAAATTTTAGTATGAAAAGTACGACCTGAACTACCTGGATTTTTTTTTACTCATGAATTACTCATGAATTTTTTCTGGTTGGCCTGGTGGACACCCTGAAAAAAAAAACGGTAGGCTACAAACATTTAAATACAGTCTCCTGTAAACAGTCAAAATAAAATCACACAATTAGGCCTACCAAGTTCATAACACATTATTCAACTATCAACAAAATAAACCTAAAAAACTGTCAGGAAAATAAAAAGTGTTGTTTATTTTAAAAGGTTCAAAATGTACTACAACCTGTACTGTAGTTAAAACTAAAACAACAAATCAAAATGCAAACAACCAACATTTGTTGGAACATTAACAGACAAAACCACAACACATGAACCATCTGTGTAAAGCCATCTTATATTGGGGGTCTGACTTAAGGGAGGTACAAATGAGGCAACGATGACATCATAGTTTAGTTCAAAATTCCTCCGTTAACAGCGTTGTAGTAGAGAGCACAGAGCGTACTTTTACTTCACTATTAGGCCTAGTTAATTAAAAAATTAAGAAAAATTAAAAAATTAATCTTAAAATTGTTCTATTATTAAATTAAACTTAAACGTGAATGAAAAAATCGAATGAAGGTTTACTAATCTAAAAAATAGTTTTGTTCATAAAATAAAGTTATTAATTCCTAAAATTCAATTTTATAATTTTTTTATTATAAAATTAAATTGTCATAACCTAACCAAACCAACCAAACTTGCTGATATGAAAAAAAAATTTTTGACAAAAAGTTAGTGCTGCCAGCGGGATTCGAACCCGGCTCCTTCGGATTATCAGCCCAACACGCTATCCACTACACCACTGAGGCCGATGACTAAATTCTGTATCGTTGCGGTAATGGTGTTCCCTCAAAAGGAGATCTGACAGCTGACGTCATCGAAGGCTCTTCTGTACCTCCCTTGAGTAAATACCTTATATTGGTTGATGCGTGAATGTTTTTGATTTTCTGACCACATTCGTCTAGCAAATAGTTATTGCCAACCTCCTTCTGACACCTTTGGATTGATTAAAAGCCGGTTTAGTCGAAATATGATATTATAAAAGTGATTTTCCAATCATCTCATTTCGTTGGCGATCTTGAGTGTCTATAAGGGCGATGCGAAGGCACTCAAAGCGTTAAACACTAATGCCTTGCCTCAGGAGCTGTTTGGTTCAATAAATATAATACCTTTCAAGGTAGGGAAAGGGGTCAGTCAGTCTATTTTGGCAAAAGCAATACTTTTCCACATACTGTAAATTGTTTAAAGTATTCTTAAACTCGTAAAGCCGGGTTAGGGGAGAAATTAGAAATGTTTAGACCTAACAAGATTTGGACATATAGTGTACTGTGGTCACTAATACAGGTGCCTGGTTCATCCACAGGGGCCCTGCTGGGGAGTGTATAGTGTGCAAGAAGGAGTCGTTTCCTGGAGGTGTGTACTGCAGTGACGAGTGTATTGCCAAACATGCTTCAGAATCCCTCTCAGTGTTGGACAAGAGCTCTGTCATTGTGTTTGAGAAAAAGACTGGCCGCATCTTTGCAGGTAAATAGGGGAAATAGTTAACATACAGTATATAATGGAACACCTCATATCCAGCCACCTTGGGACCTAGCTCCAGGCTGGAAACCAACCTATTATAAAAACGTTAATTTAACCAAATACTGTCAATATGTTTAATATTAATTTTTTTTTTGCTGTTGATTTATAATAGAACACCTCATATCCAGCCACCTTGTGACCTAGCTCCAGGCTGGAAACCAACCTATTATAAAAACGTTAATTTAACCAAATTCTGTCAATATGTTTAATATATATATTTTTTTTTTTTTTTTGCTGTTGATATTAATGGAACACCTCATATCCAGCCGCCTTGGGACCTAGCTCCAGGCTGGAAACCAACCTATAATAAAAACGTCAATTTAACCAAATTCTGTCAATAAGTTTAATATTAATTTTTTTTTTGCTGTTGATATATAATAGAACACCTCATATCCAGCCACCTTGTGACCTAGCTCCAGGCTGGAAACCAACCTATTATAAAAACGTTAATTTAACCAAATTCTGTCAATATGTTTAATATATTTTTTTTTTTTTTTTTGCTGTTGATATTAATGGAACACCTCATATCCAGCCACCTTGTGACCTAGCTCCAGGCTGGAAACCAACCTATTATAAAAACGTTAATTTAACCAAATTCTGTCAATATGTTTAATATATTTTTTTTTTTTTTTTTGCTATTGATATATAATGGAACACCTCATATCCAGCCACCTTTTGACCTAGCTCCAGGCTGGAAACCAACCTATTATAAAAACGTTAATTTAACCAAATTCTGTCCATATATTTAATATTATTTTTTTTACTGTTGATTTTTTTCCGTTTGATTGCTTTAATTTTCTTTACTGAAGTAACATTGTAAAAAATCCAGAATCAATTTGAAATAGTTTTACAAATTACATTACTTAGTTGAAAACGCACCATTATTTTGATGTTCCACCATTTTCTTCTGATTGTTCAGGATTTAGTGGGACACAGGGATGGTTTTTTATACATTTCTTTACTTCACTCAATATTTTCCTAACAAAAAATCTATTTTATTTATATTTATTTCTCTTACAGTTTTCAGAGTTATGTTCTACCCTTTACACAGCTGTTACAGAGAATGTGTTTTGTTGCAGGACCCAATGGTCCGACACCCAGCACACTGACCAGCTGGCTGATGGCTCATCCGTCTTACGAGGTGATGAGACCTGGAGTGTTACCCTCCGCTAAGTACTACAACCAGCCCCGTTCCACTCCCCCTGTCAAACAGCCTCGTCCAGCTCTCAAACAGACGGTGCTGCTGGGGCAGAACAGGCCGCAGGGTATACAGCTCATAGCAGCTTTGCCACAAGTAAGTAACACTAGTTCAGTCAGACATAACTCTCTAAGCCTTTAACAAAAGATTAAACACTTTTTTTGGGAATGGACCAAACCCTGGTTTTGTTACTAATAGGGATGGACGGGATTGAATTTTTAGTTTGGGACGGGACGGAACGGGATTTTTATTTCCTTCCCGATTTTCGGGACGGGACGGGACGGGATTTTTTTCTGTGCATAAAAAGAATGTCTTTGAGTATTGCAGTTACCAAAATAGACATACAACATCAATTTTTACCGTTTGTGGCACTGATTTATAAAAAAACCAAAAAATGGGTAACAATTTACAGGTATCTATAGAAACTTGTGACTCGTGGTCGAAATGACTGGCGGTCACGGTGCGATCGTCAAAATGACCGCGGTCACAGGGTGATCGTCGGAATGACTCGTGGTAACGGGGTGATAATCGGTATGACTCGCGGTCACGCCATGATCGTCGGTATGACTCACGGTCACGGCGCGATCGTCGGTATGACTCCGTGGTCACGGCGTGATTGTCGGTATGACTCCGCGGTCACGGCGTCATCGTCCGTATGACTCCGCGGTCACGGCGTCATCGTCGGTATGACTCACGGTCACGGCGCGATCGTCGGTATGACTCCGTGGTCACGGCGTGATTGTCGGTATGACTCCGCGGTCACGGCGTCATCGTCCGTATGACTCCGCGGTCACGGCGTCATCGTCGGTATGACTCACGGTCACGGCGCGATCGTCGGTATGACTCCGCGGTCACGGCGTGATTGTCGGTATGACTCCACGGTCACGGCGTCATCGTCGGTATGACTCCACGGTCACGGGGTCGCAATCACAGCACGATCGTCGGCATGACTCCGCGGTCACGGCGCGATCGTCGGCATGACTCCGCGGTCACGGCGCGATCGTCGGCATGACTCCGCGGTCACGGCGCGATCGTCGGCATGACTCCGCGGTCACGGCGCGATCGTCGGCATGACTCCGCGGTCACGGCGCGATCGTCGGCATGACTCCGCGGTCACGGCGCGATCGTCGGCATGACTCCGCGGTCACGGCGCGATCGTCGGCATGACTCCGCGGTCACGGCGCGATCGTCGGCATGACTCCGCGGTCACGGCGCGATCGTCGGTATAACTCCGTTGTCACGGGGTGATCGTCAGTATGACTCGGCGGTCACGGGGTGATCGTCGGTATGACTCGCGATCACGGCATGATCGTCGGTATGACTCGCGATCACGGCACGATCGTCGGTATGTCTCCGCGGTCACGTTGCGATCGTCGGTATGACTCCGCGGTCACGGGGTGATCGTCGGTATGACTCGCGATCACGGCACGATCGTCGGTATGACTCGCGATCACGGCACGATCGTCGGTATGACTCCGCGGTCACGGCGCGATCGTCGGTATAACTCCGTGGTCACGGGGTGATCGTCGGTATGACTCGCGGTCACAGCACGATTGTCGGCATGACTCCGCGGTCACGGCGCGATCGTCGGTATGACTCCGCGGTCACGGGGTGATCGTCGGTATGACTCGCCATCACGGCATGATCGTCGTTATGACTCCGCGGCCACGGCGCAATTGTCGAAATGACTTCGTCTCCTGCGTTCGCGGACCTATCGCTCGCAATAGCGGCGTCATCGGCACTCGCGAACGGCAAAATCGCCGACGATCGGACCAAATCCCGTCCCGAAAAATTCCCGAATCAAAGGTAATCCCGTCCCGATAATCGGGAATATTTTTTTCCCGAAAAATTCCCGAAATTTCGGGACCCGTCCATCCCTAGTTACTAACTTTGACCTTTCATTAGATAGCCTCATTAATTGATAATATAAAAGGTTTAATTTACCTGTTGCGTCAATTGATCCTTAAGTTATGAAATAACTACGGCCGTTTCGTACTGCTAAACGAGTACATCTTCAGGTCATGAACGATAAAATACGGCCTTCTCATCCATGGGTGGAGTCGTCAGCACATTTAGGACACATAACACGAACACATACGAAACAATAAAATATTTACAATTAAAAAACTTGGCCAAGTAGTCCGAACACGAGAATTGTGTAACCGGTAGCGTTAGATGATGAGTCATGAAGATGTACTCGTTTAGCAGTACGAAACGGCCGTAGTTATTTCATAACTTAAGGATCAATTGACGCAACAGGTAAATTAAACCTTTTATATTTGCATTACCTTGATCCAGAGGCTAACCCATCATGAAATTAATTGATAGCCCAACATGGCAAATGGTATCTGGGTCTGGAAATGATCTTGCTTGGAATCAAAACAAACGACTTTAAGATTTGAAGGCGAGCGCATGTTGTATTTATTGGAAAGCTCTTGTTCTAAAAACTACTCTTTAACAGAGGCAATTAGTGTTTATTTTATTAATGTGAATACAAATTAACCAAGAAATAAATCGTTTTCAGCTACCCCCTGTTGAAGGACCAATGAAAAAGAATCTGCACAAATCAGAACCACCGTCCCCGACTGTGACGCCTAAAGCGAAACAGCAGCCTTCAAAGGGACAGCAGCCTGTGGCAAAGGGACAGCAGCAAATCACAACGTTGTTGAAAGTGCAACAATCGAAACAAGATGCAACAGAAACAGCGAACAAAACGACGCCAGCAAAGTCGCAAGTGACACCGACAGTGAAGAAGCAACCTGCGAAGGAACAACCTAAGAAGGTAACACCGCAGCCACCAGTGAAGAAGACGACTCCCACCGTTGTCAAAAAGACACTCAAAGAAGACGAGAGGAGGGATGACGTACGGGGCAGAGAACAAGAAGAGATGAATGTCAGAGCCAGTGTGAGGAAGACTCTTCAGGACATATTGACCTCTAGACTGCAAGAGGTTGATGACCTCAAGCTCAGCGAAGACCATGTCCGTACACTTTAATTTTATAATTTTAGTAGATTTATATCTAGTTTGTGAGTGCCATATATTATCAGGAGGGAAAAAGAAGTTTATATTTGAAGTAGTGTGCTAAGCATAAAAAATACACTTACTCTATGCAATGAATATTTATATCGCACTATAGAAATATCCATGTAATATTAAAAATTGAAAAAAAATTACAGTTCTTTCTGTCCGTTTTGCTGTTTTGCATATTAAAATAAAAAATATTAGGTTCAAGATTGGAAATCAAGTACTAACTTCTTTTCCAAACTAATATTTTGAAAAGGGGTTCTTAGTTGAACTATTTTTAGCATGTTTAGTCTATTTATTATTATCAGTTTTACATATTTATTGTAAGACTTTTAAACATAGGTGTATTTTTGCAGATTAGGAAAATCACCACACAGATTGAAGAAGAATTACATGCTCTCTTTAAAGACACAAACGCCAAATACAAGTCAAAATATCGCAGCTTGATGTTCAATATGAAAGATAAAGCAAATATGACCCTGTTCCGGAAGATTGCTGACAAGTCAATCAGTCCCGAGCAGCTGGTGAGACTGAGTCCAGAGGAACTAGCCTCTCAAGAGTTGGCTCAGTGGCGAGAGAGAGAAGCAAGACATCAGTTGGAGATGATCAAGAAAACGGAGCTGGATCTGATGCAGCAAGCCAAGACAGTGGTGATGAAAACACACAAGGGAGATATTGTGGTGGAGAACGATGACGGTCTCGGAGCAAAGATACTGGAGACAAGTGTCGAAATAGAACCAGTGACAGTCACGACTCCCTCGACCCCGACAGTGGAGCCTGTCGTCAAACCCAAGGAGGACTTGGCAAAGGACAAAGAAGGAAAACACAAGAAGGACAAGGAGAGGAAAGAAGAAAAACATAAAGAGCGAAGGCATAGTAGTCATGGTAAAGAAAAAAGCCACAAAGACCACCACAAGAGCAGAAGCAGGCACAGGAGTAGACATAGGAGTGAGAGTGAACAAAAGAGTAGAAGCAAGAGTCCTGAGGAAAAGAAGAGTAAAGAAAAGGTTGGAACTAAGCAGGAAGAGATCAAGAGTAGCGATAGAAAAAGTAGAAGTAGACACCAGCACCATGAAAGGGAAAGGAGCAAGAGTAGGCCCAGGGAAAGGAGTAAGAGCCGTTCACAAGAGAGGAGCAAGAGTAAGCCGAGGGAACAAAGTAAGAGTAGTCCACGGGAGAGAAGTAAAAGTAGACCAAGAGATAGAAGTAAGAGTGGGTTGAGAGAGAGAAGTAAGAGTAGGCATAGGGAACGAAGCAAGAGTAGGCCTAGGGAACGAAGTAAGAGCAGGCATAGAGAACGAAGTAAGAGTCGACTACGAAAAATGAGTCAAGATCCTGATGAAAATAAAAAGTCAACAGTCGAAGTAAAGAAAGATGAGTTTGTAAGTGAGGAAAAAGTTATTGAAGAGGTAAAGACGTCAGTTCAGTCTTCTATCATAGATGCTGAAATCAAAGACATAATTCACGATGTGGTTGTTGAGGAAGAAACCGGTCCCGTTGAAGAAGATCTTTCTGATCGAGAACCTAGTTCTACCGTAAATATAAGCACACCACCATTTAACACTTTTGATGAAGTAGGACCTGAAAAACCTCCAATATGGCAAGGAACACTAATAATGCCAGATGTTGCCAAATTTTCTTGTTCGATTCTCGAAGTATCTGGTATTTGTGAGGATTTGCCATACGATCTGCCAGATAACATCGATTGTGTTGGTAGAATCAGTCCTGAAACAGCTTGGGATTATATAGCGAAGATGAAAAAATCTGGAACAAAGCAGATTTTAGTTGTTAGATTCGCTGCTGACAATGAAGAAGACAAAATGTCATATTTGAGTTTTTATTCGTACTTGAGTAGCCGGAATCGCTTGGGAGTGGTTGGCAACAATTCAAAGATGATTAAAGATTTTTACATCCTACCTTTGCCAAGTCATAGTCCAGTGCCACAGGTGTTGTTGCCTCTGGACGGACCGGGATTTGAAGATTACAGACCTCATCTATTGCTGGGTATCATCGTAAGGTCTAGAAGGAAAAGGCTGATGACGGACAAAGATATTCCATTCGTCCCGAAGGTTGCAAAGAAGTCAGAGAGAAGCTACACTCCACCGCTTCCTGAGGATGGAGGACACACTCCACCTACCACACACCAACATCCTGAGACTGAATCTTTCACTCCTCCACACTCACCTAAGCCATTGAGGATCATCAAACTCAAACCAAACAAAAGCAAAACCGTGGAGAGTCCAACAGGTGAGGAAAACATCAAATGTCACCTTTTCTTATTCATACTTATTTTTGGGCTTAGACACAAATATGATACTCTCATCATAACCACGAGAGCTTAAGTTATTCCAGACTATCAGGATCTAAAGTTTCATTTAACCTTTGGCTATTGATAGGAGTAGACATTCCACCCCTGTGTAAAAAATCGTATTCAGTTTTTTAATCAAAATGGAAGTAGTTGAATTGAGTGACCAACAGTTTGTGCGGATCTAGATTACTGATTTCTGTCTAATATGCTGACTTCCGAAACAAGTCAAACTTATGAAACAACATATTGTAAGTTATAATCGTTTATGTCACATTAACATATCTTAACATAGATCAATCAATCTATTTTTTGAGATTTCTTCAAGAAATGCAATAGTTTCATATACGGATTGTAATTTGAATATTTATCTTGCTAATCAATTAGTGAGTGGAGTGGTTGATACATTAGCCTGCCTTTTAAGATTCCTCCACCCTTGTTGACTTTTTGTTAGCAAGTAGCTGTTGGTCCTGTAAATGACGTGACATCTTTTTGGGTGCTATTGACAAAGTGGACAGGAGTGAATTAAAGCCATTGTCTTATTTTGCGTTGAGCCTTTCTTGTGCTTAGGATACACCTTCGCAAGTTTTGCGGGGATTGACCCGAGCTTAAGAATGAATTATTATTACAAATGGGTAAAAGCTGTTTTACACAGTGTTTTACTGCTTTTAGTGGGATTTTATCAACTCCACAGGATAGTTTTGATTTTAGTGAGTTAATTGTGTTCATTACCTCTTTTTGTGTATAGGGGCTAAGATTAGTGGCTGAATGTGTTTGTTAGCGTGGTTTTGAGAACAGATTTTCTTGTCAAAACTTTATTCAACAACTTTTCATTTTATCGTGTATAACTCCTTTCCTTCTGCAGTCTACAGTGAGGTTGACTGTTTACAGTGAGTGAGGACTTCATGCTGGAGGACGACACGCCGTACACTCCAGAGGATGAGGAGCCAGACGACGCTGACGCTCCGTACAGTCCTGGCGAGGGAGAGGACAAGCCTCTGTCGCCCGGGTGTAGTGAGGAGCTGCAGCGCAAGGTAGACAAGCTCAACCGCATGATCAACGACATCGAGGAGCGCAAGCAGAAGATAGACAGTGGCATCATGTCACCACCACAGGTAATATTCTTACAACAGATGGGGAAAACAAAGTTTAAATCAAGCGTGCTGTGTTATAACGCTTTATCATATTTGAATGACCTTGCTTCCTTTTTGATTGAAATTAGTGATGGTCGGATCTGAATATCGGACTACCGGATCCGCCGGATCCGAGCTAATACCGGCACCCGATCGGATCCAAAAAATTCCGGATCTTGGGCTGGATCCGGTTTTGATGGATCCGATATTTTCAAATTTGTTCCCGATTTTTTTCCTAAAACACAAAGTTGTCTGTATCCATGTAAAAGACCGATTTTCCCCCGATTTTTTTAATAACACAAAGCTGTCTGTATCCATGTACAAGCCCGTTTTTTCCCCGAGTGTTTGTCTCTTGATGCAAATAACTTATATGGCAAGGCCAGGGCCGGGGATAGTAGCTAGTAAGGGCTAGACCACTCTTTTGATGTTTGCCAGAAGCCGCCGCGCCAGGTAGTGGGGGGGTCGGCGGCCGCGTGACGTCACGTGGTTGCCTCGCCCAGCGCTTCTGCAATGAACCCCTTGTTTGTTTGCATTCATTGCGCTAAGTATGTAGTTAAGTTTTAATGTTAGTTGTGGTTAGAAGTGTTCTGAAGTCAAATAATATGTGACTGACTGATAGTTTGTTTATGATTTTCATCTGTTTCCTATGGAGTTGTTATTTGTAAAATCCCGGATAATGTGGTACTGGCACAGAGATGAATCGCGATGGAATACCCGATGTGATCAATTGCAAAGACTGTAAAAGTAAAACAGGAATAAATGAAAAAGTACATACTGAAGTAGTAATCTTAAAATCGCAACTGAAATTAGCTAGACAAAAAAATAAAGTTTTAGCTAGCATAAAACGTAAGAATATCTTGCAGCTCTAAAAAGCTAAAGAGCACGATTGAAATTGTAGGTGTTTAGAAAGTATGTGTTTTGAACAAAAACTGTAAAAAACAAGTAGCTATAACTAAGTGGGCTGAGAAAAATATGACTCCTATGTAAATACAAAACGAATAATTAATGATTAATAATTTTCAATAAGATAGTAAATTGTAATCTTATAGTTACCACTATAAGATTATAATTAACTATCTTATTAAAAATTAGTGTTTTAATACCTTAATGCGTATCTTAAAAAAGATCCTATAAATTATAATATCACGATAAATTATCATCCTATTCATATAGAACATTTGTGTATGTTATTTTCATAATGCATTCATTCTGAAGTAAACATAAAATAAAATAAAATACTTCCTTTGATTTTGTTTATAACAAAACAGTTCAGTATGTTTTTCATATATTTATGTTATCCAGCTACAATTTATTGATTTTCAAAATACACTCTTAATCTTTTATTTAATTCGTATTTGCAGATAGAGCCGTCTTGAAATACGTGAGCTTGACTAATACAAAAGTTTACTTTATTGAATTTATTTGATTCTTTTTAGAGCGTTTGAAGTCGGTTGTATTTTTTTACAAGAATAAATTATTTTATGATTTTCAGTGACAGTATAATTTGTTATATATTAATTATTTGTTGTTTTTCGATAAGCAAATTTTGTTTGAAACAATCAAAAGTGTCACAGAACAATCATTAGTTTTAAAACTGCTTGAGTTTTACATTTTTACAGAAATATTTTAAATTTAAAAAAGTATAAGAACATGATAGGAAATTCTAATTAAATATTTATATCGCCACCCAAATATTTTTTTTTATTTTAACCTAATTTTAGTAAGCTCGCCTTAAAAATTGTAAAAATAAATAAACTTGAATATCATTTTGAATAGAAATATTACTATTGAGAAAGGCTAAATATATGTTTTTTTTATTTCGAGAAACCCTTAAGGATACAAATAAATTGTTTATTTGGTTAAATATTTCATAATCATTTAAAAAACATAATTAAAGTAACCACATGTTCAAAGTCAAAAACAATTCTTCGTACTTTGATCTTCAATAATAAATAGTAAATAATAATATTCATATGAACAAGTTACACCACTCCATATACAATTTAATTTCCTTTCAAGAATGCCAGAGGTTAACAACATTGGTCTTTATATTTAGCGGGAATTTTAATTCGAAACAGGGCGCGTGCGCTGCCGAGCATTGCCATCATACTACAGCACAGGCGTGGCTGACAACCGCGTCACGTCACAGGGTGAATCGAGCGGGATGCAGGTACACCGGCGGAGTGGTCTAGCCCTTACTAGCTACTATCCCCGGCTCTGGGCAAGGCCATGTCTCGGTGTTTGTATCTAGATGCAAATAACTTGTATGGCAAGGCCATGTCTCAGTGTTTGCCTCTTGATGCAAATAACTTATATGGCAAGGCCATGTCTCAGTGTTTGTCTCTTGATGCAAATAACTTATATGGCAAGGCCATGTCTCTGTGTTTGTCTCATGATGCAAATAACTTATATGGCAAGGCCATGTCTCAGTGTTTGTCTCTTGATGCAAATAACTTATATGGCTAAGCCATGTATCAGTGTTTGTCTCTTGATGCAAATAACTTATATGGCAAGGCCATGTCTCAGTGATTGTCTCATGATGCAAATAACTTATATGGCAAGGCCATGTCTCAGTGTTTGTCTTAGGATGCAAATAACAAGGTCATGTCTCTGTGTTTGTCTTTTGATGCAAATAACTTATATGGCAAAGCCATGTCTCAGTGTTTGTCTCTTGATGCAAATAACTAATATGCCAAGGCCATGTCTCAGTGTTTGTCTCTTGGTGCAAATAACTTATATGACAAGACCATGTCTCAGTGTTTGTCTCTTGTTGCAAATAACTTATATGGCAAGGCCATGTCTCAGTGTTTACCTCTTGATGCAAATAACTTATATGGCAAGGCCATGTCTCAGTGTTTGCCTCTTGATGCAAATAACTTATATGGCAAGGTCATGTCTCAGTGTTTGTCTCTTGTTGCAAATAACTTATATGGCAAGGTCATGTTTCAGTGTTTGTCTTTTGATGCAAATAACTTATATGGCAAAGCCATGTCTCAGTGTTTGTCTCTTGATGCAAATAACTTATATGGCAAGGCCATGTCTCAGTGATTGTCTCATGATGCAAATAACATATATGGCAAGGTCATGTCTCAGTGTTTGTCTCTTGATGCAAATAACTTATATGGCAAGGCCATGTCTCAGTGTTTGTCTCTTGGTGCAAATAACTTATATGACAAGGCCATGTCTCAGTGTTTGCCTCTTGATGCAAATAACTTATATGGCAAGGCCATGTCTCAGTGTTTGCCTCTTGATGCAAATAACTTATATGGCAAGGCCATGTCTCAGTGTTTGTCTCTTGTTGCAAATAACTTATATGGCAAGGCCATGTCTCAGTGTTTGTCTCTTGATGCAAATAACATATACGGCAATGGCATGTATCTTTCCAAACCGAATCCAACCCGATTTTTCGGATATCTGCACACCTCTAGTTTTTAGTTTTTTACCTGGATGATAAGCTAACGGCCTATAATCTCGTCTCGAAAATATCCCGTTAGTATTTCAATCCCGCCCGATGCTCCGTGATAAAAAAATCTCGAAGTTTAGGGTTTTGTCCATCACTATAAAATATTCTGTGTCTGTGTACAAGAAGATTATCTCTGTATATACAGGATGAATAAAAAGTCAAGACTCCCCCATGTAATATTTTTCTAAGTTAGAACACAGTATAGACTTCTTGTACACAGACACGGGTATTTTACTTGTAGAACTTCACATACCCGGCTATCAGTACTGTGGACCTGGAACGAATTTAAGGAAGAGATTAACAAGAGGTGATCCAGGCATAAATAAATTGGATGCTGCATGCAAAAACCATGATATAGCATATTCAAGATCGAACTATAATAAAACATACACAGATACCCTTTTGGTGGTCGTGCAAACTTAGTGCATTTTATGATTTTGAAAATTTTTATTGTCTCCAAAAAATTAGGGATTATGGGCTCAACTGGAGATTACTCTAAGATATATTAACCTTGAAACATTACCAATTTAATTTTAAACAGTATGATTTAAATTGGCATTCTGTTGATTACGTTTTTTTTACCCACCCTTATTACAGTGTGTATCTGGATCCGGATCCGAATTTTTCAAGATCCGGATCCGGATTCTGTACCGAAATTTTCTTAGATTCGCCCATCACTAATTGAAATTAAAATCTTGTGGTTTTGGTACTTAGGTATTATAGCTGCCACACCGATAAATCAACTTCCCAATAATATTTTAAGTAGTTTAAATAACATACAATCTTCCTAATGTAACGTAACCTAACCTAAAACATAGTCCACCCTTAGGTTAAGTTAGGCGTGGTTATAATTATTAGGTGTGGTCGGTATAATACCTATGTACCTTTTTTCTATTGTAGTTGATGAACAGTACTTTTGGAATACTTTTCTTTGGTGACAATAAAAATAGATTTATAAACCTACTACAAATTGAACTGGAATAAAAAAAAACAATTATTCGGGGCAGGGTTAAATTTTTTTGCAACACCTACCGGCTCCTATATGACAATTTAAATCAATTTTACCTACGACCGTTTTTTCAAGTAGCCGTTTCAGTTCAGTTAAGGTATTCATTCTGATTGCCCCTGGACTACGTATAAATGACTTTGTAGGCTTACCTCTGTCAGTAGTCCAAAGTGACGATGTTGCATTTGCAATGAAACATGTCAATTTTGGACTACTGATGGAGGTAAGCCTATAAAGTCAGTTCTTAGAATTGAAAAGTTCCACATAACAGCATTGTTTACTTTCATAAAACAGCATAGTTTTACTCATAACAACACCGGTAACGGACCAATGAGGTTCAAGGATTGAGAGGGAAGAAGTAAAATTGTAATGATTCGAACTTCAACTAATCAGCTGTTCAGGCCAATTTAATTGTTGAGTGGTGCAATTAGTGTTTGGTACAATGTTTCATTGCATCACTGTGAGTGGCAATGAGAGGTTATAAACAAAAACATAACCTCTCTTAAAAGTTATGAGTAGTGATTTTTAGTAATTAAAACACCGTCGTAGGTAAAGTAGTAAACTCCAGAGTCTAACCAGCCAAATAAACTCCAGAGTCTATTAAGTTCTGGACTTTGCTAACGCCCTGACTCAGCAAGCCATTTTTTAGACTCCAGAGTCTAAAGCCGGTTTAAGTCTAGAACTTAGCTAAATCTCGAGCTCAGCAACCGGCCCTTAGTAATTAATACACTGCCATAGATAAAGTCGTGTACCCAACTCGCGTAAATAGTGTTAACGACACTCGTAGGAAGTTTTTAAGGCATTCGCCAAGGCTCGTACCTTAAATTTTCTAATTTCATTTTTAAGAGTTGTTAGCCTCCGGATTACGTTTGAATATTTATAATGGTTTAAATACCTGCATTCAGTAATCCATTATGCTGCTTGTGGCAACTATAGTTTCGGTTCACAGGGAACCATCTTCAGGCCGTACAAGGCGTCGTTATTCACTTCCATATATGAAGGTCGTCATAAGTACATAGAACACGAACACACGAAAACACACATTGACACGAACATTTAACATTAAAAATACCGAGTACTCGGGAACACGAGACAGGTGACGCGACCGGGTGGAAGTTGTAGCTCGAACTCAACTTGTAGCTCGAGAAACCTGAATTTACACTGTGCTGCATTTCTTAGTAATCCTTGAAAGAGCTGATTTGCAAACTATGGAAACATAGGAAACTCGAGAGTCGAGTTCGAGCTACAACTTCCACCCGGTCGCGTCACCTGTCTCGTGTTCCCGAGTACTCGGTATTTTTAATGTTAAATGTTCGTGTCAATGTGTGTTTTCGTGTGTTCGTGTTCTATGTACTTATGACGACCTTCATATATGGAAGTGAATAACGACGCCTTGTACGGCCTGAAGATGGTTCCCTGTGAACCGAAACTATAGTTGCCACAAGCAGCATAATGGATTACTGAATGCAGGTATTTAAACCATTATAAATATTAAATTTTCTACTCGTGTCGTTAACACTATCTTTAAGCAATCGTTGTGTAAACTACTATAAATGAACAATAAAAGATTGTTTAATCCAATTTCAATTTTATTCTATGGAAGACTTTTTTACATAAATTAGTACAAAAATATAATTTGAATTCCATAAGAAAATTAAATGAACCCTTTTAATTATTACCATGTTAAGTAATACTTTTTTTATTTCTTATTTTTGCTTTTGTTTTATTTTGGCCTGGAAAATAAATGTATATTGATTTACTGCTAATGTGATTTTGATGGAAGTGTCATTTGTCTTGTTTATATATTTCTCTTTATGTTTAGTTAAAAATGCTTCATTTATAAAATTTATTTAAATCATTTTGTAATATTTGAATAAATGTAATTATAGCCTATTTGTATCTATTCAACACATGTTCTCTGTGTATAACGAATGAAGAATGATTTGATTGATATCATTGAAAAATGAATAGGTACCCTACCTTTTAAGTTTAATAAAAGAGGTTTTTTTTTAGTTGATTTGCAACTTCTACAATTTCCAATGTTCCCTTTCTGAAGTGTTGAAAATTAAAGAGACCGATGATTAATGTTTGTGATTCTAGTGAATAATAACTAGTAGGAAAATAATTGTAAATACAAGTGAAGTTGAATTATTGATTGCATTGTGATTTGTCATGACTTTGTCCTGCAGGAGATAATCATGGCTGTTGGTAATGATGAGGAGGAGGAGGAAATAGAGGAGGCGTACAGTCCTTCAGGTTCAATCACTCCTCCGCCTCCGGACTCCTCGTACCTGGACAAGAGCAAGATATCCCTGCCCTCCGATCTACAGGAGATCATTGCAAGTCTGAAGAAGAAACCGGACGAGCCTAAGAGCATGGACCTCCAGTCAGATCCAATTGTCCAAGCTTATAGGTAAGTTGTGTCCATCAGAGTGATACGGTGAAGAAGTTTAGGAGAGCCAATCAATAATTAATTGTACAGTATAAAAAGGAAATAATGCATTAGAGATTACAATTTTTTGTATTAGATTTTTTAAAATCCTAAATCAAACTTGATGATCAACAGATCTGCAGATGAGCCGTACTCTCCAGAAGATGAGAAACCAGAACTGGAGCCAGAAGTTAGTGAGAAGATAGCTTCCCCAGCATCTGAGGAGAGTTTCTCAACTCAGTCCTCGGCCCTGAGTGTTGCTGCGTCAGTGAAGGTCAACAGAGACCCGAGGCAGCGACCCCAGTTGTCCCTCAGTCAGCTCTCCGACGAAGAAATCATGAAGAAAGCTTCGGAGATGGGATTTATGAATCCGGAAAATCCAGAACCCATCCCAGATGTTTTGAAATCAAGAGTGGAACACCCGAGTGCTATTGATGAGCTTCCTCACATGCACCAGCCCCCACCCCCACCTGTGTACTTAAACCAGCCTTTCACTTCTAGTCAACCTACGTTCACTCCAGAGTTCCCACCACCTCACCATTCCACACACCTACCTCCTCCTAACTTCCCTCCACCCCATATGTTCCACTCTGCGCCACCACCACTTCCCCCTCTACCTCCCCCTCACATACCTTTTACAAATCCCCAGCCTCCCCCTCAACCCATGTATCCTCCACCACCCCAGCAACCGGCCCCTCTACCTCCACCACCTCCGGAATCTCCTGATATGAGCATCTCAAAAAAGAAGTTTTCTTCTTCAAAGAAGAAGAAAAAGTCTAAAGAGGAGAGCAGCCGTAGGGAGAGCCGTAAAGAGAAAAAGGAAAAAAGGAGATATTCTGAATCTCCACCACCAAAAGATTACGATGAACGTGAAAAAATCCGTGAACGAGATCGGTATTCCTCAAAGAAGAGAGAAAAGAGGGACACCTCCCCACGGCGGGGGGGTACTTGGAGACCTTACAAGAAATCTCCTCCGCCCGAGAAAAGAAGAGATTCTTGGGAATACGAGCCACCTTCAGTAGGCCTACCATTCAACGAACCACCTCCTCCAAAGATCATGGCTGGGCCTTCCAATCACCAGTTTGTTCCAAGAGCAGGTCAAATGAGAGGGAGGTTTCAGAGAGGGATGAGGGGGGGATTCAGAAGAGGGTTTGATAGAGGAAATCGAGGAGGTTTCCACCGAGGGGGATTTCATCAAAGAGGACATCACATGGGCGTAACTACAGGTCCTCCGGGTCCTCCAAGAAACTTTACTCCAAAAAATATCCAGATCGAGTACGAAGAAGACATCAGGAGGTTTGAAGAACAGCGAAAACAGAAGACTCTAGAAAGGCGGCAATGGAGAAATGAATCCCCACCACCGAAGAAGAGAAGAGGCAAAGAAAGTGACAGTGATTAGATTTAGTTTAATTACAATGTGAGTGATAATAGTACAAAGTCTGATTTCATTCATTAAAAGCCTGCAGTTTCGGAAATGTCTTTGTTACGGGTCTTAAAATACAAGTAAACTAGTTTTATAGTTGTTAGTACTTTCTCTAGCTCCGGCCCATTTAAAAATCACTCAAAATTTGCTATCATGCCAAAGTTTGCTATGCGATTTAGTGTAGTAAAAGAGAAGACAACAATTTGTACGCTTTTTGTTAGCTTTTTCCAGTATTTTCTATTTTGTGATTTAGAAATCTTTTATTCGTCTAACCAAACAATTTAAGTGTTCATGCTAGTTAAACGATAACATTTTAATTTTAAAATTATCCATTCTTTGTTTCTCATAAGAGTAATTAAATTATTTTCTGTGTTAGGCGAGTTATTTTAGAGTATTATTGATTAGTTATTATGCTTTAACAGACTTATCTCTCTTCTCCTTACAATTTAGTTTAAGGGCTGTTAATTGTATTATATGTAACACATTCTTTAAAATAATTGATCTCTATGTATTAATTTTAATTACTCAACGTAGTGGAATCAAGCTGTAACATGTTTACTGTTAAAACTGAAAATTAGGATTAATCGTTGTACAAATTTATTAGTTTAATTTTTTATTTTGTATAGTGACTTTTGTTTAATTTAATTTCTGATTATGGATTAAATTATTGTGAGTAGTGTAATTTTACTTTTGGGACCAAAACTTCCTAGCAAACAATGCATTCAAAAAGTTTGAAAATGGGGTTTGTCTATATTATTTACGTTACCGAGTTCATAGTTAAAATAGTGCAAATAAAACCATATGTACTGTTTTGATTGCTTTATTATTTAAATATTGAAAACCAATCAACTGCATGCATTAAACTCCTGTAAATTTATATCATTGCTATAAAGCCTCTAAATTGAATTTTTGGTTACTACCAATTACCAAAGTTTTTTTCCGGTTGAGATGATTTTTATATCAGGCTTGATTTCAATTTTAATTCCAACATTGGTAATGACCGTTCATTTATAATGTGTTCATTTGTAAATAGTTTGTAAATATTCAAAGTGTATTATATATTAGTTTTATATGCTCTAAAAGAGTGTATAAGTGGATAATGTTTAGTTTAATGGTGGAAAGATCTGTGTTAAATTTTCCACAGCATGTTGTATGTTTCCGAGGGTGTTTTTAAAAGGTAGAAAACTGGCTTGTCAAGTAGCAATAAATTCAATGTGGGGGAATATTCTTGGTAAAATTGCAGGTTTTCTATCTTTTTAAAATTTTTGAGTTGTGCAACAAACTGTATATTGAACTGTGATTGCCATATTACCATGTTGTTGAAATTAAATCTTTTTTTTTACTTTTTTTGCATTTTAGACATTGTAAAAATTTGTAACTAATGAAAACCACAGTTTATTGTAAATATAAGCTCACTTTATGCAATTAGAAAGTATTAAAGAATGATATTCACTGAAACGTGTATTTTTAAACCTATGTTTAAAAAATCATTATTTTTATCTATACTTAAAAAAAAATAGTTTGTAGAGGCCTGCAGAAAAGGTAATTAACCTTCTAAGTGCTGAGTCGCTTACAGTATGTATGTATGTACAATCATAGATAAAAGATACTTCCTTAGTAGATTTCTTATCATTAAGGATCAGCTGAAGACAATTTGTATTGCTATTTGTGTCCGATGCACTGTAGAAGTTGTGTTATGTTTACAATTTGTTTCTTATTATTTCAGTAATTTAAAACCCCGTTTAACCAAACTAGCTGCTACCCACGGGCTTCACTCCGTTTGACTTCTTAAGTACTGTATTAATAAAACTATTGATTGGTTAGGTTAAGCTGAAATAAACAAAATAGAATACAGTAATACAAGCAAATAATCACACCTGATTTTAATAAGGTAATACATTGAAATACTTTAATATACTTTAATACTTTTCAATGAAATGGCAACAATAAGTATGAAAGAATAACAAACCAATAAGTAGACATACAGCCATAGACTAACCAACACAAGTAGACTTCTCATCCCATTGTAAAATTTGAAGCACGTTTTTCGTGTCTAGTTCATGTACGTGACACATGGGCGCTAGTGTCGACGAAACTTTGTTTCTATTATTTTAGGGTTAATTTCTTGATTTGTGCTTTACTGTTTGGTTATATAACTAGGGGACAAGTTATTGTTTATGATTAGATCGTATTATTTGGTTAAACGAGGTTTTAAATGGCTGTAATAACGGGAAACAAATTGTAAACAAAACACGACATCTGCAGAAAACCGTACAGAACTAACAATAAAATTGTCTTCAGCTGTTCCATAAGGATGAGAAATCTACTAAGGGAGTATGTTTTATCTATGATACAGCTGAGGTATTTTTAACATTAGGTATATGGAAAGTTCCCTTTAGAAAGGAATTAAGACCTCAAAGGGCAATTTATGAAATAATGGATAGTTTTGCACAAGGTTTCTTGTCATGGCAAAGATTTTAGGTATATGGGTTTGGGGGTGTGAACTTTACTTCTCTCAAAATTGCATGGGTATTGTGGGATTTATATATTATGGATAACAACAGCTAAACATTACAATATACTATATATTATTTAAAAATGAATTACTAAAATCTTCTATTCTGTAAGGTAGCTAGGTCAAGTAAGAATACCTTAAGTTTTTTCATAAATTTAGATTTGTCTTTTTTGTTTTTTAAAAAAGCTAGGAAGTTTTCTAAAAAAATAGTTTTCAATATAAGGTTTATTTTGAAAAAGTTCAAGTCTTGGTTTAACTAAATAACAAGAGGTTCTACCCGCGAATTCACGGGTGTACAATTCAGAAGCCACAATTAAATTAAATTAATTAATATCGACTTTATATTTTATTTAAAGGGCGCAAGTTCAAGAAATTCTCATCAGAAGGAATGTTAAAAGCAGTGGGACCTTCATACCTTACGTCCTGAGGTGGCCGACGTGGGTACAGTTCGGCAAAAACTTCAGTGCGGACAGGTGGCTACTATCCAAATTAACCCTTTGAGTGCCAACGTCCGAGGAACCGGACGTTTTTAAAACGAGCCAAAAGTGCCGACGTCCGGGCGACCGGACGTTGAGCCAAAAGTGCCAACGTCCGGCTGACCGGACGTTTCGTAATGATCGAACAGCTGTCATAACAACCGAATGGATACTCGGATTCTTTTAACCCATATATTAACATTGAGTCGAAAGTTACTAGATGCGATACATCGATTTTCGTTGGTTGAAATATCGAAAATTCGATTTTTACGAAATTTTAAAATAAAAATCGCCAGATCGCGCTCGGCATTTTTAGCGCGACCTTCAGGAAAAATCATCGGCATTTTTTGAGCGTTACTTTTATTTCTCGCCTGGCACTCTAAGGGTTAAAACATACAGGTACCGGTTATTGGCAGTACTGGGGTTAGGGGTGAGTGAGTAGTAAGACACAAATGTTTTAACAAAAGTACCCCGCCAACCCCCTCGCATACGTGCGCACAGAAACTTTGGCCGAATATTATATATATATTATGGTTGTACCTGACCTCGCCGCTCTCTTTCACGACGTCCTGTTACAGATTCTTATAAGCTAATCTTACTCAATTACTTATCTTCTTCACATTAGACAACCTGTTTAAAGATCGGTGACAACCTCTTGGACAACCAACGGACATGTTTTTATGTGATTATGCATCGTCTTTCAAACACCTTAAAGATATATGGTGTTAATTCACTTGAAATTTGTTAGGGGAATTTTTTATGAAGGGTGTATTTTGTATATTGGTACACTTGGATCAAACAGCTAGAAATAGCATCAGTGTTCATTTGCCGCACCTCTTTGAACATAAAAGTAAATAATAATATACGTAAACAAAAATGTAAATAAACAATCTATTGTCAATTTCATTGACCAGATGTTTTCGATAAATTAGTCGAATAACGTTAACTAAAACGTGTAAGGCGTGGCCATTTGGAAATTAGCCTGTGGGGCAGAGCCCTAAGAGAATTCGTTCATACCAATACTTTTCGGCAAATCTACACACTCTGAGCTTCATTTTGATGTGCCATATACCTATAATTTTATTTGGTTAATGGCCTTAACCATTTACATAAAACTTGATTGTATCACTTTAATAATATAATAGATTTTTACCCCTTGTATTAATTAATTATGCACAGGTAATTCTTGATTCTAGCAATATTTAAAAAAAATATTTAATTGTTTCAAAAATATATAAGGCGTGAACTGTAAAAATGACCATCCCTTTAAAATACGATTTAACAGACTGGTCATATTTTAATTTATGTATTAATCTGATTGTTTTTTTGTATTTTCAAATTCTCAACATGAACAACACACGAAAAAAGTTCAAAAATCATACAGACTTCAAAACAAAATTTAATGCAACTACAACCTATATTGTGACTCTTTTGTAGGAGTAATTATTTATATTTATTAGGCCAGAATTGATTTGTATAACAAAATATGGGAAAAAGGGTAATTAATTATACAATTATTTAAAAAAATTTTTAATAAATGAATAAGTCTATAAAAATGGGTGTGTTGCTAGCCTAGTGGTTAGCATCTCGGACTTCGGGACGGGTTCAATCCCCGGCACATCCACAAAACTTTAATGGGTTTGGACCGCTTTCCCTTAAAAGTGTTTGACATCATTACAAAAATGCCACTGGCGTAGACACGAGAAAAAAATACCCCCGTCGCAGCAAACCTGCAGACTAAGCGAATTTCCATTTGACTGATTGGATTTACACTGAAATGTCTACTTAAAAATATAACATTTATTTTCTATTTAAATAGAATTAGTTTAACTAGTGCTTAGGTTTGCTACATCAGGGAGGGTAAAACGTTAATAGTTAGTAAGAAATAAAAACATTTTCCAAATTTGATCAAAATATGTTCATAAACAAGCAAACTACAACAATTTACTTATTCTCCATAAGAATAACATGGGAATTTTAAATTTACAATTTTTTGGAATTTTCTCCGTAACCATTAGGCGCATAATAACGCTTCAATATACTAAATTGTTTGTTTTTTTAAGCTCTACAAAATGGTTTGGAAAGAAATTGCTAAATTTTATGTTTTTTGGGTCAAAAATGGGAAAAACCTATTTTTACCCCATAAAACCCCCCGTAAACCCCCGTTCCCATGGTCCGATCATGCTGGATTGCGAACTCGTTTGAATAAACGTAGGTTTACACGTTTGTACCAAATTTCATCAAAATCGGATCATTTTTGCTCGAGTTATTGTGCTAACGGACACATATATATATATATATATATATAAATATATATATATATGAATTTGAACGGATGGTGTTTTTGGCGTCTAGGGACCTCAAAATGAAAAAAAAAATCGGTCCCGCGTCCAGGTCTTACCATGAGTACTACGGTAATAGCTTATTCCCTATATGGGAAATTCGCTAAAACAAAAAAAAATCCAGCCAGAATTTTTTCACATTATTATGATCTGTTACTCGTTCAGACATCTTAAAATTTAAGAATTCACCCTCACAAGGACGTCATAGATTCTTAAACTGCCTTAGGCAAAAAAAAGTAACGTTTCTAATGTCTCGTCCACAGAGGAATCATTTAATCCCCCCGCACTTACGTAGGGACCTCACCCTCTCGCCCTCATGTACTGCAACACTCAAGGTAGAGTAAGAGCCTGTGCGATAGAAATTTCTGCACAGTGCTGTTCGGGCTTTTGTTTGCTCGTCACAATATTTCTGACACAAAATACCAGCACACTGGGGTTGTTATCCCGCAAGGGCGTTTCCTCAGTACCTTACTGTGATTAATCTTAGAATTTTATTATGTTGGCCCATTTGTTTTTTTTTCCTTTTTGCACACATTTTTTTAATTACTCAAAATCCTTTCTTTCATTTTACTATGCATGAAAATTACATTTGTAAAAATGTCAATTAAATTAATTAATGCTTGCAACCAAGACACAAAATTCACTGAGACTGTGTAGCTACCTACTTTAAACATTCTTTGTCTCTATTATCCAAGAGTCTCGTAGCATGTAGCAGTTCTTAAACGTGATGCATTTTTGTCAAGTTAGTATGTCAAGTGTTTGAAGTATGTTTTGCCTTTATTGCCAGTGCAACACTATTCTATTTAAGATGTTCTCTAAATTAAAACACAGCAGCAGTGTTTGTACGTCTTTATTGTATGTGTGTTTTTGTTGTTTTTTTCACAAGGGAGTCAATAATGCCTAGACCAGTCTCTTTCAGGTGCATGGTCAAAACAGTGGGCTTTGCAGTACTGCGGATACCTGAAAAATAATTAAAAATAAATATGATTTTACATGTTAATTATTGGCAAAACAATATTTTGATCAGAAACACTCCTGAATGTTATACAAGTCATTCATTGTATTCCACATCATGTTGAAAAAGCCAAATTTTGTAATTGTATTTTTTTTTTTTTGTCCTAGGACGCTAGGCACGAGTCCGGGATTGTTTTCCACATTACTTCAGGCTAGACCTAGCGGTTGCGGCATTATCACTCAGATAAAATCCATTGGTGACTTGGTGGGATTTGAACCCGGGAGCTCAGGGACTGAAGTCCCGCGCTCTAACCACTACAACACCAGCTCGCTCCACTGTAATTGTATAATAAATTTTGATATCAAAAAGACAGAATTTCAAATTGAGTCCTATAACATTTATACGTTGGATTGGATATATTGTTCTTGCTTGTACTGTATATTATTACAAGATATATTCGTATAACAATGAAGAAGGTTGTTGAGTTTTTACCAACATTTAAAGGAAAATAATATCTCAAACTTATATGGAAACGATATTTCACCTTACTTGTCTGTAAGGGTCAGATGGAACTATCCAAACTCTTAACATTACAATTACCTGCAGGTGCCACCAGGCTCGTTGGTCCAGGCCATGTGTCCCAGTGGTTCGGGGGGTACAAACTCCGGATCCTCACAGTAGTCCGGGCCTACACCCTTGGGAGATGTTACTTTACCAGGAGCGTTCCACCAGTGGGAGTGTGGTGTTGGCCCTCCCCCCTCCCCTTTGGACACCCCGCAGTCAAGTCTGCATCCCTTCAACTCATCATAGAACTGGTTGGCCACGGTGGCAGAGTAACATGACATCTGTTTATACAAATTAGCAATTATAGCTTCAAGGGATGGAGAAAAACCAACTTAACGCCTTAACGGCTTCTTAATCCAACAGCTTAGCAAATAAAGAATTGTTTTTCAACAAAAAAAATGTGTTCGAATTATTTGTTCCAGCTGATTTTGGCAGTAGTGCTACTCCTGCATGTCATACTACTATTATTAGAGCATTTGCTTGTGAATTTTTATCTTTTTGCAGTGTATCATTTTGAGTCAAGCTTTTGACAAATGCTTTAACATATAAGAAAGTACCAGAGTAATATTCTAACATTGCAATGAAAATTAATTTCATACCTCAATACCTATGTTTAAAAATAAAATAACCCTGTAGCATCACGTACTCTTTTTGGGGCAGCATTGAAAGCAAAACCCGGTTAAGTGACATAGTAAGTCTTTACAATAGATTAAGATCACTTAAGGATTTTTTTGTAAAATTACAACCATTTGGGAGTTTAGGGAACGCATGCTGTTTAGAAAATTAAACCCACTAGCACAACTTTGATATGGAATGAAATTAATTAATGAACACCTAAAACGTAACGAAGTCTTGACAATTAAAAAGCTTCACTCACTCTTTTTATAGCCTCTGAGTGGCATTTTGTATCAATGAATCACATATTTACGTATTTTAGAGAAAACAAGTCAAAATCCCTCAAATTTTTGTGGGGTTCACGGTTCAATCCTGTCCTTCTAGCACTTATAAGTCCCAGACCTTATAATTAATAGACTAGCCTATATCAATAAAACCCAATCGACCTGAATTTGATCCTACTCACAGTGGCGTCAAGATGTTGGCGATTGTCTGTAGCTGGGGGCGTCCATATATACTTGGCTTTATTAGCTGATACAACCCTTGGCACGGCAGCCTCGCCATCCAGGGTCTGAGGAGTTACCAGCTTAGTGCCAGCAGGGGGAGAACCAGGGTCCGTGCAACAGCAGCGAGCCTCCACCTTGCTGGTAATCATTCTCATTGTGATTCAGGATGAGAAATAAATCAAATATATCCTAAGGCGGCTTCACTTGAAATTTTTTAGGGGAATTTTTTATGCAGAGGGTGTATTTAGCAAAACCTCTCATATACAGAATAAGCTATTACCGTGGGTCTTACACCTACACCCATGTAAATGTGAACCTACATTTGGGCTCTATGGGGGCATACAAATGAAATACCACCGCCGCAGCAAACCTGCAGACTAAGCAAATTTAATTTGTCTAATTGGATTTTTACTAAAATATTTCCATAAACAAGATGACATATTTGAGTGAAAATTTAAAAACGTACGTTTTCATGTCCCTGGCCTTTTACTTCGTAGATACTGGATTTGTAGTTTATTATTATGTGTTTTAATATTTTTTGGGACGGGGGCAACATGTTACACACATTTATTTGGTTTTAAATAGGTTCTAGGTATTTTTTTCGTATTTTTAAAGTCTCGAAATTCACGACCATGACATGTTCCTAGGGTACATTTTCCAACTTTCACACTGTTTTTAGACTAATTATTCATGCCGAAATATATAAAGCCATATTTTTATGTCATCAATGGTTATTAAACTTACAAAAAAGGAGCATATTATAATTTTATTGTCATTACAAACTGACTACCATGACAAAATAAGTCTGTCCCTCGATTTGGCGTCACGACCATTTGGGAAAAATTTTCAACTTTGGAGCACGACAGTGGCAAGCCTGGCGTCGATGGAGTTAGTTGGTTTTAGAGACTAGTTCGGGGTGTACGTCAGGATTGTAGTGCCGGTCGTTTCGAGTTGAAAGGAGGAATTACAAGATTAATAAAGGAAAGATTGTGTTTTTTGTAATTTTGGTATCACAGGTTTTTTCACGACCAATCCAGCATTATGGATTATAGTGTGTTTGGTTGTGACAATAACTTTAATATAATTGTAAATTGAACAGTTTTAGTTCAATTGAAACACATATTTTTATTATAACTAATAATTGAAGGATTGTTTAGACAGATTTAGATTATTCCAGACAATTCACGACCGTACCGCTTGTCCCTGACCATCACGTTTATGATTTCTATCATAAAAATTCCAAAAATTAAAATATCGTCATATTTCAATGTTTTATACACAAAAGAAGCACACCTCTATACAAACATAACGATTTTTCGGGTCTCAGGTAAGTTTCTTCGGAGTTATACAATCTTAGAAAGATTTTATTGGCTTTTTTTTCAATTTTTTGAGTTTTTTTATTTTTTTCTAGAAAGACCAAATATACCAAAAGCTCAGTGACCTTTTTATTGTATAATGGTCATGAAAGTAAATTAGTTTATAGCAAAACATAGCTATAAAAATAATATTAACTATTTTTAATATTCATTTAAACGTCCGTTATGGTCGTGACAGGATTTTGTGTTTTTCAACTAAAGATGCTCTTTAAAAAAAAAAACTACCAAAGATATTGCGTTACCATGGACATTTTATGAAACTTCAAATGTTAATGAAATAAAAAAAATAATAAACGTTTTGAAAAAAGGGGAATTTGCAAAGTGCTTTTCCTGAAAACGTACGTTTTTAAATTTTCACTCATTTATTCCCCATTTAAATATAACGAGTGCTTAGCTTTGCTGGCGGGGTACACTTACATATTGTTGGCACAAACAAGAAAATATAAATATTGATCGATATATCGTTTGGTTAGTTAGGTAAGGTTAACCTAACCTAACTAACCAAACGATATATTCAATTAAATAATCGAATAATCAATAATACTCATTCGGTTTTTAGTGCCACCAGATATAGAAGTGTACCCCTTTGCTGCTACGGGGCAGTTAAAAAGTCTTTTTTGGTCAAATTTGATCAACATAAGTAAACTACAAAGCTACAACAATCAACAGTTATCATCTTTTTCTACATAAGAATAAAATAGGAATTAAAATTTAGGACTTCAGTTTTTTTAAATAATTTTCTCCGTTACCTTTAATTGTACAACTAATACAAAATATGTTTGTATGAGGAGTTTTGTGGGGTAAACATTTGTTTACCTTTTTTATCCAGAAAAAGAAATCATCATAATAATGAATGTTCCAGGAAAGTACACTTTTTAGAGCTTAAAAACAAATAATTTAGTACTGAACCATTTTTGTATGCCCAAGGGTTACAGAGATTATTAAAAAGCGTAAACTATCCATATATAACATCAATCCAATTTGTATTCATAAACTCAACAGAAATATCTAATTTTTCTCTTATCCCAAAATGCCTTGGTAAAAATAAAGTATATACCGTAGAGGTACATTTAATGATATTTTATTATTAAATTATTGAATTAGTACAAATTTAGTATATATTTTTGGAAAAACACAGGAGTTTTATATTCTTAGTTTACTAATGTGTTTTCATATGAGGTCTAATCTGTCTCTTTGGGTTGATAAAGCCTTGTATACATTTTTCATTTTTGTACTTACGCACTGTCCAGGTCGTCTATAACCTTTCTTACTCTTTTTATCATTTCCTTTCGATCACAAACTCTGTCCTTGGCATAAAATTGACTACCCATTGTGTAATTAAACTTGAAATTTTCTTGGATTGGAATTCGTAGAATGTTATTTCTTGTATATCTTATATCATGTTTTCATAATCTGTTTTATAAACAGAAAATGTCTATATTGTTGTCAAATCATATGTAGTTTGAGTAAAAAAGACTGGATGTATGTGTAACAGTAACACAGACTTTGGGGTTAAAATGGGATATGCTAAATTTTGCATTTATTGGAACCTATTTTGTATACGTTATTAAATTAATTAGGCTCGTAACAGAACAATAGTTAATTAAATTATATTTAAAGAACAGTTATACTAGAATTGATTGAGCGAAGAGCAAAGACCTTATTTTTAGCAAAAATATAATACAGGCCACGTGAACTTTAATAGTACCCCAATCAAATATTAGTATGCTTGTGCTTGCTGTGTGAATACTTTTAGGAAGCCTCAGGCACGGCCACCTTTAACTCCACTCCAGGCCGCGGCCTGGTAGAATTGGCAACGTCGCAAGTAGGGTTGTTTAGTTTCAGACGTCCCATAAGATAACATGACAGACAGGTGACATCAGCTCATTAATTCGCACTTTATTGATTTAAATGAACATGAATTTATTAAAATATTGAAATTAAAACACACATAATTGATAACCAAAACAATATGAGAGTGAAAATTTAAAAACGTACGTTTTCATGTCCCTGGCCTTTTACTTCGTAGATACTGGATTTTTAGTTTATTATTATGTGTTTTAATATTTTTTGGGACGGGGGCAACATGTTACACACATTTATTTGGTTTTAAATAGGTTCTAGGTATTTTTTTCGTATTTTTAAAGTCTCGAAATTCACAACCATGACGTGTCCCTAGGGTACATTTTCCAACTTTCACACTGTTTTTAGACTAATTATTCATTCCGAAATATATAAATCCATATTTTTATGTCATCAATGGTTATTAAACTTACAAAAAAGGAGCATATTATAATTTTATTGTCATTACAAACTGACTACCATGACAAAATATGTCTGTCCCTCGATTTGGCATCACGACCATTTGGGAAAAATTTTCAACTTTGGAGCACGACAGTGGCAAGCCTGGCGTTGATGGAGTCAGTTGGTTTTAGAGAATAGTTCGGGGTGTACGTCAGGATTGTAGTGCCAGTCGTTTCGAGTTGAAAGGAGGAATTACAAGATAAATAAAGGAAAGATTGTGTTTTTTGTAATTTTGGTGTGTCCATGACCGTACGTAGTCATTCGATGAAGTAGACATGGTGTTAATTTTTGTTTATAAGATATTTCAATTTGCTAGATTAACGTAGAAGTCCACTTTGTATCCTCGAACATGAGGTGCAGGGCTACCGCCAGAACAGAGCCAAATAACACGTAATTTCACGACCAAAGTTTCACGACCATCGCGGGTTTTTTCACGACCAATCCAGCATTATGGATTTTAGTGTGTTTGGTCGTGACAATAACTTTAATATAATTGTAAATTGAACAGTTTAGTTCAATTAAAACACATATTTTTATTATAACTAACAGTATAATTGAAGGATTGTTTAGAAAGATTTAGATTATTCCAGACAATTCACGACCGTACCGCTTGTCCCTGACCATCACGTTTATGATTTCTATCATAAAAATTTCAAAAATTAAAATATCGTCATATTTCAATGTTTTATACACAAAAGAAGCACACCTCTATACAAACATAACGATTTTTCGGGTCTCAGGTAAGTTTCTTCGGAGTTATACAAACTTAAAAAGATTTTATTGGCTTTTTTCATTTTTTTGAGTTTTTTTATTTTTTTCTAGAAAGACCAAATATACCAAAAGCTCAGTGACCTTTTTATTGTATAATGGTCATAAAAGTAAATTAGTTTATAGCAAAACATAGTTATAAAAATAATATTAACTATTTTTAATATCCATTTAAACGTCCGTTATGGTCGTGACAGAATTTGGTTTTTTTCAACTAAAGATGCTCTTTTTAAAAGAAACTACCAAAGATATTGCGTTGCCATGGACATTTTATAAAACTTCAAATGTTAATGAAATAAAAAAAATTATAAAAGTTTTGAAAAAAGGGAAAAAGAATTTGCAAAGTGCTTTTCCTGAAAACGTACGTTTTTAAATTTTCACTCATGAATTGAAAATCTATATCTGTACATTTAAAGTGGAGTCAATATGATTTGGACAGATCCTTTTTGAAAATTATTATTCATGAAACATTAAGAGGTTCTTTGACTATAATGAGAAATCATCTATATGGCAAACATCAAAATTAATCAGTTTTATAGCTGTATAATCCTTTAATATTTTATGTGTACTATTTTTCTGTGTCTTTGGCAACCTTATTTTTTAAGGCAGAGGTATTTATTTTTATAAATAAATTCTTTTCTCTCTTCATAGTCCAGTAACCATGCTTTCGTAAATACACAAATACCATTAGCTGCTCCCAGGCAAAACAGCTGCTACAACCCTACTTGCGACGTTGCCACTTCGACGGCCGCGGCCTGGAGTTAAAGGAGGCCGTGCCTCAGACCACCCCTTAGGTAAGAGAAGGCAAGTTGCCCGTTCTCCCGGACATTTAATCGGACCTAGGATGATGGTAGATAGATTGGGCTGAGGCATTGATTCTATAATCGATCGTAAAGCCGGGTTTTCCTAGGCGCGGAATCGGCGAGCGGAGAGAGGAACGTGGAGAGCGGACTCCACTTGTCTTAGGCAATATTTTAATGTTACTGTTTTCCTAGATGCGGAGCGGAATGCCATGTTAATTTCAATTCCGCTCTCCGCGTTCCTCTCTCCGCTTCCGCGCCTAGGAAAACCCAGCTTAAGACAGACACATTTCCCTCGAGATAGATGGATATCGCATACCGTACTTATAAGTATTTGCATTTCCTACACAATATCCATCATGTTCTATCTACGTAACATATTTCTAAAGGGAAAAAGCTGCAAAGGTGTTTTTTTTTAGCTAACATTCACAGTTAATTGCTATCTTTTTTTTTAATTTTATAAGAGCATGGAAATATCACTTATTTCTCGGACTCTCCTTCCTCTTTGTTGACTTGGCGAGTTTGCGTTTGTGGTTTCTCTCTCGGTCTCGGTACTAAAATCTGTTTCTATCGTTTCTGATTCTGCATTCTGCATTTTGTTTTTGTGTCATTCCTATCCTATCCTTCCATTGACCATTGCATTCTTATTCTTGTGGGGTGATTATTGGTATTGGTGTCGTTTGTGAGAGGTTAAGTTGAATCTATGCCGGTAAATTAATTACTTAAGAAATGAAACGTAAAGGTGATGAGATTGTCCTAGCTGAGAACAGAAGCATCAAAAAATTCCATGAAGACGTAAGTAAATGTTTTATAGGCCAGGCCTACTAGACGAATTCGAATTTGAACCTTTCTCAATTCAACGTAACTTCGAATTACGCATTAAATCTTGAAAATAAAACCGTTTAAAACAAAGCATTATGATTCTATATAAGGAAGAAGCTTTTTATACTTTTGATAATTTTATTATCTACTTTAAATTACCGTATTAAGAATTATACCGGTAGGCTAAGTTAAGTTAGGCGATTATCTCAATTAAGTGTAGCCCACATTGTACCACTATATCACTAAAACATTTAGCCTCAGGCTATATAGGCCTAAGTTATACCCTAGGTTCAATTATTCCTTGAAACTTAATGTCTAGGAAGGATACAAAGATAACAAAATACACAAGATAACAAAGGAGTAGTAGTACATAAGACATAAGACATTTATTCATCATTTTTTACATATGTAATGCATAGATAGGTCAAAATGTTAGTAAATACATCTCGTATTCAGTCTTGAGTAAATAAATGTATAAATATATAAATAACAAGGAATTCAGTTAATACAGTCAATATAATACAAGAGTTAAAATTGAAATTAAGCGACGAGCAAATAAATACAAAAGTTACAGACCATGGCAAGAGATTAAAAATTTGACAGTTGGTAATAAATTAAAAAATCGTGCAACTTATATCTAAATCACAGTTACATCCTAAATCTAGAGAACAAGAAAACAATTCTTGAAAGCCTATTTGTTAGTTGATCAATCTGCTGTGACCAGGTTAACTGTTTATCAATCAAAACACCCAAAAACTTAACATAATCTTGTGAATCAAAAACATCAGGTACTTTTCTTAAGCTAAATATGACAGATTTTGTTTTTTCGTTGTTCAAAAGAAAAGAGTTTGCTGCAAACCAGTCTGAAATGTTACCAACTACATCTTTAACATGCAAACTTAATAAATCTATATCAGAACCATGCACAAGAAAGGTCGAGTCATCAGCATATAAATAGGTAGGCCTATCACAGAGAACATTATTAGGCAAATCATTTATCGATACTAAAAATAGAAACGGCCCAAGTATGGACCCTTGCGGGACTCCGCATACTACATTAGACATAGCTGACCGCTCGCCCTTGATACAAACCACTTGTCTTCGGTTGCTTAAGTAAGAATTTAATAGGTTAAGGGCAGCCCCACCGACTCCGTAGTGCTGTATCTTGCCCAAAAGCATCCGATGGTCGACGCAATCGAAGGCCTTGCTAAGGTCGCAGAAGGTGACCCAAGCAAAGCCTCCGCCCTCAAGAACATCATGTATTTTAGCAATCAACGCCCCAACAGCGTCGGTGGTGCTGCGCAACCTCCTAAAACCGAATTGTGATTCGGAAAGAAGGCCCAAAGCCTCAAAATGGTCACTTACCTGACGAAAAATGATGTTTTCTAACACCTTTGACAGGGCAGGAACCAACGAGACTGGCCTATAATTTGCAGGGTTTTTCTTGTCACCCTTCTTATGGATTGGAGTTATTTTAGAAATCTTTAATAAATCAGGAAAAGTTCCTTCTTCAAAACATAGGTTAGTGGCAGTGACCAGCGGTGTCGCTATAATATCACCAACACTTTTAATGACAAAATTTGACATTCCGTAGAAGTCTAATGCTTTGGAATTCTTTAAGTTACATATGACCTTTTTTACATCTACTTCATTCACAGGTTGGAAATAAAATGCTTGAGTTGCACGAGGCGCATTAAATGACACAAGATAACAAAGGATCTAGGCTAAGTTGCAA